GAAGAAGGGAGAACAATTCTGGCCTAGAAATTTCTGGCAGCCCAGTTGTGGACCAAAAGGGGCATGATCTTGGCTACAGCCTGTTGTTTGCAGCTAGAAGAACTAAGATCATGTCCATGCAAGAGCATCATGTTTTTGTGTTCTTTTTTTGGAGGTGTGAACAAACGGGGCGAAATGGAATGCTTCAGGGAGGGAAATAACCATTTAATACTCAAACCTTGGTGATCCGCAAAGAGAGACACCGAAGGATCATCCTCCTCCATCACGAAGCTTCGGAATGGCGGTCCGGGCGTCCCGGGCGCCGGCATCGCCGATGCCATTCCCTGCGAGCCTTGGGGAGCGATGGTACCATGCCCATGAGAGGCATTCTGCATGGCGGAAGACAGAATCCCAAGCTCTTTGTCCATTTGACAGATATCCGTGTCACACCCAAAGAACCTCTGTACTCAGTATACTCTTTCTCCTTGTTTGGCTACCGATTCCGTGTCACACCGGTGTTTGGCGATCGATCCGAAGAAGAAGCAGAACATGGCTCTTCTCCGATGCGCGGCCGTTGGAGTGCATCCTACGCGCATCGTACTACGCACATCCTGGGACCTGCCGCGCGGAGACCGCATTGAGACGGAAAGCTGCCTGACTTGTTTGGGACACTTCCCCCCCGCTCGTCCAAAACCGCATGGTGTGAGTCCTTTCACCGCAGGTCCACCATGGTCCACCCGTCCTTTTACCATCTCCATAAAAAGACCTAGACACGTGGCACAAAGGATTCGGACCAAACTGTCTTTCACCACCGGCTGTCACAGCTGAGAGTGAAGACAAAGCACATATAGTATTCATATATAGCATCTCAAAATTGAGAGAACTTGACAAAAACACATCCTTCCTCGTCCTTCCTGAAGAACCAAAACCATGTTTAGCCGCCTGCTCACCAAAGCCATGCGGTGTATTTGCTCACGACCATCTACCGACTTTTCAGATCGTCACACCTCGCCTCAGGGTGCAAAGCTGACAACACCTCAAAGTGAGGGCCGCCAGCAATGCGGTGGCGTCGTCGCCCATGTCCTGGTCCATGTGTGCAGGTCCGGGTGCAAATACGGCTTCACACCGTGTTTTCTTTAATTGTTTTTCTGCCGATCGGACCCTTCCTACGACCCGCTGAAGCAGCGACAAACGCTCCTTCGCTTTCCGAGAACGGTTTTTTTTTGGCCTTCTGCGGCAAGGAGATGGCGGTGGTCTTCGCCAAGCGAAGGGGCTGTGCCAACCAACTCCTGGGCGGTCAGACCCAGCTCATCGGTGGCATGGGCCGGCGGTCGGACGTTGGTTCGCCAGGAACAAGGGACTTGGGCTCTGAAACCTAGTTGCACCGCGCCGTGGAAAGGCTCTTTTGAGAAGGAGACTTGTGTAGGTTCTGGGAATGGCTAAAGGGGAACATGTGCGGACATGCCTTCATAGTCCATCATTGTTGAGAATAGCCTGGAGTAAAGCTGTCAGCGAGGGAGTTGGGCAATCTGAGCAATGAATCAATGGCAACATATCGGCTATCTTCAAGGTTGTAGTATGAACGCAAAATGGAGCATGTCAAAACTTGAGTCAAAACACATCCATGATCTGGAAGTTGTAATGCTTGTTTCATGCCAGGTGGTGCAGGATGCTCTTTCCATCCACAGCAGTGTGTCAGGAGTTCATGTGCCTGGTGCTGGTCGCAGTGCAAAACCGCAGTCTGCAAACTGCGAGTTCAGCCGAACCCTGAGCAATCACAGCCCACTTCAGAACACCAATCCAATACTCCTCCATGTGACTACTTCCCCCGGATCATCCTTCAATCAATACGTCCCCATTTTCTGTCATTGCTCACCTGCAGAAGCAAGACGTGACCTTCCAAACGCTTTCGCATCTCGAGGGTTCCATAGGTGCGTTTGCAGGCTCATTGTTCTCTCAGTTCTGAAGGTGTTGAGCGTCATCCGCCCAGCCTGCCCAGCTCTTCATTTTTGGAAAACCAATGTCCCAAAAGTTCAAGCTTTGCCACTGGATAGATGGACCCATTAAATCATATTAAGATCCATCCCTTGCCGCCGGGCAGCTGCACCGCCGCAACATCTACCTCTCCCTCTGTTTCTAGGATGGCCATGCTGCGCTGTGGACAATGACCACCTCTCTGGGTGGCTGAGTTGCTTAAGGCTTAATTTTTGTGTCTTCTCAGGCGCCTGTCGAGTGAGGTCATTGCAAAAACACCAGTTTATGACAACCTGATACGTTCGATGACCGATCTCATCTCGATCGAAGCGAATCTAAACGAGGTCTCGGATCTCCTATAGCTATTTCTGAAGTCGAAAGACCACGACCACACGACCACGACTCTATCAGGTGACGATTTCGGTGGACCCTGTGACGTTCTCGGCCGAGCAGAAAGCGTCGTTGGATCGATCGTGCATGAGATGGAGCCAGCTGCCGCTACACCGAGCTGGCTCGATGGGCGCCGCATGCCGAGGACGGGCAACGCTATCAACGGTGGCTGGCACACACTTCACGGTCGTTGTTCGGTGGTTTCGTGTAAAGCCGCATCACTGTTTAGTGTTTTTTATCTGAAAAAATGCGAGACGTTGTAACCGCCTAAAAGCAAACATGGCATGTGGAAAACCTTCCAAGGATCCGTCTTCCACTGTCATGGTCTTTTGACGTCTTTTGTTTGTGTGATTCTTTTCCATATGCGTCATATACTGCTTCATCTATAACCAGTCCGGATAGTCCGAATTGGGGTCAGTCAGGATAGTCCCAGCCGGATGGCTCCGCTTTCTGGGTGTTCCATTGTTCAGGTCAAACGCTTCGCCGGCATCGCTTCGTCTCGATTTGGTGGTGCAACGCCGAGGAGGACAACAGGTGTCCGAATATTTCCTGAATCCAATAGAGATAGAGGGGTTCAGGATATGGGTTCAGGATATGAGTTCTATATGTGCTCTATATGTCCTTAATCTTGGCAAATAGAATAAAGGGGTGAAAGAAGGGCCCCTGCAAGGAGATGAGAAGGGGGGTGCGGCGGTCAGAGTGCACCATACAATAGCATACACATGCATACACAATAGCATACACTGTAAAGGGATCCACCTCTTTGATCCTCCTAGCATCCACACCACCTGTTGGCGGGCTGACTCAATGCTAACTGGCATACAGGGTGACTTGGTAGAGGAAACTTCTCTTCCACAGCACTCCTGGCAGTGTCCTACAAGAAAATGATATAGCTTGTGTGATTCTTTTCATGAACTCCTTTTAAATCTGTGGACTATGTACAGTATTTACCATAATTTACCTATGGGTTTAAGATTTCTAAGTAGTGTTATATACTTGCATCATTTTCCCCTCCAAACCCGAGGAAGAACACCTAACAAACCTTACTTACTGGGCATTGGGCATTGAATTGGGGAGGAGCTTACATCTAGAAAGCATCGAGCACCTGACTTTTCACCATGGAGGGATCTGGCGATCAACATGCTTCGTATTCTTGGAGAGGCACAAGTCCAAGTTGGAATGGTCGTCCAAACTTCCGACTGCCTTTTCGCATTTTTTAAGCCCACTGAAAAGCTCGCAGGTCATTGACCAGCATACACGATCGATGGTTCTTCAGCACTCCGAACACGTTCCTCTTCACCTGCACCATCCGGACCGAACACGTTTGACGTACCTGGCACATCACGGACCTGGACCACATGCTACTGGTTTTGGGTCCTGTCCACCGAAGTTGGCTTTCTCGATTTTGAGGCCATGTCTTCAATCAGGTCCAATCAGAAGGTCCAAATCAGGTCCAAGTCCAATCAGGTCCGAGTCTTGTATGTTTCAGGGGACAGTCAGCCAACGACGGGATCCAACGGCGGCAACGGGATCCCTCACTGTGACCGAGGGATCGAGAGGAAGAAGAAAAAAAGGAGAATGGACCAGGCAGGTCACGGTGAAGGTCACCACGTTTTTGGGGTATGTTTTCGCATGAGCAGGCATGGCTTCCAGGTGCACTTGGGACACCGAAAAGCAATCTTTCAGGGGAAAGGAGCAAGAAAAAAACGTCAGGGGTGTGAATACCAAGCCGAAAACTCGTATTGATTATATAACGTAAGCAAAGCTATTTGCCTGACAACTATGAGGACGTGACAACCGCCTAGCACCCTCATCAAGTGGTCCAACCTGGATTTGTGAAACCATTTTGGCGGCAAACAACCATGGAACAGGTTCCGGGCAACCTGCAGCTGATTGAGAAAACATCCCCAGCGTCCGGTCAGGCCAACAGTGGGCAAAGCTTGGGTATAGTTTGGTAGCTTCTTACTTGCTAGTCGTAGCGATGCCCTTGTTACTAGTAGCTTCTTGGTGCTAGTAGTAAATGCGAGGAGCTACGTTCATAGCTTCTTGCTACTAGTATCTCTTCTTCAATCTTTGGTAGAAGCGTTCTTCTTAGCCTGGAAGTGTTCTTCTATCTTTGGTAGAAGTGCTGCTCAGCCTGGACGTGTTCTTCTTAGGTCAGAAGATTCGAGAAGGCCAGAGGGGCCCCCGACCTGAAGGTCCAAGTGTCTTTTTTGCACAACATGAGTCAACATGATATTGAAGTGAAATCGTATGAAATCATGTGGAATTCAATGGCATTCTGACCCTGCACACTTCCAAAACCGAAAGTGAAACAAATCCACGAGGGAAGGGTGAAGGAATAGAAGGCATAGTGTGTTCTCCAGCGGCGTCAACTTCCGCGTTTGTAGTAGTGTTTCTTTGTTTTGTGCGGGGGAGGGGGGGTCATGTATGAAACAACGGAGCTTATAAGCCTTTGCACTTATGGCCGCTGCTAATAGCCATCAACTGATACCAGGCACTTGGCAATTAATGATTCCAAACCCAACGAACCAAAATGGACACATCAATTTTTTGGATTCGTCCCTCACCCACTCAAGTCCTTCTCCAAAGCGACCCTGATTATGATCTCAGCTTCCACCGGCGAAATGACACCGCTTAGAGCTGCACCCGTGCGCTCAAAGGTCGATCTTCATCTCCTCCGGCACTTCCTTCGCACCAACTCGAGGCTCCAGGGCTCAGGAGTTGGAGCATTGAACCGTTGACAGTTCATTTCTGTGCACTACTTCAACCACCGAGTAGCAGAACCCATCCCGTCTTCTTGGTGAAACAGCTTCATGGGCGCCCCAGAAGGGCTCTGAATAGGCATTTGCATCTTAAAATATATACGTATGACGAACAAACTACGGTACATGATGTTGCTAAAATGGACGCACGTTTTTGGGGGTGTAACTTCCAATTCCTGCACATCATGTGCATTCCCTGCCTGGAACATCCTGGATCACAACCCTGAGGAAACATCTTTGTGAGCCAATTGCATCAGCTAACTAACCTACAAATGTCCAACGGCGGAGCAATGAAGGTAGGTCGATCATTTAGGTCCACGTGCAAGGCAATCTGTGTTCGATACAACAAGTATATATGAGGAAAACAACATATTTCTAGTATCACTTTGAGCTCACTTTGTTGACAACAGAGATATATTATATATATTTCTAGTATAACTATGTTGGATTATTTTGAGTTCACTTTGCCTTGTGGCTTTGGCGAAGCCTCCAGACCCCCGGCCTCATCGGGCCACTCACCTGCAAAAGCAGGCGCAGCTGCCAGGTGGTGTGTTTTTTTTGGTGCTGTTGCCTAAAACTGGGGCTGAAACAAATCCGAACCATACTGAAACAAGGCTGACTTTGGGGGGTTTCTATGGGTTTAGGGTTTTGGCCGCGTGTTTGATCAAGGTGCTCGCATCCGTGTCCGGCTAATTCACTGCTACATATACACTGTATTCATGCCACCCGAGGTCTTCGAAATGCATTCCGACTGCGCTCTCATTGTGTTGGCGTGCGCATTTTCCGACTTGGTGCTCAGTTTTTGTAACAAGTGCTGGGGAAACCTTGTGCTTTGGCCGTCCAAAGTCGACGTGTCGTGGCAGGCGCAGGAAATCAGAGCGGTTTTACTTTGATGTGCAAAATTCGTGGCCGGCGCAGCGCTTTGGACATGGTGGTGGTCTTCGGCGCGCTCTGATTTCGTGGCAGATTCAGTGACCTTTGAACATGTGGCCCGTTCTCCGAATTTGGGCGAAGTCTCACGCGAAAGCTGCTTTTGGGCTTGGAAGTGCTTGTGCTGCGAACTCCCGGCAGGGATGCGCAATGCAAATCTTGATGTGCAGGTTTTGCAGTTTGTGAACCTTCAAGATCCTTCAAGCCCAAATTTGTCGCAGGTGCGGCAATTTGTGCATGTCGAAGTACTTGGAAGTGTCGACTTTGAGGCAGCTTTGTGAGCCGCTCAAATACATGTGCTCGCAGCACGTGTGCTCTCGTGCGTGCTCTCGTGCGTGCTCTCGCACGTGCTCTTACATGTGTGCTGCGTGCTCCAGCTCTGCCCTCATGTGTGTGTGTGTGTGCCACTCCCTGTTTCCAAGGGAACGCATCACGCGTCTTGCTCCTCTTTTCTCCCTAATTTGTTTTTCTCAGCCCAATCTTAAAAACAATTGCAGGGGGCGACAGAGTCGCTGCATGGCTGTCGACAACGAAGCTCCATGCAGTTGACTAGGATATCACGGCGGATCACCGTGACGTACCTGCCTTTTTTGAACATTTCGTGATGTAAACTATACATATATATATATATTGTTGCGGACTCTTTCACCTTGCGGTTTGAGCCATTGACAGGTCCAGGTTTCAGCGCTCTAGACCGGTTATGCACAAACTAGACTCTAAAGTGGCAATGCAACGGGCTTTCAGCGACTGATGTTTGCTCTTGCGAGCCCTCTATCCAAGTGTGCCAGTATTTGGTTGTTTCCGTTCTCCGAATACTGTTTGGGGTGTCTTGCCGGAATAGAATTAGACTTTCAATTAGACAGCGTAAGGTGAGGTTTCTACTCTACCTCCACTGGAACTATCAGAAAACAACCCCAAACATACAGAATGCTTGAACAACACTTGACCAACAAAAGAGTGACACATGATTCTTGTCCTCCAAGCGCGCCGCTTTTCGTTTCAATAAACCGCATTTGTTTTATGTGTCACCCTCCAACGATCGATTGTTGGAACTCTTTGTGGGTGAAAATCACACAAAGTCACAAACATTGCCTGCCATGCACTTCCAAGATTCTGGAAAGTTCTGGGATAGGATAACGATCATCAGCGGTCAAAAAAGCCTCCGGAGCCACAGCCACAGCCTTCTTGCCAGTCTTCATCCTCCTCTTCTTTGATCCAATCATTCCAGTCGGACTCGAAGTCCCAACCTGCCCACGTTGCTAGCACTGCATTCGCCAGCACTGCTATGCTAGAAAGATTTGGGAGTGATTGGTTGCTGCCTTGGCAGCCATAGAAAATCACCACTTGGGATGGCCCAACCGTTTTGAGGGCGCTAGTCTCCCGACATACGAGGAAAGACCACATGGTCTTTAGGTGGGCCGACCACTCCTTCAAACCGAAACAAGCTATGAGTTCACGGTCCAAACGCAACGCACCAACTGACCCGTCAGCATACTAGCATTGACGTACGAAATACGGCTCACACGCCCGTGGAAGCACCAAATCACCAGCTATAGTGGAATGAGAGGACCAATGGCACAGACCCCAATGTCGGTGGTTTATATGGACCCCCATCTGTTCAGGACATCTTGGGGTCTGTGCCATCGAACCTCTGAAACCACTGTATCTCTTATAAGGAGTTGAGAGAACGTTTCGGCCGCTCAGCTCGGTGGCACATGTTGACGCCACCGAATTGTCTGGAACATGTATCAACGAGTATCCATCAGAATGAGTATGTACGAATATAAATATATATACCCTATAGGGATCCAGTCGTACCTTCTCAGAAGGTGCTTGGGGTGGGTGCCATTGTCGGGTCCAGGTGCCTTCTGAGAAGGTACTTGGATCCCTATAGGGTATATATATATATATATAGGGAGTATAATCCTGCAACACTTGTCAAAGGCGTTCAGCCTCACTCTCATCCACATCAGGCTTTAAGGGAACATGGCCTATACTCATGGGCTGCGAAAAAGCCTACGAACCGCCTCTGGGACACCTAAAGCGCGGGAGATCGAGGACATCGTCAGGATTCATAAGTCATATACCTCTCCTATCATTCGAGCCCAAACAGCGGACATTCACCCCAATTGCAAGTAAGTTCAAATACGTATTACAGTGGCTCATGGCTCATGAAACCGCAACTCGACTTGAGGGACCAACGAGGTGCCGCATCGCAAAGTATCAAAAGGACTCCTCGCATCGCCCCCAAATCCCCTTCCGAACGGCCGGATTCGGGGATCCCAAATGGATGGGCCGCTCCAAATGCGCCTTCGAAAGCAAAAGACAACTGCTTGCAACCCGTTGGTCTTCCAACTTCAGGGGTCATTCTGGACTCCAAAAGACCATAAAGACCTTCTCCGCCTCTTTCCGCCTCATCTTCCGCGATTTCTTCGAAGCCAACACTGATGAGTTTAACTCGCTTCATTGGCTCCTTCTTCACAAGAGGTTCCTTATTCATTCCTTCCGAAACACCAGCTTCCCACGTAGTCCATCAACATCGTACTGGTCAGGTTTGCTCTTTCAGACATTAACCGCTGAGACCATCCACAAGGTCACACACTTTACTTACCAAATGTGTGGCTTATCCCCCACATTTCGATATATGATATGTCTATATTATTATTATTGTATTGTTATATATACATCTTATGATATACTCGTATACGATCAAGGCAACGACTTAGTCACAACAATTTCTCTTCTTGGTGCGGTTCAACCCCTTGGCATCCGGTCTTTGAAAGTACTTCCCTGGATCTTGCGCTTCAGAATGTTTGCTCTTCTTCACTTCAGGCCCTCTGCACACAAATAAATACTTGTACAAATAAATACTTGTTTCTCATCTCAGCATCATTTATGACTCATTCATGACTCATGAACTCCATTCGCTGCTGTTCCCTCCATTGTTTATCATTGTTCATTGTTCCATCAATGGCTATTGAATCCGGTGAGGATTGCGATGCACCTCGTGCTGGAGCAAATGAATATGTTCCGCTAGCACTTGCTGATGTAAACATTGTGGGTAGGTCGATGGAGTCATACTTAACTTTTGGTTCTATGTAGCTCCGAGCGGCCCTACCGAGAAAGCTACTGCTAACCTGCGTGGAAGGTGTTAACCACAAAATGCAACTTACTCGCTTAGGGCGTGCGATTCTTTTGCTGTTGTAGGATCTCTAGCCAAAGTCGTAGGGCCTGTCAAACGCCAATCGCCTACACTACAAAGCATGGTCAAAAGTGTCAATACACATGCTTTCTTCACTCACCCTGCAAATGAGCACGTAAACGCTGGCGCAGGATGTAAACCTGAATGGTGGCCGCCGTTTGGATTGTCCTTCAATATGCCCAACAACCCTCCAGCTCACAAGTGGCCTTCATTGTTCCACTGGCTCCAGTCGTCCTGCAAAGGTTGTTGGCCGTGGCATGGGGGCAAACTGCCGAGGGAAATAGGAGAACAGGGAACATATCCATGGATGCTGATGATAAGCCAAAGCCTTTGACAAACTAATAGCAAACAGTTTTGCCCGCTACTGCTGGATTCACCTTGAAATGGCAATGATGGCCTAAGTCTTTGTGGAAACTCAAACTGCCAAAAACTGCCCCAAACTGCCAGTGCACCTGTTCATTCTTGACAGGAAGACACACAATGGTCGAGCACTTGGTAGCACTTGTCGAGTCAAATGTTCTTTGGGGGTGGGGTGGTGCTGGCTCTGTTTCAGTATGGATGACAAACCTGTCCACCAGGCACACATGAAACACGTCCAAACACAACACACTGCCTCATCCAAAGCACATCCAAAGCGAGACACCCACTGCCTCATCATCGCCGCCCAGGACCCAACACTCTTCGGCGCCCAGCCTAGGGATGTCAGGGACCCAGGGATGTCATGGACCCTCGGTGCTGCAATGAAATCACCCAGCGTCTTGCCAAAGCTGTTGTTTCCACCTTCTTTATGTCTGGAATTCTTAGTTAAGAGTTCCAAACACGTCAAAATGTGAGTTCCAACGTCTTGGTTGGGCTCATGGAGATCATGCAGCAGCCCAAAGTGTACCTTTTGTATGTGAATTTTGCTGATCCATTCTTGTTTATCCCCTCAAGGCATCAAATCTCAATGTATGAGGATCATCCATCATGCCGCTCATGTAGTGCAGCACTTCCGCAAAGCGTTGATGAGGAGACAGAATCCATCGACGGTAGGCTGAGGAGGAAACAGCATGATCCAGAAGTCCCAGTGGGGTATATACAAGGATGATTCAAGGGCCCAATACAGCATCAAGTGATCAACCGCAATTCTGGGGTGTAGACTCCTGTCTTACGCCAGCCAGTGGCCAGTGTAAAATGCCGGCCATGGGGCCAAATGCCCAGCTTGAACGAGGTAGAGCTGTTGCCGCAGCCGAATTGTAGGGCTCTGGGGGTGTGGGGGCGCTGGTCTGGTTTGGTGCGAGCATGCTGGCCAAGCCGGCTGATGTGCACGGTTGTGCCGTTAGTGCTGCTGTGGTGGTTGATGTTGCTGTAGTTTCTGTGGTGGTGGTCGGTGTTCTTGGTGGTTGTGTGTTGCCTTGTGGCTGTGTTGGTGTTGCGGATGTTGTTGGAAAAGCAGCACGGGAAGAGGAAGCAACAGCAGCAAAGGTAAAAACTAGATCAATAGCAACAAGGAGGAAGAGCAGAAGGAAGAAGAAAACAAAGAAGCAGAAGCACAATTCGGAATAAAGATGCAAAATACAAAGAATAACAGTAATAAACCTATCTAGAACGACTAGGAAGAACTGCAAAAAAAGAAGACCAAGAGCAAAAGCATAGTAAGGGACAAGAACAACAAACGATGCAAAACAAGAACTTGAACAAAAGCAAGCATAATGTACTCATGTTCAACAAATTCTAGCTCTTTGGTAGAAACGCGTGCCTCTTCCAGCTGAAGACTTTGTCGCCAGTGACCGGCCAAGGGACCGGCGACCGGCTGTTGGCCTTTAAATTGGGTGGTGGCACGCTTGGGTGTACGTATCCCGTGCTGCTGATGCGCATACCCAAACGGACATTCTACTCAACAGGGTGCTGTGGCTAGAGTTACACAATACAATGCAGCTCAGTACAGCAGAAAATCATACAGTATAGATCCCACTATTTACCAATTGTTTGATTCTGTGACCCCCTTCAGATCACCCTGGACCCCGGTGTTTCTTCGTTTCGAACAACACCCCTCGGCCACAGCACCCGCTGACGTCGGAGAACAGCTGGAACCTCATCGCCGCGGCACGCGCCGAGCGGCTGCTTTTCGTGTAGCCCGGGGACGCGTAGCGCGGACGTTGGGGTCGGGGATTCCGAAAGCCTCAAAAAGGTCTCCAACTCCCAGGCGGCCGAGCTTCGTTTGGGGTCGATAGGAGGTTGGGTGGGTGGATGCCAGGGGGGGTCGTTCGTGCCCACCGAAGCTGAGGAGATGGGCCGAGGCAGGAGCCCGAACGGGAAGAGTTATTTTCGTCAATGTATTGTACTGCACTGGGTCTTTGTGCGTGATCCGTGTTGGTGAAGATCGCGTTTTCTGAGTTTCACCATGTTTTACCCAAGTTGCTTTGGTGTACCGGTGTACCCTCCCAGCACAAAAAACAACATAACAGCACTTAACTGATGGGTGCAAACGCTCTTATACTGTACTGTTCAAATCCGTTCTACGTACTCAAGACATCTCAAGACTGTCTGTCAAGAACGATGGTCGCTGTTTGCTCCAAATCCTTCAAAACTTCAGGGTCAGAAGTTGCCATGTCACTAACTTTGGAGGGTTCCCTCACTCGATCCTTGCTGTTCTTCTGGTGCTCCGTCCCGCATCATGCGAAAACTGCTCGTTTAGCAGCAAACAGCGTAAACAATCAATCAATTAACGTCTGTTCTGGTGGAGGCACCTTTAAAAAACAACCACGACATACCACGACTAATATATCCAAAGGTCACCGCCGTCCCATCGAAATTCAGCAACAAAATCTTGTGAAATTCTTCACCCTTGTCATCTCTTCGTCCATCTCCGTCGTGTCATCTTGGGTTCTCCGAGCTCACAGGTGTCGCCCGGTGCTAAGGAGTCTCGGTTCAAGAGGTCAATCACCTGCCACGTCACGCGATGGGCAAAAGCAAACCATCACGTCGCGCGGGTTGGTCCCGAAAAAGGGCTCCAGCGTACCGAACCTGAGGTTCAGTAGGACTGCCAGGAGGGTCCAGTCATACCGAACCTGAAGATGTACGAGCTTTGGGCTTAGGGCTAGGGTTTGTGAACATGTGGGGAACATGTACCCCAAACATGCTGCATGGCGTTTTGATGGCGGCGCACAGGTGGCGCCCGAGTTCACTCATCCCCTTGTTTTTCCGGTGGATCCTCCCCTTCACGTCTTCTGGTCCGTTCTCCGGTTCGTTCTCCCCCGCCACGTCTTCCGGTGGTTCTACCCAAATCGATTCGCTCCTGTTCGGTTCGCTCCACGGAGCGCGAAGCACGGAAGACGGACTCGCGGGGGGGCCGGTGGAGGCCACAGCTTCGAACATGATGGCTTGAGATCTTGGCGTGGCCCATCCGACCCAGGAAGATGGGACAAATCATGAAGAATCACATGAGGTTGCAAACATGTTGTCGCACTCAGATCGCACTCGCCCTGCAGTTCCAGTTGCAGTTCCTCCAGCTTTGTAGCAAGTCGTTGCTCCAACATGCTGAAGGTTGCTAAGCTGGAGGCCACTCCCACTGGCTAAGCTTCCCAGGAAGCTCCCCTTGGAGATCCTAGGAGCTTTCCCAAAGGATTTCCAGTTGCATGGAGTCGGGGTGCCCCTGTCACATCCACATCGATAGGGACGAGCCACACCACCCAACCCCATGTGACTGGCAGGATTTGCTGTTGTTTCTTGCCTCCATAGGGATCCACTGCCACGGATTCGGTATGACTGGGCCATAATCAGGTTCGGTATGTGGATCCTGTATTCATCTTGCCTAAGGGCTCCAACCATATCCTCAGAAGGTGGTTAGACCCCCCAAACCCACCCCAACCATCTTCTCAGGAGGTGGTTGGAGCCCTAGGGTTGATTCCTTCCTTCTCCTTCCGACCTGCCCCGCGCCGTCTGAAGGTTCTTCTTCCAAGATGCGGGCCCGTCGCAGTCGTTCGATGTTCCCACTGTTTGTCACCGGTGAAAACTCCGCCACGACAAACCCTGAGAGTCCAGTCATGAACTGGTAGTGGTGGATTATGACTTCCAGGTGGGGTACAATGAGTTAAAACGGAGCTCTGGGAAAGCTTTGGGTGTTTCTTCTCCTGCTTGGTGCTCAACATCTGAGGCGCTTTGGTCCAAGTACGCCAGGGCCACGAACGAGTTTGGATATGCTTGGATGTTATGATAGGCTAGCAAGGCCTTCGTTTTGACACACAAGGTGAACGACAAGGCAAATCCAAGATCGTCAGCTTGGATCTCCAAGTGGGTGAATCACTAGTCAACACCTCAAACTGAATAGCATTGGCATAATGGAATTTCTACCAGCATCAACATCCCTTTATTCTTGAAAAACACCACAATTCATGAAGCTCGCATCCCGGCCTGAGTGACATGCTGTTTTAGACCGACCGCATGAGCTCGCATCTGCTTTTCTTGGGGGATTCTTCTCGATCCACAACGAGTGACTCCCGTTAGGGGGTGGTTCCCACCCCTCGATGGTTTCTTCCCAAGGAATCGCTGCGACTCTCTGGGGCTTCCCACGTTGACATAGATCTTGCCTCGGTGCTTCTCCAGCAGCGGATGGTCAATGGAGCTATGAGCCTTGATCCAACCTGGGAACGGCGAGCTCGTCTCGGAATCGGCTCAGACGCAAAAGCGGCGCAGAAGCGAAAGCGGCCAAGCCGGTGGTCCTTTTGGAGAGGAAAGGTCTTCGCAAGCGAAATCAACATGGATGACTGGCCGGTTCGGCAATAACAAGTTAACTGTAGACTGTCGACTGATTCAATCGGGGTGGTGACGTTGAGGGTTGGATGAGTACACAAATGCAAAATAAATACAACATGTGGGAAAAACCTCACATGTCCTCGTCGCTGCTGCCTCGTAGGAATTGTGAAACGCAGTATCCCAGGGTTTGAAGTGAATCTGGCACAATGTGGGACAAATAAGTTCACGAATTAAATTGAACACAAATTCATTCTACTTCCCCCAACCTGTAGTACTATTTCGATAGGTTCTTCAGAACAAAAGACACCATCAACATCAATCAAGCATGGATTTGTCAAGCAATGAATCTGCTTATACAAACTGTCATTGCTAACGCGCCCGTTCGGATCCGTTCGTCACGCGGTCACCGCCCATGACTCGTCCGAACCAAAGGATCCAGAAGACGAAGACGCTGCGACGCTTCGACGCTGCGGGGCCCGGGCCAAACTTGGACTTCCACTCGAGGACCTCTCCTCTCATAGGCTCACTCGACACCTCTGCAGGCGGTTCCCATGAAGCCGAGGATCGTTCCGGATAGCGTTCTGGCGGAACGGCCGTCCTCGAAGAATGGTTCCGTGCTGATTTCCTTGAAGTGAGGTCGTGTGAGATGCAGACTGAGTGCAGTCAGGCGTTGCGGAAGGAGAGGAGTTCCTCCATGGCCATGGCCATGTGGGCGTTGACGTTTTGTGGGACACGCTACGTGGATCAATTTCTCCCTGAGAACGGCCATGTGTGAGAGAGACCACAGGATCCAATGTCCAACCAGGTTCCACCAACCAAGTGTCCTGGACCTAACCCAGCCAAAACACAAAGGAATAGAAGTTTGCTCCTAAAACTGGTAGAACTTGGCCCCACCATGCCCAAACTGTCTGCCCAAAGCGCTTTTGGACCGGCCACACCGTGCGGCACACCGTGCTCCGTGCCCCGACCTCCCTCCCCGTCGACCTCGGCTCCGGCCGAGAGCGAAAGAGTGGGTCTCCGTGCTCTGGTGCGTGGAAGGTGAGGGCCTCGGTTCGAAGGTGAGTGGAAGGTGAGTGGAAGGCGGGTCAAGGAGAGTCAAGGTGGAGGGTGGAGGTGGATTTGGGTGGAATGGGCTTTCCTGGGGGCCACTTTCGGCCTGTTTTCAGGTCAAACTCAGGGGCATCCACTCGGAAGGTATCACGGAATCCGAGTTGACTTAAAGGCAGGTACCTGGAGGTCAAACTAGAGTTTCCACATGGAGGGGGGGGTGCTCCCTTGAAGATCTTGAAGCAAATTCGGTTGGTCAGGTCAGAAGACCCGGCGCGAAAGGTAGTGAGGGCAACCCATTGGCGGGGCCCAAAACCATGACAAAGGACGAACGGTTTTGTTTTGTGTTACGGACATATGCTTTCTTCCCGAACAAATCCTTGGGGCCTAAGAAGGCATGTGAAGTGACTGAACCGCCTCTGCATATTCTTCAACATTTGGGGAACTCTCTGGTGGTTCTGGCATGACCGAAACTAAAACTCCCTGGTGTTCTGCTGGCGAGTGGCCTGTTGGTCGTTTGGACTTGCCTTTGCCCTTGCCTTTCAATTTCCCTTTGCCTGCGAAAGAGAAGCACAGGCTTAAGATGATTAAGGTTCGTCTTTTCATCTTGGCATGGTATGCCATGGTCAGTCAGTCTTGGGGTTCATCTTGGATGCAGTTTTGATCGTTTTTCGACATGCATTTGGGGAAGGTCGCTTGACTGTCCAAGAGCTGGTAGGGAGATCTGACAAATCTGAGGATGTTCTGGGACCAATGGAGAGAAGGACCAACAATGCGCCGCATAGCTGCTTCATGATTTGGATTGCTCCCTTACCTTGTGACTTTCCCTGTTTAAGACCTACCTACCGCTTGTCACTTCCAAAGTCAACAAGTTCGGCAACTATTCTCTGACTGGAGCACAAACGCTGTCCTTTCAACCAACCTATCAAGAGCAAGTTACTATAGTTACTCTGCCACCCTGACGTTTGGTGGCCGAGGGCAGAGCAGCGACGGCCCTTTTGCTCGTCGGAATGGAGGCCGGAAATGTGGATTAACCTTCAAGTCTTCCCAATTCGTGATCCCGAATACATCCAAATACCTGCATTTCCGGTCGCCCAAAGCCTTTGCCCTTCTTCAAATGATCCTGCATCGCGGATGGGCTTCGTGCTTCGGAGCTAATGGCACAGGGCGCATGGAGCATGAAGGGCCTGTCCTGGAAGATCATTATGTTTCATGACACCCATACTTTCACGAGTTTCATCATCATCATCATCATCATCATCATCATCATCAATTTCTATATCAATCGGCAAAAAATTGTGCAAACAGGCATATCATGGCCAGTCACACACACGCACACACAGTGTCATCCTTCTGCACGGGCTGCCGCTTTTTCGTCAGCTCGTCCAAGCTCTTCCTCGGTCTGCGTCGGGACCGCTGGGGGTCTTCCGAAGCGTGAACCTTGAGGGCCCACAGAATCGGCTGCGATGTGACTGTCTCAGACCAAGAGAGAGTCACGTTCGACAGGGTGCTATCCATGGAGGAAGTCGGGGTGCCCCTGTCACATCCACTCACTGGATGGGACTACTAAACCACCCCGACATGTGACGCCTGGTATATATTAGAGAATATTGGATATCTTTAACGGCGAGATCTTGACAATCAAACAATCTAACAATTTATTTGGTCTGTGACAATCTAACCAATCTCTCTCAGATTCGAACTAATCTCTGACATCTCCGATCTTTATTATAAAGAGAGAGAGAGAGGGAGAGATTTGTAGTCATGCGAGTGCGCATAGTTCTCAAACCATATCAGCCACAAAGCTTGCTCACAAAACCAGTGGAAGCTTCTGGGTGGGTCTGAGGCAAAAACACCCTGTTCTTTGAAAGGTCCATCCCACCAGCACGCCGCGGGCCGCGTTTTTGGCTTCGCTGCCCTCGTCGTTTCACCGGCCCCGGGGCACCCGGGTCCGTGTCACGTGGGACGGGTCCAAAACCTCGTGGCTTGGAGGGCGTTGCCTTTTGTGCTTCTTCTCATGCACTTTGGGCTCTAAATGGCATCAGATCGCGGACTTGCCCGGCTTTGCCCGATATAGCTCCATTACACAATTATTGATCCCACAGCTTCCGATGTCAGTCTCCAGGATCTTCGGCTGGTCTCCTACTTCTCCCCCGGGTGCCCCGCGTGACTCGCACTCTGCAGCAGCTGGCCCGCGCGACGGAGCTCGTAGAGCTGGGCGTAGAGCTTCGGGACGACGGTGTCCTGGAGCTCAAATCAGCTCAGATGAGGGTGCTTAGCAGCTGACATCATACTGGTTCCTATAGACAGACTTTGGAGCTCCCACGATGCTTGAAACAGTTTCACGATGGGTCACGACTGTCCCAAAGAGGACTCATTGTACTGAAATCTATATATATGGTGGTGTTTGGTGGCTGCAACACTGGCGATTAAAACAAGGTGCCTCCCCTTGGGTTGAAACAAAAACAACAAGAAACCTCGAATTGAAACTGCATACTTGACCTGTTACAGTCTCAAAGGGAAGCCGACCTGTCCTGCTCCTCGTTTTGCTTTTTCACGCAGCCTAGCCTTTCGAGGTGGACTTCCTTCGGTCCCCAGTGGATCTGGAATGGATTTCGACTTCTTCCCTTCAGCCTTCCCCAAGAACAACCATCACCCAAATTGCTCCATGTATATGGAAACAAACGTCTACATGATTTCGTGGTTTCAAGGGTCCCTATATGTCCGGACTACCATGGAGTGTCTGGGTCCGAAACCCAACCAGAAAGCCCCTCCCTGGCCAATCCTTGAAGCTTTCCAAGCTGGAAGACTCCGCCGCAGCACGGAGGGCTTTCACCAAGGCCTCCCGCTTTCACCAGGGAAAAACCCTCAATCCCCGGCGCTTTTGAGGTAGTGCTGCCAAAGTGGGACAAGCGCCAGGGGAGGCTTTGGGACATCCCAGGACGGTCGGATCGCGGTCGCTGCCGGTCAGTCCCACCGACCGGGGTCCGAAGGACCGGCGGTCATGCGCAGCGATGAAGTGCAGCGACCCAGCATTTGTCACATCCAATGACACCCTGGGTCATCCAATGGGTGTCCAATGGACTAAGAGACTACCCTACACTGCTGGTGGACCTCCATAAGGCACCCATGAAATAATTCTCAATGTTGGGCCCTTTGCTGGGCAAACTGCTTGGCCTGTCCATTTTTGGAGGTTCAAGCCTGACGCAAGAACTCATAAGGGCAGGTACTCGCAGCAGATCGGTCGACCAGCGACCGAGACTGTGGATCACCGGACCCAGACCTGGACACACCGGTCGACCTGGACACACTGTGCTCGATGAGAACATGACGTCTGGCTTCTCTTGAGCAGCAAAGGGCAACACATCATATGTAGTGCGCATCAAGAGAATGCCCTGCAGTTGCTTGGCTTGAGTCCATGTAGCGGGAGCTTGTCTCGCTCCAAAGTAGACACCGTTCGGGAGATGAATGGACACATCCACTGTTCGACTGGGCTGTAGGGGTATCTTGACGGTGGTGAGTATTTATGCCTGTCAAACGGCATCAGTCTTCAGGAACTGACATACCAAAGTAACTGGCACAAAAACAAGCACTGCAATTCCTGCCTTGCAACATCTTACACATGCGGATGCAACATATTCAAACTGTCTGTACTGTAGCAGTCATGCTGTAACTCTTTCCCACAGGTTCTCAACGAACAAAGAACATAAATAATCATTATACATATCATTCTATATATATATATATTATATACACCTTTGGTTCCGAAACCTTTAACATTCCTTATCTCATCTCAACACTCTACCCCTACCACCCTCCTAAAACTTGGACCCTCCCCGAACCAATCGGGCACATCATCCCACATCATCCCACCTCATCCCACCCAACACCCCCCGTCCCAGGGGGTCCCACCGGGTCCCACCGTGCCCCAGCACCTCCTGTCGTTCCACCAACTCCTTCTGCCGCTCCAGCAGCTGCTTCGCCCGCTGCTTCCCCGCGCCCGAGCGCCGGAGCAGCTCGCTGGTGTCCACGTCCAGCTCCTGGAAGCGTCGACCGACGGTCTCCGCGTCGTGCCTCCCACCCCAAACCACCTGATGCCCCAGGTGGTCGCGTGCAGGTGGTGCGTGGTGCGTGTTGAAGTGTTTCTCTTTCTGTTTCTTCTTCTTTTTCGCCGGGCGAGTGGCTTTCAACCGCTTGAACTGGCGCCACCAAAGAACCACCCCAGACCGAGATCGTTTGAAGAATTCTTCACCACGGCTTATTCCCGGGAGCTGCCCGCCGATTCCGTGCCTGAACGGTTTTGGCTCTTTTGGTCGGGAGGTGCCCACTGAAACCGCCGGAGAAACTCCGTATCAATGCCGGTTTCTTGGGATTCTTGTGACCACCAGCTGATAGCATGAGGCACACGAACAAAAGAAGCTAACCGTATTCCCAGCCTGAAGAGTATTCCCATACACTCCCACGAATGCATCCAGGCCCCAGGCGGATATTCTGCTACAACCACCCCTGACCATTGACCGGAGTGTGGCGGGTTCGTCTCATCTTCGTTCGTTGGAGTGTGGCCAACAATTACATCAGGACGGACATGATTGGAACCCAGCACTTTCCAAGTAGAACTGACTGAAGATGGTGGGAATGTGCGTTTTGCTTGGCAACCTCGGGCGTTATGCCATAAACTCAATATACCCCCTATCTGCGGGCGGTTCCAAAACCCGAAGGGGAAGAAAGAAGCACGATCCTCGTCCAATCCTGTTCCGAACTCGAATTTATACACAGTTGCTCCTGGTTTTGCATCTCCTGAGCGACTAGGATACAATTTTGCATGTGGGATCTATTCACATCAGGCAATGGGAAAATACAGGTTAACAACTAGGTTAGCAAGGTTAACATGTTGAACTCCTCCCTGCCGCTCCCCCCTAAACCAAACTACAATCAAGGTTCTGAGTCTGTGAAGCGATCTTCTACCAGCAGGTGGGCATGCTTCATTCTGACCGTATCAAGTCAATAAAGGCCAACATACTCCCACCAATAATGGCCCGTCCTGTTTGATCTCTTCTGCTCGTGCGGGAAAAGATTTTGAGACCAAGTGCTTCAGAAGCTCTTGGCGACAGGCAATGCCTGACGCTGTGGTCAAGACTGCGAAACTTTGTTCGGAATGTCGGAATGTCGTTGGATTCTGGTGTGGAGATTGCTCTCTCCTGAACCAGGGAGGTGCAATCAAACTTCGCGAGAGCAACACATAGCATAACGAGAAAGACATGAATCTAAACAAAACACACACACACACACACACACCCCTCCTGTCTCTCCTCTGAGAAGAAGCGCCCTCCGAATCAACAGCACAAGAAGATCCACCTGACCTCCCTCCCCACCGCATTCCCACGCATTACCACACGTTCCCACGCCATCACGAGCCAGTTCCGCAGCCCAAGCCACTTGCCAGGCCGCCTCGCAGGCCAGCCACCCGGGTGGCTAGCTCCAGTGGCTTTTCGGCCTGAAGCAGCCAGAAGGGGGCAGCTTTTACCCCCTGTTTGTAGAAGAATTCATGGTCTTCCTTTCGGGGCCATTGTCTACTTCCATCTTAGTTCCAGGGAGTGTAAACTCAAAGGAACTAGCGACATCCACCATGGCTTAACATGAGCTGGATGTTGCTAGTGGGCAGAAACGGGTTCAATAAATTTCAACTTGTGGATATCAAGCACACATCTTTGCCGAGCACACCACCTGGTTCATCCGCACGCTTTGCCTACGTTCAAGGCATGTTGTCAAGTCGACACACCACGCGAGGTAGGTGTAAGCGAGCCGGTCTTTCCTTTCCCAAAATTAACAAGGCAAAGAAGGACATCGTGGTGTATTATGGCGAGCAGGCGCGTGAGTTGAGTGCACTCTGGCCCACTTGTCACTCACCTCAATGTATATCCAAAGTCCTCTCGCACTGTATGTTTGGACAGGTGTAATATCAGCGAAGCTTAGTCGTCGAAGGTTCCATTGCAGCGTTTTGGTAGGTGTAAGCACTGCATCCCAGCCACACAGCAACCCCCCAGCCACGCAGCAGAAAGGCCACTGTGGCCCAGTGTGAGTTGATTGGCCACGGTCACGCACATCACCCCACGCAAACTGACCGCACCTCACATCGCCTAGTTGCAATGCCATGGGCACTGCCATACGGCTCAACCTCCAACATGTCAAGCCACTTGGCAAACTACCAAAAAGGCAACGTTTTGCAAGACAAAACGACTTAACCTAACATAACCTAACCACGCAGTAAAAACAGCGGCAGCTGGCGGCAGTGTGTATTGCCAGTGTTTTAAAATTGCGGCTATTCCTCACAGGTCTCCGCCCCCGTGCCCCTCAATGCTCACTTGGTTCGCAACCCAAACCTCCAGCCTAGCCGCCTAGCCTAACAGCTGGCTTTCGTAAACAATTACAGTACCAGTACAAGTAACATGTAACAAGTACAACCTTCTCCACTGTTTTGCGTGGTGTTCTCCATCTCCACCACGGTGCCGTTTGTGGCGGCGTAGCACCAAAGGATGCAATCGGCTGCTCGAGCAAATCCAAGGGACCTTAGTGACTTAGTGAAGTGGGAGACCAAATGGCCACGGGCGATGGAACAACCCACTTCAACAACCCACCCGCGAATGAGCACCCACGGGCCATGGCCATGTGGCTGAGCAACGGTGGGAACCAACAATCAACACAGGTCTTCATAACCAGGCTCTTCTGGAAATCATCGCTATCAGCTTTGGGGTGAGGGATCTTCAATCGATTCCGAAGCTAATCATCTGAACGCCAAGTGGTCTGTACTCCAATGAGTTGAAAAGGGAGGTTCTTTTTGGGGACTTAAAAAGGATGCAGTCCAAGCACATCTACCAGAATTGGATTCGTGGACATGACACAATCATCACAAGACCAGAATTTTCCAGGATGTTCCAGGGAAAATCAAAACAGGAAACCCACAGAACAAGGGGGGTTCCAAAAAACAAGGGTGAAACACAAGGGGTTTCCTGACAGGACCTATCCCTTAGACCATCACAAAACACCACCAATTCCCACAGCCTCTGGTCTGTGCTGGTGCGGCGCTCTGCTTGGAGAAGTGCATAGAAGCGTTGCGGCGGTCGGGTGCGGAGTCCTCGGTGCGCGACGTTCTGTCTCTTGGAGCGGGACTGGGAGATGCTAATATGGTATGAACGCCCTACTAAGACGGCTGAACAGCTGGTTGCTGGTTGGTGGCTTGAAAAATCGCTGAGTAAGCTTTTGGCAGGCTATGATCTGATCAGTTGGTTGCCTTTCCTACCCGGAACTCCACATTTCCCGGGACACATTGGCATCCATTGGCCTACCCATGGCCACCGCATCGCGGAGACCCAACCAAAAACGCCTCACATATCGCTCTTGGCCAGTGTCTCTTGGCGTCACCTCGAGAAGCTTCATCACCGGTCTTCGGGATGAGGTGCCTCTCTCCATGCGCAAGAGCAACCCAAGACCGCTCTCCAGCACTGTCCAGCTCACCTCGGCAGCGCAGGACTGTTAGAGAGTGTTAAAAGGCAACCAAAAAAACAACAAAAGGTTGAGGTTTGCGTATCACCATCTCAACGGTTAGATGTTGAGAATCTCGTCTTCCTTTCTTGCTTTTGCGTCTCAAGAGCACCTTCATGCAGAATTATGACCAATATTGCCAGGCTACCTACATCTGGGAAAAAGGGTGGTCCGAAGTCCGAACCAAACTTGCTGGGCTGAGTAAAAGTAACAAAGTTGCTTGCAATTTTCTTAATTGAATTGCTCATTTGTGCACAATCAAAAGGAACAATGGGAAGCAACAAAGACGATTTGGTGCACTGAATCCGTGCTATGGAAATGCGAGTCCAGGTTCTGTTGTTCACCCGTTGTTCACATATTCCGCTTCTATCACGTTGGACTTCTCCCGTAGATCAACGTGACAAACACACACGCACACACCCTCTCTCGACATCGATGTGACTGCATCACCAGCTATCATGTTGAATTCGACGGCACAATCCCGAAAAGGTGGTTAAAAATATGTTTATATGGACCCCATATATAAAGAACCTCTTTGGGTTTGTGCCATCTACTCTGAAACCACAGAAATGGACACTTTCACTGGAAGCACCAAGAGTTCCCACATCTTTCTCAACATCTGCATCACTGTGCTGATGTCACCCGGTCCCTTACCGCGCAAGCGTGTACCTGGTAACAGGCCCCAGTGGCGAAATCCATCTCGTCGGAGCGCGTCTCTGCCAAGGTGGTGACCGTCGAACTGCTACAGCTGGAGGAGCAGCTACTAGACACATCGATGGCCGCAAGCAGGCTGCGTGTGTGCACCTGAAGCCAGAGGAGGGAGGAGGGAGATATGAAAATCCGGTCCCCAAGCGGTTCTCATATGCATATACTGTAAGTGGTGCAACAGGTCAACCGTAAGGAGTATTGTATCTGTTGCTGATGTTTGGCTGATATGCTTTTTTGGCCCCAGATTCTGGCTAGAAAAGTAAGTCATCAGGGACTCCTACTGACAGTGACGATTGCTTTTGGACTTTTCTCGAGTAATTAACTGGCACGCGTATATAGATCAAAATTGTTCGAAGGAAGCTATAGACTTGTTTTTGTGAGAATCAATGTTGTTTCTGTTTGCCTTGAAGCACTTTGAAGCGTTCCATAGCAAGATCATGGATCGTAACCACAAGATTGATACTCCACGATCACAAATATGTTGTGGCTGTGGATGCTTGTCTTTATCCAAGCCTGTTGCAGCTGTGTCTGTGGATGCAAGAAAAAGCTTCAAGGCGCCCGAATCTGTAGCTTTTCAGGCTTCTTTGCCCAAGCACCCACGGGATTTTCTGCAGCTGAAATCAGGCGCAGTCACGTCAAGTGGAGAGCCAAACACCCTGAAGCTAAGGTTCCCCCTTCTTTAATGCCACGGAGAGGGACTTATTTGTCTGGAACTACCAAATAACAGTGGTTTCAGAGCTTCAATGGCACAATCGTGGACCCTCATCTGTCTTTGTTCCATCTCGGGGTCTGTGCCATCTACTCCCACGAAACCATGTCAGCCGGCGAAAATACCTCCAATTTGCTCCACTTCGGTAGCGACCGCAGTGCTTTCCCGGCTCTTCACGCGGTGGGGAGACGAGACGGACGTCGAGTTGGAGTTGGTGCGACAAAGACTGGATGAATTGAGGAGTAGACGTGGTGATGGAAGAAGCAGTGATGGTAGTGATGGTCTTCAACAAAAATAGGAAAACAAACTAGTCAACACCTGAATTGTGAACACTTGAACAGTTGTCAGTAGTTGAACAGTTGTTCATGTTGAGTGATATTGTATGGGATTCATCATGCAGAATCTGTGTCTTAACATGTCTTAACACACCTCCTCATGTACGCCCCGCAAGATGAACATGGAACCTGAAAACCACTGGGTTGTGAAGGAACACATCTTCCCAAGCTCCATGCCATCAGGTTCAATGTTGGCCTTTGGGAGGTTGATCCAAAGCGATCTCTCCACAATCCCGTTAAACACATATCCCGGCAAGAGACCCCCCAAACAGTGTAGCATAGTGCATCTAAAACTCTGTCTAGAGGTGTAGAAGCAAAAGGTCTAGAGATCTACTCTCCGACTCACTAACATGGACATGGACAAACCCTTTGTTCCAAGAGCAAAATGGTCTTCCAGAGGCCTATTATTCCACTTCCATGTTGGTGAGCCAGAGGTCTAGAGATCTAGACGTAAACCTCCAACCGCGGCGCGAAGAGGTGCGCATCCTCCAGGGAATGCTTCGAGAGTCGAATGAAGTCGGACGTGCCAGTGCGACTGGGAGATCGACTGCACGAGAGATCCTCAGAATCTGTCAGGGCAGAGTGGAACACAACGAGTTTTACCCGGAAACCATCAGAGGTTTCAAAACGGCGCTGGCACCGGAAGATGTTATTGCTGTTTTGAACAGATTATGAGGGTGCAAATAAACCACCCACATTGGGATTGTGCCATCTACTCTGAAACCATTGTCATCTGTCAAGCTGCAGCTTCGGAGAGGGCGGATCCAAATCTCTTCGCACATGTTTGTTTGCTGCGTCTCTCTCTCTCTCTCTCTTTGCTTCATTTGGATGTGGTATGCATGTGGTTCCCAAGGCTATATATTGACTACCATAAGCCTCAAAAACCAAATGGTGAACGTGTAAATGTGTATGCGTTTACACCGAGGGAAGAACGTCTAACACGGCCTAACAGGACGTCGTCCGGCCGGGTCACTCCGATCATCTCCCATCTGGAACTGATCAAAAACACACGAAGAAATGAGTAGTGACTTCGGTGTGAATCCGTTTTTTTCTGCACATGCCGTTGGTCCTTTTGGGCCCACGGGCCAAGGCCCCACATCTCGGGAGGTCACAACGACGGCTATCCAAAGAGAGGAACACACAGCAGCCAGCGTGGCTGCTAACAAAAGGTATAACAAATTAAATATTGTATCACGCTGGACCACACTGGAGTGAAGACTATGAAATTGTGAACACAACACCATCTTTTCCTCTGCAAACGCTGTCCCTTCTGTGCTGCATGTCAGTTTTCTAGGTGCATCTGCACTCTACTACTCTCTCTCTCTCTCACTTGTCCAACATGTACAAACATATAAGACACATATAGTTAAATCAGTCTCTTGTGAGGACCCGAGATGTGGCAAGGTATGGTTTTTAAACCTCCCGAGATGTGGAGGGTGCTTGGACCTGGAATCGCCCGGATTGCTTCTTGGGTTTGCCCAAAACCGCCACATCTCTGGGATTGCCAAAGAGGGTGGGTGTGCCTCTTTAAGACATGAGCAAATCCATTCAAAAACCACACAACAACAACTACAGCATAACCCGTCCCCCCGCTTAGCGAGCAGCTCGCCACTTCTAGACATAGCTTCGATCTCTTCCAAGACCCGTGCGGCCACGCGAGGCGCGCTGCTCGCCGCGCTGGGCCGCACAGGTGTGTCCAAGGCCAACAGCTCCACAAGGCCAGAAGAGGTGGCTCGAGCTAGGAGGATCAGTGGAGAAGAGCTGCAAACCTGGAGGATCAGTGGAGAGCTTTGGAGCTTCGGACCATGACCGTTACAAGGCCGAACATGAGGGGCGCTGACTGTGAAAACCCCCAAAAAGGGAAAAAGGCCGAGGGTGCAAAAAATCCATGCAACCCTAGTTGGGGACAGTGAGTACCGGTGCCGCACAATACCCCCTGAAACTATTCAATGGGTCCAATGTATTTCCTTAATTAAGTAGGGTGGGTCAAGGAGGTGTTCAAGTCTTCAAGGGCCCAACGCCCTGCAAACCAACGATCTCTACACAAAATGGCTCCGACCTCCATGTGAAGTGTGAAAAAAGACCTTCTGCAAAAATACCAAGAAGAGTGAACAAGACCTCAATCAAGGAACATCAAATAAAGAGGACCGAATCTGCATTGTTAAGGGCCTGGACTCAGGTTTTGCAAATAGACATGATCTGCAGTCTGCAGGCGTTGGATGATATCGTCATCGTATCAAGACACACACGATACAGTTGCCCCCGTGGCCAAGGTCAACGGTGGCAGGTGGGGCGAAGCAAAGGTGGAATGAGAGCTGGATTAGTTGGTTCACTTCCCCAAATTGAATGTTCAATTCTTCTTGGAGCCTAAAATGACAGGTGGAGCATCAGCATCCCAAAGTACCCATCAGAATATGCCGCTGCAAGGTAGGTTCTACTGCCTTGCGCAGCAAGTGCTCGACCTCCTTTGGCGCCCCCCCATGTTTTGGTCTCAAACAATGGAGCCTCCAAGGAGCCTCCAGATACGTTTAAAGAAACACATCAAGTTCAAGTCCAAAGACTCAAAACAAAATGTCCATGAATTTCAATGACTACCCACCATATACTCCCCATGTACTCCCCACAAGTGTAATAGAAAACGCGAGAGGAAAAAAAAAAAACACGCCGCCTGAAGCGTGCTGAAGCTGGTGCCGCCACATGGGGTGGACGTGGTGGACGGCTCTTCGATGATGTGCTCCGGCAGCTGTAGCGATAAGGACATCGGTTCCTGATCGGACGTGGGTTCCAAAGCCACGTCCGCCGATCATGGCGCCGGACCGTGGAAGTCAGTTTGACCTAGCCTAGCTGATACAATCTGAGCAGCTGATAATCCAAGAACGGACCACCCCGCAACTGATCACAGATGCCAATACGCCAATACATGCCAATGATTTCATGGAAGACCGGACCCACTCCTGAAACATGACCCCCGAAACCATATCCCAACTGATTGGTGCATCATCATATAGTGACTCTGAGCACTTTTTAGCTGCTGGACATGCCTGAGGCGCTCTCTAGACTCCCTTAAAGAGTCGGCCTGATCCAGGACACATAAAGTTGACACGTACACTTACACTCTATGATTATCTATATATATATATATCTATATATATAGATGGAGTTTCTGGGATTCTGGAGTTTCGGTGAAACTTGCAAGGACTGCGAGGTCTAGTGGACCTCCTTCGGAGGGTCTCTTCGTTGGGATGACCGTCTCTGAACTGAACGTCTCACCGCATGACCGGTACGGTCGGTTCACCGGCTTCCGCTAGAACTGGAGGGTCTTTAAACCAGTACCCAAATGTACCCAACGGATTTGGAGTACTAGATGTTACTAGTAGTCCCAAAACCGACCCAACACGTGAGACACATTGAGACATTTGACCCCCAAAACAGTTGACCCAAAGTTGGTTGACTCTCCAAGCTGAGCTCTCCAACTGGTGAGTCGCACCAGCCCGGTGGACCGAAGCTCGGAGCTTCGCCCGTGGTGCCACGAAGAGCGACGCTCCAGGTGCCACGACCCATCCCCCACCTTCAAGGCCGAAGGCTTCAAGTTGATCTCCAGAGCCTTCTCTTTAAGGGTCTTTCGGTTGGGACCTTCATAACCTTCAGACCAACTGACCTTCAGGGCTTGTCAGTCAAGCAACATGGACAAGGCTGAGATAGGACAGCTTTTCTAGCGTGGACATGGTCAAAGGCTAAAAAGGCAAAAACCATGGATGAGTGGCCCTGTGAGAAGGCTGCGAGACAAGCAACAACCACAAAGCACTATATATATATATATATAGCACTGTACTATATAGCAGCTATAATGCCATAACGTTATTGATTGGAGACCCATCTCCAACATGTGCTTTCAATCCCCAAAAGCGTCTCCGGATTGACCGCTTTCCGCTCCCAGCTCGCCCAGCTCGCTTCGCACCCAGCTCCGCACCCCGCTTGGCCCCATCCGCTCCAAAACGGATCGCCAGGACTCGCCACTTCCGTGAAGATGATGCCGATGGGTCACCAAAACCTTGAGCTGACGTCAGCTCGATATGGATTGGATCGACGGCTGACGATAGAGATGTTGAGGACCTATTGGTCCGACCATATATGGTCCTCCGAATATCCCTGGGCCCAGTGGATGAGCTGGTTTAGGTTGCGGTGGCCTTGTTCAAAGATAGTGATCATATGTGTTTACCGACTGTTACAGGTAATGAGACGCCTATGTTCCTTCTCTTTGTTTGGCTTCGAGAGCCAAACAAGGTGTCAAACACTTACATGTTGAAGTGGATGGCATCCCGGCGGCATCCCCGGTGTCTTTCGGGGACTGCCAGCGAGTGGGGGCACATCTTGGGATCGTGGGAGTGGCCGGACACTCGAAGTGACCAAAACGTGCCAAAATATGCATCAATGTCTAGAAGATGTCACTTAGGAATACCAAATTAATCCAACTGGAACTCGAAAGTTCAATGGTGTTTCCGGCATCGATGTTGGGGCAACAAAAACAAGGATTTGGCGTTGAGTGCTTGAAGTTGCGGCACGTAACAGGACATGGATCTTAAAGGTTCAAACGACCGACCTGTGTCTTTCGGTTGTTCGCCTGCGTTCCGCATGCTGGTCGCCAACATAATGGAACAAACCCTAGCAATGTGAGTTATAGCTCTCATGGCCCCTGTGATTCACATCCCATGATGAGCAGAATATGCTCAAAGATTTGGGCTGCTTAGCTGCTTACTCTAGTCTCATGGCCATCATTTAGTAGAAGCCTCCTGTTAAAGTTCTGAAATCTATTTCTCTACGGCGTCGACCGCGTTTCTCATGGTTCTTGCGCTTGTGCGCACGGGCCATCGGATCGAACGCCCGCGCTGGCCACGGTTCCTGCCGCCCAGCGGCCACCTCATGTTCACCATCGGGCGCCGCACTTGCAGACAGGGACGCAGCCAGAGCCTGGTCTGCGCGGATGCATCGTGCCGGAAGGGTCCGAACCCCTGGCGGAGTGAGCTGTTGGAGAGCTGTTGGAGGGTCCGCAGAAAGACGTGTCATTTCTGACTTGGTACTTGTCAAGTACAGGAGCAAATGAAGCTCACTATAACAGTGTAAGGAGGCACTGGGTGGGTGTGAGGAACACCAAAAAAAACACATGACTTGCTGCACTCTGACAACCAAACCATCCAGCTCAAGTGGAGTGTAGAGACCACGTTTCTACGTAGTGGCTACTCACTGACTCAGACATGGGTCCGTTGTCGTGATCTCAACCTCGTGATCTCAACGGTGTCAACAAGCCAAAGTCAAACATGTACACCAACATCATGTATATTATATAAATTAGATATATGCCCTACAAGTCAATGACCTCATTTTACTGGAGTTGGTCATACAACAACACTGTTCAAGAAGCTAAAGGACCTGGTTTTACTGGGTCAGACTGGACTTGTAGGGATATATGACACCGTCCGCCCTTAAACCCGCTGCAGCACTGCAAAACGTAAAAGACACCACCGCCATTGTTTTCCTGCACCCCCAGTCGGCCCAGTCGGGGTGGTTAATATACACCCCAAAAGACCTCTTGACTTCGGGGCTAGTAAAGAAACACCCGAAGTCCGTGGTGCTGGTTCTTGATTGATCTGTTTTCCACGTGTTTCTTCTCTCTCTCTCTCTCTTACACCATGGCCTTCTGCACACATATCATTTTCTCTGACGAACCCCCCAAGCTGCCACAGACCTTGCTAAGCCTTGCTTACTTTGTAATAGGTCGTCCAAGGTGCCACAGTCAAGGGAGACGAATCCTGTACCAAAGCTGCTTGCAATGCTTCATATTCCTTGAAGCCTCAGCTGACATCAGATGACAGCACCACACTGAATGATCTCAATTCCGAGCCACTAAGTGACTCAATTTGGGCATGCCAATGGGTGGATCCAACCGTTGACCTCCTTGGTTTTACCGCTTGGCACGGGGGTCGGTCCGTGCCAAGCACCCGCCGCGGCACTGAGCACTGCTGTGGAGGGCAAGACAGGGCCGCGGAATGAGACACGGCCAGAAGCTGCAAGAAAGAACACGCTCAGGGAGAGCCAAGCCTGAGAAGCGCGAGCGGATGAGAGACAGCGTTCGTGGCTGGCATGCTAGCGCTCAAGGGACCAAAAAAGGAGGATGCATTTGCGGCTTTGATGTGCTTGGTGGGACATGGAGGTAGCAGGAGATACAGTCAGATACAGTGTTTCAAGAGTAGATTGCAAATCTAAACATCTGCGTTTTTTTTCTTCTCATGGGGGTCCATATAAACCACCAAACTTGGGGTAACTTGTGCTATCTGACATTTGAAGTAGATGACTTGGGAAGAATCGTCACAGGCGACCTGAGTGGCACCAGTGGCACCTTTTCCGAACACGGCGACCTTTATCTGGCGACCTTCGTTACAGGCGACCTTAGGTGCATGGCAGGAGCTATTGGATCATCCTGTCCAGAAAAAAACACATGTGCAGAATCAACCCCTCTTCACTGGCTCCCACAAAGGCCAAAGAGTTTGCTTGCTCGGCTATCGGCCAATTGACATAATACAGGTTATCAGGGTGCATGGCTCCCCACCAAAATGGCTCCACTCGGCCATCCGCTCCGGACTTTCTGGAAGATTCCCATCAGAAAGCACACATACTGTTGCAACAACGAGTGTTTTCGGCTTCCTTTCCGCACCACACTCTATCTGGGTCGACAGTGGACAGCGAAAAAACCAAAACAAGTTGGCACCAAAGAGGAGGCCATCAATGTAAGCACCCACCTCTTGGTCGCACCGCCCCCCCCCGTCGTTTCCCGTCGCATCCGAGAAACGTCCTCGGACCCCAAGGATCGCACGGCCTGCCGATCGCACCGAGCGTGTGAAGCGTCGTGTGGAGATGTGAAGCGTTGAGAAGTGCTCCGTGCATCTCCACAAAGCAACATGAACCACCTAACCGAGCTCGGAGCGTAAATCGTCTATAGTTAGTGGCTAACATGTTCCCAAGTACCCCAAGATGTGAAGCCCATGCACCTGCTGGATCCAGACGTTGGGTGCAGAACATGACCGATGTTGATGAATCTGGGTGGGATGCTTCTGATGTTTAAGCTCATTGGTCAGATTCCACGGTGCGGAATAAGAACCCAACATGTGCACAGGGGGTTGTGTGATGGGATACTGTTGACATGAGAAAGTTGGCTGGTCTGCGGTGCCGAAGACTGCACACCCAAACACTCCATGAGACTGGCATATTTACATACATTATCATACATTAGGGTGGTTTCAGGGATCAATGTAGGCATATATATATATATACACCATACATGGAGTGTCTGGGACCACCCCCTGTTTGGTAGTAGTCTTCCAAACTCGGGACCATGCCATCCACGTAACCATGTGATGTGTTCGTCATGTCGTGCATGTAACTAATTGGATCCTGCCCTCCAAGGGATCCGTGGTGCAATTGACTCTCGTTGGAGGGGAAAATGACATGCACCGGGCAAGGGGCAGGGGGCAAGGGGCGGTCCTCCGTCATTTTCAACCATACACCGGATCAATCTTCTTCCACCTATACATGTATATGTATGTATATGTAGTATACACACCCCAACTCGAGTGGATCCAAAGGGAGCAAACGGACTAGTTAAGCCTGGGCTTCATGCAAACAAAATGACTCTTAATAACAACAATCATCATCATAGTCATCATCATAGTCATCCTCATCACCATCACCAAGGAATTTATAATCTGTTTGCCGGTCCATTTCATGCGAGCGGTGCCAAGAAACCACTGTGGGTCTTCTCCGACTCTGGACAGGAGCGAAGCAATCCACAGGTGATTCACCAAAGAAAACTGGAAAAGGCACATGACTATGACTATAACTCAACAAATCAAAATTTGCTAACACTCTGCAAGGGCTTGCAAGGATCAAACATAGGGGGTAGAACAATCACCAGCCTCAAAAGGTGTCTCTGCAAACACCTTCGGAACCGTCGGAACCCATGTGGTATCTCCATGCAAAGTGGGTTCGCTTACCCTGTGGTCTCACTGCACGGTTCGGCCCGCGCCTTGCTTCCCAGGGAGACAAAGGTGAAATCGACGAAGACCTCGTCACCCACGAAGTGCAGCTCAGGCCTTGGGAGACGTGGGGGGGACGCTACTAGGGGCTCCTGGCCTTGCTACTAGGAGCAACGTCTCAGGACCCCACAGGCTCGGTCTGACAGAGGTCCTGGAGGTCTGCGGCTACGGAGCATCAAGTTCCCTGTGGCTACGTTTCAGCTGAGCTCAGCTGTAGGGTGTATTGGCTTCGCACAAGAAAGGGTCATTTGTAGCAAACACTTGGGGGAGAACCCCCTCAAAACACGTGCAGGGAGCTAAGGGAGCACAAGGAACACATCAACAAACAATGCCTTCTGTTGAATGGGTTTCCGAGAGGAAAGCAAGGACATTATACTAAGGAACATCAGTGGTTCAGTGTCGGTCAACAGTGACTCTTTATTGCAACTGCACCTCTTTTCGCATGATTCCACCTCCCTGTCAAGTCCTGGGCGGCTGTGGAAGTGTCCTTGGCAATATAGTATCTTAGTATACATACATAGACCCAAATAAATGGAAGAGTAGATCCTCCACTGAAAATGCATTGGACACTGTTTCTATTTATTGGGGCGCCACCAGCACTGTGCGGTGGGACCTTCCTGGTCATCTCTTTGTTGCGACGAACGCACGTCGCGGAAGGAACGCTCCATCATCTTGCCCAAAAAGCTGCTTGTTTCTGGGATATCAGCTAATAGTTCCACCGTAAAGTGGACCAACTATAGGAAAAAACAGGAAGCAGTAGGAAGGAAAACAAAGGGCATCAATAAGAACATCAGTGGTGATTTTGCGCAACCAGATCTGTTTGTTAACATGATTGCCATTCCAGGCTGCTCTGCTCTCACCCCCTTGAAAAAAGAGGCTTGCAGCAATGTGTCCGATGAGTTTGCATACGGGGCGGGGGGGGGGGGTGTTCAAGAAGTTTCTGGTCAGAGTACAGGGATTCAGGCAAAAGCTCTCCTGCAAGGATCTCAAAGGGAACCAATGCTTAGGCCATTCAACAGAGGAAGAAAAACAAGAAAAGAGTACGAACAAACCGGGAGAATAAAACCGTTGATCATTCTAGCCTCCCAAGCCATAATATGTTGGGGGAAGCTCTATTCCCTCCCCTGGGCTGTTTGGGATCAAAAACGTGCCTTCAGAATGTCTAAACGAGTTATGCTAACACACCCATCCGACTGGCTTCTGAATCACTTAAGACAGGTCTCTTTCGCTCTTGGCAAAGGATTATATATGGCCAATCACGGCTCAATGCAGGAATTCACACCTACTTTGTGCCGCAAATGTTGGTGAGACGGGACAATTAAATGTATACTGTATTCTATAATCATAATATATACTGTATATATATACTGTAATTGAACTTCATTCCCAAGCGACTCATCAATGGACATTGCCAGATTCAACAAAGACCAGCTGCCATCGCTGAAGAGAATACCCAGGTGAGCCTGAAAAATGGGGATGGGCAGTGACCAACTCAATCGTCAACCCTTGGTATGGAGAACCCACATCCCAATGCAAACATTTAGCTACGAACTCTGGAGGTTTGGAAGACAGCTCGTGGAAGCGGTGTTTTCTCCTCCTCAACCCTTCTTAGTCAAAATTGGGACTTTCCAGCGAACTTGGTACACTTCTCTATTTGATGTACCCAAACACACTCCCCCGGCCCCGCAAAAAGCTCGGAGATCCTTTTGATGCCTCGCTCAAGCCCCCATGCCATGCGTCTAATGTGCTTTGCTGGATGTGCAGTTGCCTGAAACTGGTTGTTCTTTGGTACGGCTTCACCCCAACACCCCCATGACACTTTAATTGTATATAATTAGAAGGCATCGTTCAGTGCACCGCGGTTCGCCATCCAAGTGACATCACTGGTAGGGTGCCAGGCCACTTTCACCAAGCTCTTTCCTGCCAAGCAATGCCCATGCCATGGGTTTACGATTCTCGCACCAGGGTGCCCCACCTCTGGTCCTGGAATGGGAGTGAATGGGATTCAAGGCAGGAATGTGTTTCCTTCTCGCCAGGTCCCGTTCTAATGGCAAGTACTTGTGGAAGATGGAACACGAACCCCGATGGAGTCGCAAGTGAAACAAACATTATAATGGTATAATATGGTGATATATGGTGTATATATTGATATATGGTCAGAATGGTATAATTAATATCGTCATGGTCATATATTGATACATATATACATATACACACTGTATATATGGTCATGAACTTGCTGGAATATAATATGCTGGAGTGCCGGATTGTCGCTCTAAGACCCTGAGTCAAAACTCACCCACCCCATCAACCTATGCTCCCCATCAACACTTCCATCACATGAACTAGTTGGTCAAGCACCCTAAAAAGGATGGATGGTAACCCTAAAATCAACAAACAACGGAGTGACCGGACCTTCCGTTCACTCGTGTTCCACGGCCTTAGGACGCCGCCGAGTTCGCAACTTCGCGACGGCTCGCGCCTGCCGGCGTGAAGACCATCGCCTCCAGTCGCTCCTGCCGCTGCTCCAAAGCCCCATCGAGGCTGACCACCGCGCAGCGTGCGGGCGACCAGAGTGCCAGCGCCCGATACCCGGAGGAGATGTGAAGCCTCGGCTGAAAGGGATGCCAAAATATGAACCTAAATCTCACGGCGAGGTTGTTGCCAGGGAAACCTCAGAGAAACAAGAAGAACAACAACAACAACAAGAAGAAGAACAACAGCCACAGGCAAAACAACAACGCGGAACCGGTGTATTGGTCGTGAGTTCGTGTGAGCAACCCGACTCCTCGGCCTCTTGGACTTCTGGTCCGCTGCTACTCGAGGTTCTTGTATTTTGGTATGCTGCGTGCTCAAGGCCGCGGGCATACATCAACTTATAACAGTCCTCCTGCAGAAAAGGAACTACGTTCGTAGCAGGACAAACATCTAGTGTGCTTGACATAATCCTTTCACTACAAAAGAAAAGGACAGAACAGAAATGGGAAACCATGGAAGACGAAAATAGGAGCTGAAGGTCTCGACATGTTTATATGTCACAGTACTCCTCACCTTCCTCGCAATCACACCCCTCTTTTTCATCTTCCTGTTCAGAACAAATGCCAGAAGGTCAATAACATATATTATATATCAAAGCACATGAGAGAACACGAGTCTGAACACGTAACATGTCTGAACATCTTATGCAACTACATGTCCATGATGCCCAAACACATCATGGAATAACTATTATTTTGCTGCATATGTCAAAGCAAGATTAAAACAAACGATAACAAACGTCAATGTCTGAACATACGTCCGACATGGAACACTGCCAGAGTAAATGAATCTAAATGCCAGAAAATGTTTCATGTGATATCAAGTCATTTGTCAGGGTAGTCTGCCATACCATGTGCCCTTCCTTCTTTCAAGTTTTTCTCTTCGGGTGAAAATGACTGCAAGTGCGGCAATTTTAATTCCGGTATGCCCTCTTATATATGATGTGGCCGTTCTCTCCATGAAACCAATATTCCTTGAAACTGCCCTTGGCCATCTCGAGACATCAATGTGTGCAAAAATTATCGTTGAATCAAGCTAATGTAGACTCTTGATTAATAATGACCCCCCCATATGAAGGTGTTTCAATTCAAACGGATGGGGGTTATGAATCAAGAGTCTACGAGTACATTATGTCGATTTTATGCACTGTGCAAGTTACAAACAGCAGAAACTGCCACCATGGCCAGGTCAGCAGAAAACGCTCATCCAATTGTTCATCTTCAGAACGCCAGCGCCGCACTCGGAACGAACCATTCTTACCCAGTCTAGACTCTATAGATCTAGATGTTTGACTTGAATCCTATAGATTCCGCTACCAACTGGTCTCATGCCTCTTCAACGATTCGATGCTGCACGGGTGTCTTTGTTTAGGGGAGACCCAGTCAAGGCCTTGTTGAGACGCTTCGAATCCCTAAACCAACGGACCATCGAACCCACACGGATCGACCCACACAGATCGAAGCCATCGCATCCTGCCAGAATGCTGCTGGAAAGGCTCTGGCTCCGCAGTCTCCTTGGGGGCGCGGACGACCGAAGACCCGTTCGGAACGACACCCCGGTGACTGTATCCGATCCGATCAGCCCTGGAATCCCAACAAGATCGAAGCAATACGGAGGCCCGGGCCCTCCAACGGTCATGGGTGTACCAGGTGTGTGTTGCAAGGTGCTGGTCTGGTGAAATGAAACACGATGAAACACGCAGCCATCTTCAGAAGTGCATTGAAGGCGATTTCAGGGCTTGAAATGGACACCTTGAACAAGATTGATGATCGAGTGTGTTATCTAGCAAAAGAATCGTGCACTGCCATGCACTAGTGCAACAGCTGGCCGATCACATGGTCTTCAGCAGACCTGGGTCAAGCAAATAGCCAGGGAATGTCCGGGACATATTACTTAACACATGAACTTCCCAACCGTATAGCCTATAAACAACAAAACATAGACTTCCAGCCACCAAAGGTCTGTTTTAACATTATCCCACTGCCATCTCCTCATCCCAACCGCTAAGGACTATAGTCGTACTTGTCCGTACTTGAGCTGAAGCGCGCTGGGCTCGATCTTCACATCAATCAGCAATCTGCGCTCGATGAAGCCACTGCCGTCCTTGAGATCGTCACGTGTCGCCGTCACACGACCCCGCTGGATCCGGTCCACCCCATCCGGAAGTGATCCCCAAAGAGCATAACACTGGCACGGGAAACCCGGTCGACATGTTCGACGGATCCACGAACTTCGATCTAGTTGGGGGGCCTATATTACTCACCACTTTGATGAGCTATTTCCGCATAGACGACAGCATGCTGGGAATCTCACACGCCATTCAAAGACAAAACACCCAAGGATTGAAGAGTCCGGCATCTGCATTTCATGACTTTCTCTCGCAGGCTGTGGTGCAAATCTCCAACCTTCATTGATTTTAACACTTGTGATCCCAAATTGCAGGACGCCAAGGAAAGGCCGTTGAGTAACAGTCAGTGGCTTGTTTCACGCTCCTGGACGCAGATGTGCACCACTTCAGAGGTCTCTCCACTCTGGTATGCCTCAGGGGCACGCTGTGGTCTTCCAAAAGCACGCTGCGTTTGGGCCTCTGACTCTACACGCTGGATTCGTGGTTTGAGCGCAAGGCTCAGCCGCACGTATCCGCGCGTGCTCGCTGCTTTTGGCACGTGTGGAAGGCTTTTGGTTTTCCGAAACTGCCCTGCCAAAGTTTAAAAAGAAACGCGTGCGGCATGCGCCTCCCTGAATTTTCCACATCACATCCCATACACATCAAATCCCATCCAAGTCGATCCTAAGCTTGGCACTGCCCGCTTCCCCAGGAGGAAGACCGTGAGACCTCCAGGGAGCTCAGCAACTGCCAGGCTTCCGGACGAGGCCTGTGTCGGAAGTGACTGAGAAACGAGGAAACAAGATTGAAGGATTGCTCAGGGATTTTTGCGTGTGGATCGGATCGTGTCACAAATCATCTTCGTAAACCAAACCTGCAGTGAGCTGCTAGGTCCTAGGTTCGGTTCCAGGTGGTGTTCAAAGGATGAAACAATGACCGATTCTTCGTCTCCAGGTGGCAGTCTTCCAAATTCCAATTGCAATGAATATATAGCTCTTATAAAATAAAAGGTTGCCCATCTTTTACTTATATTGCTGCTATAATCTTTTATGCAGCATATTAATATAATTGGCTTGCGGATGAACACACAAAATACAAACCTCCCTGGAACTAACATGGAAGTGGAGTTCACCACCTGTTTGTAGAAGAATGGTCTTCCTTTCGGGGCCATTCTCCACTTCGTTCCTTCCAGAGAGTGTATATATATATATATTGTATATTCTTAGTATTTTGGGGTTCCTTCTTCCATGCACCATCATGCTCCGATTCAGGCTCGGTACTTCTCACTCCTGTTTTAGCCCAATCCCAGCATAGCCGCAGCTTCCACTGTGCCTGCGCCCATAAGGGCAGGTGGGCCAAAGCCTGGGTTGCAACTGGAATCTGGGCTCAAAGACCTACCTGTTTAAACCAAGATCTGGTGGATGGGACAGGGTTGTCTGAACCCGAATGCCGAGCAAAGTTGCGTGTCCGCCCCGGTGAAGCAATCGAACTGAACTGAGGAACCAACCCTCTGAAAAAGGGGGGATCCCCTGATGAGAATGAGAGAAACTACCCTCTGACTTCGGCATTCCCAGCCAGGTAGGGAGAAGCACTGTCAACATCGACCAGGCCGCCGTAGTCGGACCTAAACACGACCAAGCCACGCTCCACTTTGCGGCCATGGCCTGCCTGGCTGCCCTTGCGCAGCTCCACAGGTGGCTGAAATCGGCTCCAAGCTAACCGAGCTCCGGGCTAAGCCAGGACGGCTGGGACGGGCTTTCTCGGGAAGGCGTCGTATGTCCATGTACAGTTCATTCGACACAGAAACTCCCCCCACTTCCAGATCTTCCAGTGTGGGAAAGCGATTCATGAAACAACATCCTGATATAGAGGCCACGTTGCGGTGATCACCACATCTCCGATATTCTCCGATCATCCACGCAAGTTTCAGACCTTTACCACTCGACCTTAAGCCCTTTTGGAGCAGAAGAACTGTGAGCTGTGCCGAGACCAATGGATTGCGTGGAGGCGGGATGACATGGTTGAACTGAGGCAGTCCGTGACGCATACAGCTTCATGCTTTGGAAGGGGTGCTTTGGTCGGGCGGGCGACCTCTTTTGCGAAAAATAAGGGAAACTTGCTTGTTTCGTTTTTTTCCCGTTTCCGAATTTGTATAGAAGATGTTGGGCGACACGAATCCAGAACCCACGGGGTGACATGGGACTACAAACTTCAGGCCTTTTGCCGAACGTCGGGATTGGCTTGATCATTGGTGTGGAATTCTTCTTTTTTCTTCCACTGATTCGGGTGATCTGTTTAGTTCCTTTTCCTCCGCAAATTCAGCGGCTTCTCTTGTTTGACTTCATGCTATGGGATGAGGTTCATGGACTTGGCGACATGCATATGCCAGGTATTGCACCAGTCCGGGACCGGCCAGTCGACCGCGCCCATGCGATCCCGCTCTCTGGGAACCGATGGTCACGAAGTGTTGCTACAATGCCAAACGCAATCCATGGGACTGCCATAGGACTGCCGCCCGGCCCCCCGAAACCACCCCAACTGATCGGCAGTCCTATGGCAGTCCCATGGGTTAAGCCACCTCTCGACTCTCAATCGTCGTCCTTGCCCGGAAGGTCGCGCAAAAGAGCGGGGCACCCGACATCTGGCTGAGGGAACCTCCTAACGAGCTGCCCTGAGCTGCCGGCCGGAAGAAAGGAACGTGAAGCACGATGTGGTCATGGGGCAAAAAAGGATGTGGTAAGTGGTAAGGGATTGAAGGACAAGCAGCCCTAGATACCAAGCTGCTGTACTTGCTGTAAGCTGGCAAACCTAGGGCCAAGCAGGACTGAGACTCTGAGAGCCCAGAACCGCATGTTTGGTTGGATTGGACCAACCTCTTCTTCTTCACTCTGCTCTGAACAGGAACTTGCGTGAGGATGCAAACATACAGAGTTTGGATCCAAACCTGCGGAGTTTGGATGAAGGTGGATCATATCCTCTGAGTGAATCACCCTGCTTCTTGGGACAAAGGGCTATCAAACATGTGAAACTGCAACTTGTTGTACCGAACGCATTGTGAGCGATGATCAAGCATGGGACGGAGAAAAAGCACACTTGTTGATCCTGATTTGTAAAATGGAGCACGCATAATGAAGTTGTCCTTGAATGGTTTTGGGGGTTGGAATAGTAAAACAGGTCTTCTGCAAGAGTGTATTCAGTGTATTGCTAATCCTGTCTGTTTGCACCAGCAGCATCAGCACCACTGCATGCCTCCTCTTATAGATTTTGCTGGAATCCTAGAACCCTGACCCGAAAAACAAGTTCTCAAGCACCCTAATTCCAACACCCCAAACAATCACAGTATTAATCGAAGCGGTAGTCCACAAGCGCCCTGGGAAGAAAAACAAATCTGAGCTACGTGTTCTATTTCTCAGCTATTGGTTGCCTTTGAACTTATAATCTTTGCTTGGCCTCTTCTGAGGTTTTGCTTGATTCCGGAAACTCTGACCTATACAGCATACATATACGTTTATTATTGACGTATTTATTTAAATGGGCCCCTTAGAATCACAAAGGATATGTTGGGTCCCTTTTTCATCTCCATTTCTTATCTTTTCGCCGTCCCCAGGCCAAGCTCCCTGGAATCATGCTCATACGACGCTAGGGGGGGGAGCTATCTACGAATCAGGATCCTGCATTACCCGGTTCAATAAGTCCAACATCTTTAATTATCGGTGAGACCCTGGAAGACTAGCATGGACCCTGAAAACCACTGGTTGGTAAAGGAAAACAATCCTCTAGGGAGCCATTAAGCCATTGGACCCGAGTCCATGTTAGCTTTCGGTCTTAGCTTTCGGTCGCGTTCTACATCACGAGAAAGACCTGCGTGCAACGTGCTGCACGCTCACGCTCACATCCCCTATGGATCCTATGGATCATACTCTCTTTATACTTGGAGGGTCCAATCGTACTTTCTTTTCGAAGGTGGCAGTGGATCCAAAGACTTCCATTGGAATGAGTCGACTCCCAAAGACTTCTAGTCGCGAGTCGCAACCGGTCGCAAGTCGCGGTGGCCGGTCGCGTCCGGGAAAAGCCCTCAAAAACACCGCTGGGTGGCGGGACCTCGAGACATGGGGGTATGGGACCTCTCTGAGTCTGTCCTTGTCTCCGTGGACATCCCGTGGTGCCGGAGAAAACAAGGGTCTGGAGGTCTGGAGTGTATGTCTTTTCTATAGACCTTGAACAGCAAATGGGACTTAAACACGAAACCTGTGACTAGAACACAGGCCCAACTGTTGGTTCTGAGGATGTACCCTGCCCTGGACAGCTGTATCATACATCGGTTTGACCCTAATCATCACTCCAACCGTGACCGGCGGGAGAAAAACCAGGTCCTCACCATGCATCGCTTGTGACGAACAGACTGCAACAAAGCTCCACGGAACAGACTGGACAAACCAAAAGGACGAAACGAAACGCGGATGGCCAGTTGCCAAGGACTCTTTTCACCTGATAGTTTGCCTGCAACAAAGATTGTAATTCTACAGCTCACACACCACAGCACCTCCTGCCACACCCTGCACGAACTGCACTGCTGCACTGCTGCGGTTCTGACGTCGTCTGTGCCACCTGGAATTCTCTCCCAACCCAGTCCATAGTAGCAGGAACCCCTACTCAAAAGAGTAGTACCAAAAGGCAAATAGTACAACTAAAGCTTGGGTAGTACCACGGTCTACATCTCGTTGTTGGGAGGGCCAGTTTTCCCAGTGGTTCTTCGAGGTGCTTTCTCACTCCCCATGGGCCGACAGGACCTCTTCGTGACGGCGAGGCGCCTCCAACTTCACCACGGAAGAAACTTTGTCTCCCTTCCCTCAGCCATGCGCGGTGGGTCATCAACTTCGGTCTTCACATCTTTACGCCCTTGGGGGGGGGGTTGCAATCCAAGAGCACCCCTTGCCATAGGTCACGAAACAACCTGTCGAGTCTCAACCACTGCATGTTCAACATGTAAGGGGAACTGACGGATAAAGGCTCACTCAGCTCTCTTCTTAGGGGGCCGCTTCTTTGCTGGGCTCTTCTTCAAAGCAGACTTGCGAAAAAACAAAGCCAAGGCCTGGCACACGACTCGCCAATCAAACCAGAAGAGATGATGGTATTGATCTGGGGACCTTGCTCTCGCCAAAAGCTCTGTGCCACGCTGAAGCATCTTTAAAAAAACACGCCCAATCAAACGCAAACCATCCAAATCCTAACATCCGCATCCTCCCCGAGACATCTGGCTTCGTCTCCGGCAGACAGTCCCATGGGAGGACCCTGCATGGTTCCTTGGATCCTGCATACCACTGCACGCCTTTCTGAAGGGTGCATGAAACACCCTGGACCCTGGGGCATCCATGCCCAGGGAAAGGGCGCAAGCGTGCTCCATCGCAAGCGTGCTGCAGACTCAGCTCTGGACCGTCACCACTTTGCCTCGAAGGCTGATGAAGGAAGTTCCCTTCACTCATGGAAGGCTGATGAAGACCATTTCGGATTTGAATCGACACAACCAGATCTGTTGAATCCATCACGCTCCAGCTAAGTTTTGATCTTATCTGTTTCGGATTGCAGCCGTTGAAGATGTTGGCAAAGGTAAAGCTTTAGTGGTTTCGACATATCCTGCGCATTCGTTTGGACAAGGTAGTTCTCTGGCCATGGCCTGCACAAACTTTAACATGCCAACACTCTGTATACAGGCGTTGGTGGCAAATCAATATAAGTTGCACAGCATTCAGCACAACATGATAAGGATCGTGCATTTGAATGCATTTAACCAAAACCCCTGACATCATCTAAACGTTCCAGAGTCCAGATTCACTCCAGTAGCGAATTAACAATAGGTCATATTCAACATCCCAGCATCCCGAAATAAGCAAAACGGGATTATATATAGGGGCCCCACTATGTCCCCCGCGTGTGGAGTACCAGTGCCGGTCAAAGGATGTCAAAGTCTCAAAGTTGCCCTCCAAAAACAAATACAGTGGTTTCAGTCAGAGTAGATGGCACAACCCCCTGATCCTACATGTTCTTTAGATGGGGTCCATATAAACCAGCTCTTGGGGTCTGTGCCATCTACTCTCAATCCACTATAAGCCATGGAAAGCAATGCCACGGTGCCCTACACAAAGGATCTGCGACAGTCCGTTTTTTTTGAGAGTGGCAGGCTGTGAGAGTGCACTTTTTTGTTATTTTTGGAATTTCATTAAGTCATTTGACATGTATAGTTTCGTGGCTTATCAGCATCTATATAGTGTCCAGTTGCCTTTGAGTCTGGCCCTCTCGTGATGGCAGAGCTAGAAGGTGAGAGTTTGGCAAGACAATTGGGTGTGAGAAGGGTACCTTTACTGCAAAAACTAAAATGTTCTTTAGACTAAGGTATAGTAAAGCTTTGGCATAACCACGATAGGGTCAAATCTCATATGTCTTTAAAACAAACATAATTTATATATAATATTTTGATTGTGAAAATTAGATTCTTGGTCAAGTCTAATTTAATTCCAGGGAGTAGGTGTTGCTGGGGGTGTGAGTTTAAGACAAAATGATATAAAATCATATGTTTTACAGTGTTTTATTGCCCTGGGAGTGCTGGGAACTAGGTCAAAGCATTGCCTTTTAGGTAGACAGATAGACTTGTTCAACTAATATTTGGAATAATCATTTCTATATTAAGAAAGCTTTGTATAAAAGTTTCTATGTCAAAGGGTTTCCTCTCTGTAGATCTCTGGAATGATCCCTTCTATAAAAGCAATTTTTAAAGCTGCTAATTCAAGAGTTTTCCCCTTCATCTCTGGATTTTCTGAAGTTTTTACATTAAACCGCTATAGTTGAAAGCCTTTTTGTTCAAGAGCTTTCCTTTAAATCTCTGAGAATAATCAGTTCCATATTTGAGCATGTATATCTTATTTTAAAGCTTACCTTCTGGATGCCTGCTGCCACAAAGAATATTCAGAAAATCATGGCTGGGAACCCGCCCCCCTCCAGAGAGTCTGAAAATATAGATTTTTTCTTGATTGTTTCAATGTTTTTGGTACCACTCTAGATCCAAATATTGCTTTGTCTTGCCTGCTGCCACCCTGGGAGTACAGTAAAATCTAGTCCTAAGAACAAATGAAACATAGCAAAAAACTGCACTCTCAGGGCCTGCCGTTCTGTTTTTTTTCCGTCTGCTGTGGGTCATGACTAGTTCTCCGACAACATCTGTGCAAGTTACTTTATTTCTTAGGTCGTCTCCCTCGTGGGCTTAATTTCTTGGCCGCGTTTAGTGTCCTCGTCCGCTAATTCGGGTCATCAAATTAGGGCTGTCCCTCGTTAATTCACGAAAGGAAATTAATACAACAGTATCATTTGGATTGCTGAAGTGGTGAAAAATAAACTTTTCCCGATGGAAAAAAGTTATTCCTGCCCATACCTCGTCAGCTAGCGATCCGCACAGGTTCCGGTTGGGGCACAGGTTTTCATGTGCCTTCTCGTCTTTTGGTCCAAAAGTGAAGATGCCTTTGGCCCTGGGAAATGGAAAAACAACTTTCTGGGCCTTGAAAAGTTTATTATTCCATTCAAACACTTTGACGTTCAGAGCCAAGCAAAGGCAACTTATTGAAGCCCCAAAAGGTTTTTTTGAACCACCTCCAACTTGAACCGGAACCATCCGAGGCTACCTCGTCAGTTTCTTAAATATACACTCCAGCAGGTTGAGGCACAGGTTTCCATGTGCCTTCTGGGCAAACATCAACCTTGTAGAGCTCGTGCCCATGAGACGAAACGAGAACCCAAAGCATACTCATGCCTGCGTACTCATAGAAGCACCGATCACACACACTTTTGGTCCAAAAGAGAAGATGCCTTTGGCCCTGGGAAATGAAAAAAAAAACTTTCTGGGCCTTGAAAAGTTTATTATTCCATTCAATCACTTTGACGTTCAGAGCCAAGCAAAGGCAACTTATTGAAGCCCAAAAAGTGTTTTCTTTTTTAACCACCTCCAACTTGAACCGGAACCATCCGAGGCTACCTCGTCAGTTTCTTAATTCATGGAACGAAAGTAAGATTGTCCTCGTTAATTCTCCCTAAGCCACCTCGTTGCCTCGTTTGTCCTCGCTATAATTTGTGCAGACAACATCCCAGCAAAGCTATTCCGCGACATTCCAGGTTGCATTTGGGATCATTTGGGCTTGCTATGCTGAAGCCTCTTGAAACACTGCCTTTTGGAAGAAGACCCTCCAACTGTCCCACTGCAGTGTTCAATCTGTGGCACCCCGCCCGTTGGTTGCCAAAGAGGACATCTGGCAAGGTCCCAGGCTCTTTGGAGGGGATCTACTAGCTCAAACGGCAGGGTCTATTCCGCCGAAGACGGCTCCAAAAACAGCCAGTGGATGTGATCTAAATACCTCAAGGCTGCGATCCCTGCATTTCCCCAAACACTGAAAAGCACTCGATCGAAATGATGGGACCCCAGCTTTGGGATCGCTGAAACTCTCCAACACGCTCGGACAGTAGGATCGGTCCGTTAAACATGTGCGGATGAATGGAGGACGTCTGGGGGCTCATGGGCGTGCTGGGGCAACTGCTTCCGCCCGCCAAGTGAAAACCCGTGCGGAAACGGCCGTCACTGGGAGGAGACGGAAAACCAGGAGAACACGCCAATGACGCCATCAAACCAACACCGAACCTGTAAAAAAACCAGAAAAAACCATAAAAGCCTTGAAAACTGAAAACAAAGTCCTGTCCTCCAAGATCCTCCAAGTACCAGCACCACCCATTTCGGGTGGTTTTGGGGATGGAATTCCTACCTCTTCAGGGGGGATCGTCTAGACCGTGGTGCTGGTCGGTCTAGTGCGCTGGCTTTCTTCGCTCCGACTCGAACGAACCGACCAGCTGCCCGAGCCGCTGCCCGCTGCCTCCACGCCGGAGGTCCGGACCTGGGGAGGTGTCGGGTGGAGGTCGAAGACCCGACACCTTTCGGGGTGTCTATTGATAGCCCGGTATCTATTCACCACGCCTTGGAGGTCCGGTCCTGGTATACTTATCAAAAAAATACACGCACATCCCTGATTATTTGTATAAATATAGAATGCCTTAGAGGTCCTTAGGTTCTTAAACAGGGGTTTCCAAACCGGCCTGCCGTCCCAGCGACGCCCCGTGACCCCCCGTACCCGCCACGAGGAGCTGGGACCCCCGGCCGCCAGACTGATCCGCAGGTCTCGCTTCACTGCCCGAAGCCACATTTGCAGCGCGACGTCCAAACCTCAACGATTGAACGGGATGTGGAAGAGGAAAAACAACAACCATTGATGGCTTTTTTTGCATGTTTGTTTGCATTCTCGAGCCATGTGATTGTTATTTTTTTGTTAACGGTTTAATTCAACTCAAATACATAGTTTGCTCTATGTATTACAGTAATTAATTCTATTCCACCCCATTCCTCGCCCGGGAGTGCCGCGCCTAGCGCCTTCCGTCGACGTTGGAAGTCGCAGGCCACACAGGGCGGAGAGTCAAACCTGAGGTGGTTGGATTTTCGCTGGCAACAAAGAAAATCAACAGATCTTGAACGTTGTTGTTGCGGCGGAAATCGTTCAAGAACATCAACAGGATCAATCGTTCAGGCAACTGTGATTTCCGTTGTGGCCTGAACGGATCTTGGTGTTTGATTTTCGCTGATCCTTCTTCAAAGATCGCAACCAGAAGGTTGATGCAGTTGCCGTTCAGGCCAAACACAAAAACGGGACGGATCGTTCGGATCTGGTCGAAGAAACATGTGTATTTATTATATACATGAGTACCAGTACGCCACCAAGGTTCATCCCAGGTGCCCTTTACACCCACACGTGAAAGACGGGTCCAGCATAGTCAAGAAAATATGCCTATCCCCATGTGCCTGTATTACTACCTGGTCACTCTGATCAGCTCCTATCCTCCATGCGTATTGTTCCTGAAAACTGTCACGGCTCAGTCGGCGCTAAAACGCACCGGTGTTCAAAGCAGCCAATAAGAAATCCCATCAATCCATGCTTTGAGGTACACTCCCTTGAACTCAGCAATCGTCCCCAGTGTTCTGAGCGGTTTTTCAAAGTCCTGCTTGGTGTGGATTGGAGAGTCTATACGTTGAATTTCCCTCTAGGTGTGCTTCCACGTGGCAAACTCCAGGTCTCTCGGGGGGCCGTTCCGCCGAAATAAGCATTGTGACACCCGCCGTGACTCGCATCGCATTCCTGCTGGTCGGACCTTCTCTCCAATGGCGGACCCGGTCAGATGCCGGGGGGGAACGAGCGCTGGTGACAAACGCCGGGAGCACGACGTGCACCGGGGGATGTGAGAAAAGGAGCATTGGAGATCTCCTGGGCCTGAGGAAAACGATGCTTGATGTTTACACAGAAAAAAAAGACTATGAGGACCCCATATACTAGATTAGTAATGTAATATACTCATTAGTGAGTTTGAGGGTTGGCTCGCTATGGAATGTGAAAGCGTCACCTAAAGCTGTCCAAGTCGTGGCACGGTGTGTTCATGGCGCGCCAGCTGATGGAAGTCAGGTGAAACTGGACCGAACCACGGCCGCGTGGCAGAAGAGCCAAACCGCCAGTGGCAACGCAAATTTTTCATCATTCCGTCTTCAGTTGCTGGGCCAAAAATATCTCCAGTGGAGGCGCCGAACGCCAGGCCCTGCAGGTAAAAAAGGTGTGGGGAAAGGCGAAATGCTGACTGGACATGGCTAATTAACATGTTTTTGATACTGTAGAGCCATGTGTGTTCTGGATGTCTTTAAGGCCCTATTCAGATCATCTTGAGCTCATCCTAAGAATCAAAGGACCAGCGACCAGCAAAAATAATCTAAACTCACCGCTCTAAATCTTCGGCCTCCACAAAATGAAGGACCACTTCAAAGAAAAAAAGAACACCTCTCGGGAAACAGGAAACACCTCCACCCCAATCGTCGCCTTTCTTCGCTTCTCCTCGTCATGGAATGTTTTCTTTGTCCTGCGCGATGTCTTCAGAGCGTTGTTTCCGGGGAATGCGTCCAGAACGGTCGGAATGGTCCAACTCCACTCCAATCACATAAGTTGATCCATCTGGGAAGGTTGTCACATTGCTGGAAGTGCCGTCCAGCCTTGTAGAGCTCAACGTACTTGATGGGGAACCAGCCTGGCATCTCTGATCATCTGTTCTCACAGTGATCTGTCAGGCAGGAAATTCCCAGCTTCGGGCTGCTTGAAGTTTCCCCAAGGTCGGAAGAACTCCTTTTTTCAAGGAACGAAGCTGATCAAAGTGCTGATCAAGGAGGCAACACTTGCTGGCTCCAAGGTGTGCAGGCCCACCTAGTCAAGTGGCCCACAAGTATTGTCACCAAATCGGCGAAACTACTTGGTTTGTAGATGCTTATAGCTACAACATGCTACAACTATACGCGGATTTGCTTGAGGAACCTTAAGCAAAAATCAACCGGTTTGTTTTGACCAGTTCGGGGAGAAAAAAGCATCACCTGATCCACAAAGCCAGGCATAGCAGGGCATAGCAGGGATCGCGCTACGTGATCTTGCTAGTGATGCTGCTCTTATGTCACTGCAGTGGTTCTCTATAACGTTGCCTTTCAACACCCACTCCTGGCGCCGTGTCAGTGTTGTTCACGCCCATGTCGGGCCGTCAGCAGGTGGTTCCCGACCGTTGGAGGCCGACCGGACCGAGGACTCTGCGCGGCCTGGCAGTCCCACTTCTTCCATGCACTTGTCCAAAAGGATGCCACCAGCCCAGCCGGAGGGAACCTGGAGAAGGCGCCGGTTGGCAAGTGGATGTCGAGAAAATCGGCCCGGGCGCCAGTGTTGGGCCAGTTTTGGCTATCGGACGTGTCAAATTCACAGGACACCCCAAAAACTCTCCAGCAGTCCCACCAAGACTATTGAAGCTTCAAGATGCACGGGGTTGACCGCTGCAGAAGACTCAAGAAGTGTGAGGAGATGTGTGAAAAGGCCGAGGGCACAAATCACAAGGAGGATGGCGAGGAGGAAAGCACAGTCTGTTTTTTACACATTTGCTTCTCCCATTTCTTCATCTGAAGGAACATCCGTGCGTTCTGACTGGAGGATCTAACATCTTTTGTCCAAACTTGAGACAAAGCCCAGCGAATCCTACTCATACTCCCTACACCTCCACGTGCCTGCTCAGAAGGTACTTAGACCCTCCAAACCCCAAACACCTTCGCAGAATGTACTTGGAGGCCTATAGGGACTGTTTTTGGAGAAAAAAACTGGGGCGACGGCCCGGACTAACAAAGAAATGAGCACGGTTGGCACGTCTTGTTGGCTTCACTACAGTCTGAGCACGGTGGGTTTCTGTATGTGCCTCATTTTCTGGCATCTCATGGTGCAGGGTGCATTTCTGTCAGGGGAGCTGGTGCAAAGAAATACAGGTGGTTCATGGGGGTGATCGTCTCCCCCAAAAAGGGCACCTTTCAGGGAGCAGCACTCACCTCACGAGGCCACGACTTGAATCCCTCACGAGGCCGTGTGCAGTGGGAGATTCCAGTCGTGGTGGAATTCCAGATCTAGAGCCTCGTCCAAGTAGAGTGGGAGATCTTCTGCTATCTATGTCCAACCGAGGTCGGTATGTCCAATTGATTGTCCAACTGAATCATATCCAAGCCATGGTACGGTCCGGTAGATCTTCACCATATCCTTCGCATTGATGCGCAGCAGCTTGGGGTTCTCACCCCCTGGCGGAAAAAGAACGAACAAACGAACGAACGGCATGACGAGGTGGACGTAAAAGGGCTGTAAATGGCAGTGAAAGGGGAGAAAACCAAGCTGGATGAACAACAAACAATTGAATTTGAAGGCAGTTGGAGGAGGTGAGATATTGCGGGAGGTCGGGCTGTTGCAATAGAAGTACTTGTTCATTGAAGTGTAAACAAAGGTATACATTACTTGTATTATAGCCACATATTTTGTAATTCATCAATTGTGGAAGGAATAATATACCTTCCTTTTATAGTAATATGGAAGGAAATGTGAACCTCATCTCTCCACAAAGCATCACAAAGCTAGTGTCTGTTTCACTCGTGCCCTTACTTTGGCACCTGGCACGTGGCACAAAACTGTGTCTGCCAAACCTAGCCCAAAACTCAGCTCTTGGCTCCTGAGCCAAGAATTCGGTTCTGATTCTTTGTCGCGATCAAAAATGGTCCGAAGAGAGTTCATCAAGGCGTGAAGGATGTGAAGGTTTTTTTAGGAGGAGAATGTCGCAGAAAATTGCTGTCCGATGTTTCCAATCCAAAAAGAACTTTGCCGGGCTCCAAATCAAGAGGAGAACGTTGCCGGACAAAAATGCATCGAAACTCGGCCAGGTGAACCATCGAAGTCATACTTTGCCACGCAAATATCGTCCTTCACGCGTCCGAGATGGCAACATCTCTGCAGGACATGTTCGATTCCAATTGTTTCAGAGTCGATGGCAACGTGTTTCAATATTGTCAGAGGTGTATATAAATCCCGTGTTATAGAAATAGGTGGCAGGTTTTTGCCATCTACTGATCCTCTACTGATCCTACTGCAAAAACCACAGTACTGACAAGAAGGACTTCAACACTCCAAAACAGTGTTCTCCAGTGTATGCGCTAAATTGTCCACCAAACATGTGTCCCGGGGAACCCTTTGTGTCCAACACATGGCAAGGGCCTAGCTCCTCTAAAAGTTGCTGCCGCCAACCAACCGAATCTAGTATACAATACAAAATTAATTCCTGACAAATATAGTATTGTCTTGCGAATGACAAACCCTAGGGATCAACATACCTTCTCAGAAGGTACTTGGGCCCTCCAAGCCTACATAACTAGTCTCCAATCACCTTCTCAGAAGGTATGTGGATCCATAGGGCAAGAAATAGACTACATCGCGATTTGGTGCAAGTTTACGTAAAATACTAAAATACACATCAGAACACCACTTCCTGCTGCAACGACAAAGCTCTCCCTCGCTCTCTCTGAATCTCCCTGTAAAGGCTGGCAGAAAAAAGTCTCATGCATCAAAAGGAAACAAAGGCAACATGACACGGTTAAGCAGCTTAACATGCTTAAACAAACCCAGGAAATCGGATCAGGCTTCTGGTTGAAGTGGAAGATGCCCCAGCAAATGCACATGACAGGGCTGCTGCCAGGAACAAATACTTTTCCTATGGACCATGGAGACATCATGGATAGTATAGCATAATCATCATAATATAGCATAGGCATACATATACAGCGAAAAGCGCAGGGTGACTTTGCCAAAAGGCGCGGTTCTGTCTAGAATGGATTGTACTCCATACTAGTGTGTCTAAATCGTGTTGATAAAATTTGCGACATCGCTCCCTCAGGTGGTCAACGAGTCATACATTGTACATCACCATACCTGACCTCCTGTGGCCTTTACATACTGAGGTATACACACATATTTAGTTTTATATACACACGTGATCACACGTGTCTGTATACACTTCTGTGGATCTATGTGCTCAGCTCACATCTGTGGAGTGACATTCACTTGGTTAGCCGCCAGGGTCGCCACGTTCACATAACGGCGATAACAAACAAATGGAGTTGCTAGGCCGCCAATGTTTTGCTCTTTTCTGAGGTGGCTTTATTGTCAAATCAAGCTTCAAGATTCAACCTCCAAACTCAATTCCCCACTAGAACACACTGACCAGGGTGTGCTAGCGCATGTCTCCCCATCTAAGCAGAATCTCTAGTCTGGAGTCCTCGTAGAAACTTCCCGCACCCTCGTTCTCAGTCGGTGTCCGCAAGGCAGCTGCCACTGGACAAACCTTGCAATGGGCTGCGTAGTCCTGCATGTACTCTGCGTGTGGGCGAGCGTGGGGGTTTGCAGCCGGTGGTGGCGAATAAAGATTATTAAGTCGCTCTGACCAAACAGGGGATTTGATCGGGAGAAACCACATACTTTCAGACACATCTCAGGTCTAAAAAAGAAAACTGTCTAAAGAACAAAGGAAAAATGGTCCAATGCAAAAAAGGATTTGATCTGAACAAATCACCTATATTCACAGGCTCCTACTAATTCGTCCCTATCATAAGACGCTGCTGCTCTGAGGTGCCCAATGTGTTCTAGCCAACCAGTTCAATTTGCAGTTTTCGTGACCCAGTTGGCCTAGCCAAAAGGGCAGGGCGGGGACTGACAGCTTGAATGCCTTGGAACGACTGACGCCTTGCCCAAAACAGTTTGGCAAACTGTTGAAAAACCATTTGTTTTGGACCAACCATCTGAAAACCATCTGAACGACTCGTTATGTGTAGTCTTTTGAACGACCCACGATCTGAAAACGACCAATTCAACTGACTCATAAGCACATCCCCAGGGAGGAGATGAAGCAAACTTGTTACAAAAACAAACAATTAGTTCGATCAGTCGCCACCCCTGAGAAGTATTTGGAAAGAGGAAAACACAATTGAATAAAAAAACGATCCTGGCAAATGCTTTGGCATACTGCCTGACATGCCAGTGGACACACTAGTGGACACCTATTGTGACATATGTTCTAGCATCAAGTGTGGCTAATGTTCTGATCTGCATTCTGGCTGGCATATGTTCTGATAATTCTTCTGCATGTATGTTGTGATACCGGTGAACATGAGAGGCGTCCTGAACATGTTTTCATAATGTTTCATAGATTAGAACGCTGGTTGCCCAGCTTTAGCGGCCTTAGGTCCCCGCATGACCTGAGCAGCAACACCCTCATTTCAATCATGCCCACCTCAGATTTTACCTCGTCAAGTCATACATGTTTCCTCTGCAAGGATATTGAAAAAAAAGTGTAATCGCTCATCAACACTCTATGATACTGATACTGTATCTCTAGTGCTCCAACATTTTCACCCTCCAAACCCACCCCAGTTACGGTTTCTCATGGTTTCTCAGTCACAAAATTATCAACAGCCTGACGGATCGCTCCACTTGACATATCTTAATCGGAAAACTGCAGAATTCTAAGTGGGATGATGCTTCAAACGATTTGAAGAGCATTTTCTCAAAAACCAATCACTTGTCATAACCCCTTCAGGGATCTTCAGGGCAATTGTCCTCCAGGCTGGCATTCCAAAAGGACGATGGCAGGAAGAGACAAAACGGGTCTTCGTAAGTAAGGTGCATAGGCCTCGCAAAGATGAGGTACTATAGGTCTCACGCATTCTCAAGGCCCAGGTCTCATGCACGCAGTTCTTGATATACGTGACATGAGATGACCTGAGTGAAGCCACATTGTGTTTGATTGCTTGGAGCCAGCTGGGTGGATTTGACTCGGAGCCAGCTGGGCGTGACGGTGACGGTGGGACGCATGGCTTTCAGCGTCTCCCGTGGGGCCCCGGCCGCAACGCCACACAGAGAACAATCCTAGTTCCGACACTTGCTCTCACTTGTGCGCCAGAGCATCTTCTGGCATATAAGTACGTTATGACAGTTGTTCTGGCATCAAGTCTGGTGTTCTGACACAAGTCCCATTTTCCGAGATCTGTTCTTGCAGGTGTGTTCTGACCTCTGTTCTAGCATCAATCTAGCATCATGCCTGGTATGTGAAAAAACACGTTCTGACCAAAAGTCCAAGCCGCCAAGCCTGTTTCTGATTGTTGTCCGAACAAACCTGATAATTGTCCTGGACCAATCAAGTCTGACAGGTGTTCCGACATTCTGGCACTTGCTCTTGCATCAAGTCTGGCATGGCTACTTTGCCGCCAGTGCTTGCTGAGTGGTTGAGCATTGACCGTGAAGAAGCACTGCCTCAGATCTGCCAGCATGGCCCCAGAAGCACCGCCTTCCGCTGCTGTTGCTTTATGTCCTGACTCGGCAGAAAGGTTGCTCCACTCTGGGCGACAACGCTGGAACTGGCCTTGCCACCGCTCCTGCCGGTGCTAAACCTGAGAGTGTTGCGGTGTTTTCAAGGCTGTGTAGCTGGCCGCCTGGCCGCTGGGCTGCGCCGCGATGCGTAGACGGCTGCGATGCTGAGTTGTCCTGAGTTGCTGAGGACAAAGTGACACCCAGGCACCCGGGGCATCAGGTCGAGGTCCAAGATGCACCGCAGCGTCTTAGCTTCTGCCCTGATCGCTGGGAGAGGCAAGCACTTACGGCGGAGACGACTGGAAAGGCTAGACCAAAGAAGGAGGGGGAGTAGCAGTGACATCAAATCTAAGGACCCTCACTTGGACAGGTAGGGGACAAAATATACAGTTATAAAGTGTATAATCGGTTCCATATTAACCCATTTAACCAATACAACCAATACAACCTATATATAGTATAATTAATCTAATAATCTTATATATATAGTATAATCTAATACAACCTATATATATCCTATAATCTAAATCTATAGTTTTTATTATATATATATATATTCATATATGATTCTGGCCACCTTCGCATTTTCTTCCAGATCTTCTTCCAGATCTTCACCGACTCTACCCATCCACCCGTCCAGCGAACCAACGTCACCGTCGCTCGGACCGCGGTCCGGCAGGTCGCCGACCCACTGGCATTCCACGCCACGCTCTCTCCTTGGTGGCGTTTCCGGCGGAACCGGTGCGGCTCGGCGGAGGGGCATTCCCGTTGTTCACCAGTACTTCGTGGGCCAGACCTCTTCGAGACACGAAACACGCCAAAAACCCGTGTTTTTCACGTCACGTCGAGGTTCTTCTTTTTTCTTTATCTCGGGAGGGGGATGCTGGGCCAAAATTGGCTTTGGTGACCGAAATTGGACCTCTTTGTGTTCGCAGTTTATATTAATAGTTCTGTTATGTTATTTTTTTTTGACAATTATTCATCTGAAACAAAGAAGAAACGTGGGTGGCCGCGTGCCGCTCGGTTTGGGCACTCTTGGATCAGCGCTCCAAGGGTGGCCCTCAAAGAATCTCTCTGTGCTATCCGAGGTTGGGGCTGGGGGGTGCCCGTGTCACGTCCACATCCACCCTGGTGGCTGGAACCACCCAACGACTGGCTTACTGGCTTACCGCAGCGACCGCCCAGGATCATCCGGCATGCTGGCTCCGCAAAGGGCGGCCTCAAGGGGGAGGCTCCGCGCCTCAGGGCCCGACGGCATCTGCCAAACGCGGCGACGTGCTTAGAAGCGTACGTGAAGCAACTGTGACGGAACAAACATATGAAGAAGTGTGGTGGTTCTTCCAAAGCGAAAACAAACAAGATGCGCCTAGTTTTAGGAGTAGCAAGAGATAGCAAGAGTGAGATTTCCCGGTGATGTTCGCCAACTGTTGTCTTACATGTATCTAGGTGTTCTGTGGGTCCAAGCTTTGACATGCCGCTACTGGGCTTAGATCTTGCCCCTCTGGGGTCACCCCAATTCCACCCAAGGTCTCCTCAAACATCCGGACAGCCGACGGCCCACGGCTCTTCTGAGCGAGTCCTGTCTGGATCGAGGCCGGGACTTCCCACTGCTGCTCGCTCAGGGGCCGTCTCGGGTGCCATCGTGGCAAAGGTACCCTACCGTCGTCGATCGAGGTCTGCTGTCGTCTGCTGAGCCAAGAGACATGGCATTGGTGAAGTCAATGTGGTGGATACATTTCAACTTGATCGAATGCCTGGACACGCAGAATTTCAGTGACATGTTTTCTGGGAAGAAGGATGAATGGATATGAATGGTCGATGTGGTACCATATACGTCCATATACCAACTGGTTGTACACTTGGGATATATATCCCCTTCTATAGTAAAAGGCCACCTGCAAAGGCCACAGGGTAGGGCGACGAAGGTCGCCCTCAGGAATGTCGTGGACACGAAAGGATCTCTGCTTGGTGCGAGGTTTCATAAGCACCAGTGGTGACATTCTTTCTTTGGGCAATTCTTCCAGGTGGACCCCGATGAGCTCCGTTCTCTCTTCACACATGATGCCCTCGTCAAGCTGCCATTGTCGCTGGAGAATGCCCGCGGCCGGATGCTGCGCGCGGTGGAGAGGCACCACGTCTGCCTTCCTTGGCGTACCACGTCTGCGGTCGAGAACGGAACCGCGGAACCTGGAACCCAAAAGATCACATGCCTGGTGGGGGAGGGCAACCAAGCCAAAATTGAACAATGGTCCTTGGGAGCATTCACACACACGTCTTCAATTTGAAGGCAGCTTTTTGTAACCAAGGTCTATCACCGGATAGTTCTAGAGCCTCCAATGCTTGCCACTAGACTTTTCAACAGCTATGGATTGCTTGCCCCATACCTTACACTGCCAAGTTCTCGTCAAGTGAACTCAAACAATTATACAATATATTATTATGTTATATTTCATAGTTACTTCCAGCCACTTCTGGCCCTGCAAGAAGCGGTGAGAAACATAGGTTGGGCGCAAATGCAACATCAGCTGCAAATACAAATGTTTGCGCTGATTGTTGGTATGATTTACCACCATTGCGTTGTGAATAACTTAGAGTATGCACGAAGTGGCACGAAGACATTGCTTCTATTTCCTTGCTTTACTCTCAGGGCTGCTGGGAATCGGAAGGCAACGGGCGTGACAAAAAAGCTGATGAACCACTATGCGACTGGAAGCCTCAATCATATATCAATGATATTCATCGATGATTGATGACTGAACAGCGCCACGAACCGTTCCGTTCGTGTTGAATTCGTGGTTTCCGTTCTTCTTCAGTTTGCCTCTCAAAAAAAGCCTCAGCCCTGTAGCTAAAAGGGCATAGCACCAGAGTCTAGCACCAAATAACATCCCCATTCGATAGAGCTCGCTTGATTGAAACCTTTGGTAGTCATGTCCTTTAATAACTAATTAGTTTCACTGACAATCAATGAGTATATGGGTGTTCATTTTGTTCCCAAGTAACAACTCACCAATGAAGGATTTCGACAAAGAAGTTAAACTTTAGTGACTATATAGTTATAAGTTATATCTATTAATTCACAGTGTGTTTGATTCAAGTATGTGCCAACTGATGGACATCAAGTATGACCCACAATCCTCGCCAAAAGGGAGCAGGCGAAGCAGGGAATCTCAACATTCATGATACAAGCGCTGTGTTGAAATTCCGTCCATAGGGTCTGTTGGAACGCATGCTCAGAAGACAGGAACCTTACTTTGTGATCTTGCCACGTCCCTGTTTCAATACTCCAAGCTGAGAGAGGACCATGAAAAACAGGCCCATTCTTGACAAAAGGGAGACGGTTCGACAGCTTTCAGCCTCTGAAAGGTCGTGCGTCCGCCAGTTCCAGCGGCCGAATGACTCCGGTCGGACCAGTCCCAGGTGCCATTCAAGGACCGCCAGGCCGATTCTTCCGGATGACTCCATCCAGAATGACTATGAATGACTTGCCCTAGGGATCCAGTCGTACCGAACCTCAGAAGGCACCTGGACCCGACAATGGCACCCACCCCAAACACCTTCTGAGAAGGTACTTGGATCCCTAGCGAATGACTTGGATTTGCTGTCCAGGAACCTGGAAAAATGACACATCTTCCCCAGTTGTGGGGATCAATCCCCAGTTCGGGAGTAAAACGCGCGACGCGAGCTCGAGTCTGACATGGCCCATGCTGGGCAGCGAACCATAGGGAATCAAAAGAACCACCTGATCAGCACAACCAGAATGAACCTCCAACCCCTCACTGGTCATCTTGGAGTACCTGAGTACTCCATCTCCAACCCCATTAAAACCCCCAACACGACGCCCCAGGATCCCGTTTTGCCCAACCCAGCGGCTTGAGACCGTTCTCGCAAATCGGGCAAGGCATTGCCTGCATGGATTGCCTAGGTCGCTCGGGGTCGTCTAGTAGGTCGGTGGCGTAGGGCGTAGGTCGTAGGTCGAGTGAGTCGGTGGCGTGGCTCGGCTTGGGGAGCATGGGAGAACAGCCTGTGTCCATGGGAGTAGCTGGCGAAGAATTGAGCCAAACACTGCTCTTGGGGGGCATCAAAGTCACCAATTTTGGTAGTAGACAAGGTCCACTGTCTTCAAAGTCACCTGATGAAAGTGACCCGCGATCCAGGCCTGACCTGAAACCCAGGGGCCATCACTATCGCACAATTGCTTGGAAGAACCCAAACATGGGTTTGGGAGGTGGGCAAAGGGGAGAACCAAAACATACAAAAACTGCGAATCCTCCAATGCCTGCTCAAGCTGTTCGCAAAAGGCAGACCAAGCCGGTGATTGAAACCCCGCCGCCTTATAAGGGGCTATATACGGTGGAGATATTATACACTTCATAAAGCAATGGTCCTGCAAACAATTGTTGGTTGCGCCCCAAGACGAAGCAAATCACTTTGAATTGTTTCCTGAATATTCTCATTCCCTTCTCCCTTCTCAGAACAAGATTCCGCTGGACCATATGGGTGTGGCCAAGTTGATTTGGGCAGTTAAAAAGTGCTACGTATAGTGCCCAGAGCTACAGCCAAGGCTGGGGTCGGAAATCTTCGAAACCAGTTCCGGATATCTTTGTGGAAATGAACCCTGTTGCACTACGGAGGGCCAAAAGTGGAGCAAACAACGAAAAAGCACAAACCACATGTAATATTACACCTGGAAAGCTTCCAATCTTCTTGCTGAAACTTCCGATCACGTCCCATTTCTTGGCGTCGCCAGAAGAGGTCCCTCATTCCGCCGAAGGCGCTGAGAGGCGGGTCCAGTCTGATGCTCATTCACCTTAGGTTTCCACGGCCAGTCCTCATACAGATGACCTTTAGGTCCACAGGGTCCACAGGCTCAGTCCTCTCGGAGGACTACACTAGTTAGGGAGGTAAGGAATACAACAGCCACCCTAACTAGTGTAGTACAATGAATACATGTAATTGATTCATCAACAACCCTAACTAATACATGAGAATCAATCAACAGCCATCAGAAAATCACTCATGTTCCATCCTGTGACGATGGTTCCTGTCACTCCCGGGCTCCAAAAGCTTGGGCCAAATGGAAGACTTCGGGACGATTTAACAGGGCCTGGTCACTTAAAGCAATAGACAATAGAAGTCATTTTACAAGTCGCAGTGGGAATGAATCTATACCTTAAGCTAATTATACTTCGCGGGGCAAGCCGTAGGAGCCCAAAAGCTTTGTATATACCAGTTTCTGAGGTTTCTGAAAAGTGCACAAAAGTGCACAACTGCAAGAATCACAGGAGAAAATCATCAAAAATAGGGCAGGATGTGCAAGAATGAGTCACAACCACACTCAACGATCCAATCAGCTGCTACTCTTTCGATGTTTCACAAAGGCCCACTGGACCCTCTCGACCCACCTGTCTTGGCCAAGTCGCGCGGTCCATGACCCATGATTGAAAGCCTGGTGACCGGTTTGTTCGTCTCACGGGTCCACGGTGTTCGTCTCATCGGCTCGTTCTTCGAACAACAAGGGAGTTAGGCTGAGAACAACAAGTTAGGCCCGTTAGGCTGAGAACATATCGGGTGAGAACATGGTGAGTGAGAAAGAATGCAACATCATTTTTTTCAGGTAGTGAACATGCAGGGTGAGATGTGTGGCCAAATATTGACATATTAGCGATATTAGTGAACAGTTTGTCAAACACGATGGTTTGCAAGCAATACTCATTATGTCCATGCATCCTCCCCGACACGGAGATCTTGAGAAAGGGCAAAGGAAATGCGCTGGGCTTCGGCAATCTTGGGATTGCCTGTGCAAATATGTCACTACTTCGATCCCTTGCTTTTAAGAGATGTTGAGGATCCTATTCTTGTGTGATTCAAGACCCCTATAGGAACAAGTTGAAATGGGCCAAATGGTTGGGCGAAGAGAACCGGTCGACGAGGCGGTCAACACGAGCAGCTTTGGGGTTACGGACCTCAAACGCTGCTGGGTATGGAGGGGTCAGCATTTTGGAATTCACTGAAGTTGGTCTTGCCTGGCTTTTCACACCAGCAAAAAAAAAACAAAACACGGGGGAGGAAAAAGGGCACTGCTGGGGAAGAAACCGTGCAACAAAGCTCATGACTGATGTTCTACAAGCATCAGCAAAAATCCCTGGTCGAAACACTGAACTGAATGAGGTGGCTTGGTGTCTTAGACCAAATCCGCCACAAAAAAAAATGAAGTGGCATTATCGTTTCAACTTGGCCCATGCACACCTTCAATATGCAATACAGTGGTTCAGAGTAGATGCCACAATCCCCAAGTTTGGTGGTGCCATCATGGACCCCCCTAAAAGACATGTAAGGGTCAGGGTTTGTGCTTGGTGCCATCTACTCTGAAACCACTGTGCATCTTTCCCACACAAGCACCCCAGCAAAGTTGTAACATTTGCAAGAATCGTGGATCTCATCACCACTGGTAGTTGATGGTTGGTTTGGAATGAAACGGCAAAGCCTAATTCCCCAAATGTTGAGCAATTGGAGAAGTGAAAGTTGACCAGCCAACTATCCTCTCCTGTCAGTAGACAGTAGATGAGATCGGACATCCCATGGGAGCGGATTCGGTCCACCCGCCAAGCTGCATGGGCTGCAAAAGAGGTGAGAGCCTGGGCAGGTCCCGCGCATGGTCGGAAAAAACTCCCGTTCGTGCAAGCTGCAAACGCTTGACTTCTCCGAACTAACATGGAAGAGGAACTTGGCCTGGAAGACCATTTTCCTCTAGGAACAGGTGGTTTTCCATGTTAGTTCCAGGGAGAGTCACTTCTCCAGGCTCTGTTTTGGCCCAAACAGCGGTTCCAAACTGAACTTGGCGGCGTACTTTGTCCTTACTTTCGTCCCTTTCTTCGCATCGGGCTCATGGACCCTAGAATTATGTACAGCGGAGAGGAGGCTCTCCATACCAAACCAACTGAGGCTGTTTCGGGCTCAAGTCCCGGACTGCTCTCTAGTTGCAGCCGGAACTTCTAAAGCAACACATGAACACGAGGCCGGCCATATGTCGCGTCTCTTCATTCCAGTAGCCTTGCAACATCGTCGCCAGCTTTGGCGCCCAACAATGGCACACATGCTGATTGAACTGCCCAACGGCCTGCTGTCCAAAGCTTATGATGCATTTGATAAACACAACTTAAGGACAACTCCTTAAAGAATCAGAACTAGGACCTTGCCACAACCAATGATGGTAGATTTGGTGGCATGATTCACCCTGATCAAATCGGAGTTTCATTGTGTCTCACTGTACGCTACCTCTCTCTCTCTCTTATCAGGGAGGGTTCCATAGTCCCATGTCACTGACAGCTGCCGGCCAAGTCACATCTCGTGAGCATTGGGAGGTAAAGGACTCCGTGGCACAAGTAGCAGAAAAACTCCTGAGAAAACCAGGGACAAGGCACCGCCAGCCCAAAACAGACAAGGCCATGAGATGCCATGAGTCATAAGCATGATCCGGGCCAACGTTTTCTTAAAGCCTTGCACATCCATTTTGGCTCTTAGATACATAAAACTCCATCCATTTGGACGGTGACACCTCTTCATATGGGGGGCGTTATGAATCAAGAGTACAGGTCCTCATCCCTATAAAGTGTCGCCTCCAAGCTCGGCTGAGAAAAACTTCCGCAAATATGCGCAACTGCAACTGCTTCTGCTATACAGGCGTCTACCGGGCGTCTAAGTGGACCTGGGGGGCGAGTTGTGGACCGCTGCATCTAAGATGAGCTGCCGTGAGGCCGTCAATCACATCTCAGGTGCCCGGCCGAGAGAAAAAATACTATATAATATCCCTAAGTACCTTCTCAGAAGGCACCTGGACCCTCCAAACCCACCCCAAACACCTTCTGAGAAGGTATGTGGATCCCTAGGGTATATATATATATTAATATATATATATATATCGAGAATAATATAGACTGATATAGCGAAGCACCTCGAGAAGCTCAACCCATCTCTTTCCACGCTCCGTGTCATGCCGCGACTGTCGGCCCGTCACCGGCCGCAGGGATGCTCCTGGGCGCCCTCGGGGTCGACCAACTGCTCCACTTGAATCTGTGGAGGCCGTCCACCCTCGGGCGCAACCTGGAAAACACGATCAAACATCCAGAAACGACCGAGAAAGCACTCAAAAGACTGAAGATTTGGGTGAAATTGACCTCTCTTCTTCTCCAGCCTGGGAATGTACACTCGTGCCCCATCCCAGGTGCCCAATGTCCTCCGTTTGCCAGCCCTCAGGCTCACAAAGACCTGTTTGTAGGACAACCTCTATGGGTGATCAGTGATCATCCTGCTAGCAAGTAGCCGATCATCATCCAAAAGAGTCACTCTCAGGATCTCTGAGCTAATGAGTGCTTCCCTCTAGAAAGGTTCAAACAACAAGCTGTTATGGGCCAGTATGTAACGGCATGTGTGACTCTAGATGTAGAACTAAGTAGATGTAGAACTAAGTATAGGCAACTGCAAACATATTTCATTTTACACGCCTTCCAGGACGGTAAAAATACCTTTCCTATCTGATCTATCTGTTTCAAGAAAGCATTGTCTGCACAGACCTCTCCGCTGATCACAACGAAATACCCATTCACCGCTTCGGTCGACGCCCGAAGCAGAAAGCCCCGCGGACCGTCGACCGACGGCCTCGTCGCTGACGGCTCGCTGCATGGGCCGCGGCTTCTCGAAGTCGATCTTCGCACGCTCCGCCTTTTGGTGGTCGCAGCACGGGGGGGGATGGGAATTCCGGTCGCAGGGTGCCGGAAAGGATCTAAAGGCTTGGGCAAGAAACATCAACGTCAGAAATCGTAGAAGGGAAAATGATGGAAAATGACCCCTTTCCAGTGCCGCGAGCAAACTAGCGGGCCCTGTCATGGGCTGGGTCGGCATCTAGCCACCCAGTGCCAGGGGACATACCCTCCATGAGCCATGCCAGATGACCCAAGGGCCATGCCATCGGTGGAGGCCTCCAAACGTGGTGAACACAATGCTGATGAGCTACCATGGGTCGCCCATGTTGATGACAAGACTGGTTCACAGTTCACCATTGAGGAACCCTCACCTATCCTCAATTTGCTTTCGCATGGACGACCCGGATCCGAATCGTTCTCTTGCTCATCCCAGTCGGTGTGCTTCTTCCGCCAGTGCCACCGGCACCGTGACCCATCCGCGACGCGCGGAACGACGTTCGGGTGGACTTTCCACCGCCGAAGGACCAAAGCGACGCGCTCCAGTGGCTCGGACTTGCCCTTGGACTTGCCCTTCCTGGGTGCTGCGAACCGACCGACCGCTGCGAAGGAGAGGTGGAAGATCCGGTGGACGGAGGTTGAATCGGGCGCAAAGGAAAGAAACCTAAGCAGCTTAGCCAGTTCGCCAGCATCTCCCCCATCATCTATACTTCTCCTTACCTGCCGACCGGGAATCCCCACCGAAAGCATGCCGGGTGCCAATCCCAATCTCTGCCAAAGGCTCTGCCGATCCAGATCCTCACGGAACTGTCGCATCATTTGTCTTGGCAACGCGTGGTTGCCGTTGTTCCCGTTGGTCGCTCCGCTCTTCGCCAGTTGTGGGAGGTCGGGATGAGAATCCACCTGGCAGGTCGGGATGCGGAGATGGGCGAGTGAGAAAGCGAGCTCGCTGGCCGTCATGAGTCATGAGCCACCCACGAGGTGGTACTAGGGCAATCTGCCTGAAATCTATAATTGTCGGGAATTCAGCTACATACCATGCAAGAGTCCTGAAGCCTCCTTCCAACAGAATGGGTCTGTGTCGTGTGTGGCCCGCTGGTCTGTGTTTGTCCGGTGAGCACGGCACCTTCCACCGGGCTAACATAATAACGAGACCCCGTTGACCCCGAATGGCCGCGGCTCGGTTTTTTTGGGGGGATCCGGGGGGTTTTCCCCTGAAGGGTCTGATCTGAAGACTTCGGAGGATGAAGATCAGTGACGTAGCGAAACTTACAAAATTGATTTTTGTCAGACATTTTTTTGAACATCAATGAAACCACTGGTTTTTTCAACATTCAAACTTAGAACACGAGTAATTAACTTAGAACATGCTCTTAGAACCTCACAGCCAAATCTGTCCCTAATGTTCTAAGTGGACATATAGCTGTGATGTTCTAAGTACATATTCCTCCCAAGGCCTCATGCAGTATACATAACTTAGACCGTCCACAGGATGCTAGGAAACCAGTTCCTATTGATTCTTAGTGGTTTCCTTTTATATCAATTACTTTTCATTCCTATCAATTTCCGTTAAAAGTCCTGTTGATTCCTATTGATTTCCTTTTGAATTCCTGTTGATTCCTATTGGTTCCTTTTGGATTCCTCTTGATCCCTGTTCATGTCCTTTTTGATTTCCTTGTAAACTCCTATTGGTTTCCTAGTTATAGGTGTACACCCCATATATAATATATATCTTCAGGTTGGTATGGTCATCGTGCATGTTCTATGTTATATTCTGCAGCTGTTTGAATGATTCTGATTTTCTACCCATGTTCTACTAATAATGTTCTAAGTTCAACACGCTGTGGTTGATGTTCTAAGTTCACATCTAAGTTCACACACGTGTTCTAAGTCTTCTTTCAGCACATCAAGACCTGCGCATGTTTTCCAAAATGTGTTCTAAGCTTCACTTCGTCATTGTAGAATGTCTCAGTTCACCCAGACCCATCCATGGGACTAGAATAGTTAGCGCATGTATACTATTGCAGTCCCATGGCATCATGGATAGTCTGGGTTATGTCGATCGATACGCATTGGTCGGTAAAAAACAATAAACAGCTCCACACCCTCAAGAAGTACATGCCGGGCACACATGTGACAAACGCTGCAGGCAGAAGTGTGGCAAATGGACCAGGCATTTCTTCCTCAAGTCGTAAGTCGCTGACATTCACGTAGGTGAACACCACCACCTGGTTAAACAAATCCACTTAGTTTCATTATAGTTCATCCGATTTAAACATCTTGGTGATTCAAACTAGGAATGTGTCATGTCTGTTTGGCCATTTCACACACTATTCATCACTGTATTCAATTCACTACTATCACAATTAGTGGCACACGAATGTGCCATCCGGGGTTGAGCTAACCTGACATCATCAGTGCTTTTCAGTTGGCCAGATTTGGCCAGTAATTTGCCCCTTGTGCATCTTCTACAGTGGCCTCACTCTTTTGCAAAACGGCTGTCTTGCTATAGATTGAGCCGTTCACATTGCTGGTTGACATCCATTTGGTCGAAAACCACATCATGACTTTCCAACTTCCACCTGGCTCACCGTTCAGTGTGTTCGATAATCCACTTTGCCAGTTTTGCAAAGTCCATCTTTGTTGCTCTTCAGGCGGAGTGTATGTCTCTCTCAATCCCTCATGGTTACCGAGCAACACACCGAACATAGAACGACAAAACCTGCATGCTTCGACCTCAGCCCCAACTCTGTATAACCTCTTTTACTCTTTTACCACTGGATGGGGGCCGCGAAAGCAAACCAACGACCAGTTCAAAGGTTTCTATGCATCGTCGAGTTCTTCCATCGATATGAAACTGCCGGTTTCAACATCGTCGTTTTTCTGCAACTGTGCTGCCCTCCCTCGCCGGTGCAAGTGACTCCATTCCCAACTGCGAGCCGCCCGGGCCCCCAACCCGGATGAACCAATCAGAGCCGCGGATCCCCCAGATGAATCCAGATCGCAGACCTCTCCGTCCCCCACGTCCCCCACGAGCCCTGACCACCCGATCCGATGTGGTCTCTGACGAGGCACACACAGGTCCTGCTGGTGCAGGCCTTGGGGTCGATCCGCCGGCACACGCTGTAGCGATCCTGGAGCGCGGCAAGAGATCTAAAACCATACAACACAGACCTGGACCTGACAGACCGGGGTGTCCTGTCTGGAGATCCCTAGGTAGGGGCTTCCATTGGTGACCCCTTTGAAGGTGCTGGTATTTGTCTATTCTTTATTACATATCTGTTTTCAATCTTGATCATCCATGTGTGTTCTTTCTCAACCCCTACTATGCATGGTGAAACAGTTCCTAGAGGCATCATACACAAATTTGGTACATAAAAGATTGTTACCCTCCAACTGCGGCTGCATCTGTAAGTGTCGACTTGTTCCAGCTTTTGGTGGCGATTGCCTTCATCCGAGGCAAAACGAGGCTTTCAAGAGCCTTGGCTTGTGCCCTGCACTACACTGCAGGGTCTCTGTGGCAACACAGGAGGGGAGTTTCTTTCAACTTGAGATGCTAAGATTCCAAATAGATAGAATTGACACGACCCCAAAACAAGACTTGGACTCAGTCACTCGTCTTGTCGGTCTATTTTGCCTATGTCATTTAGGTCTGCTTACAAACAGACTCTGGAACTTCCCATGGCCCTGTGGAAGTGGACCCCATCATGACCCCTGTCCCCAGAACCACCGCCTGCAGGCGACGAAACACATTTTCCGCATCATCGATGTGGTTTTGTTCCAAGCGAAGCCACAAAGGCACCTGGGCGCAGCAAAGGCGACATGCATTCAGGCCCGCGAAGCGGGACCCACCAATACGAAAAGGAGGAGCACATGTCAGGAAACATGAATGGCCGCCATGGCTGTCATGGCTGTCATAACATCTAACAGTTCCAACAAAATCCGATGGATGGCCCCCCATCATGCCATGCATGATCATGTTTTTACCTTGCAACTCCGAAAGCTGCTTGATCTCCCGGAAGAATCGTCGGTGCGAAACGGCTAAGTCCGCAGCCGTGTCAGGCTGCCGACAGGCCTCCGCTGCAATAATGATCACACTGGCCTCGTTCAGTGACTGATGGAAACATCAAGGTGAAACTCAGGAGCCAACACAGCAAACATAAGCAAACCCTTCAAGAGCAACAAATCCCAATGGCTAGGGATTGGAAGGGCAACACAACGTGCCGATCTGGCAAAAACGTTGTGTCTGCACGGAGTTTCATCATATCATCATACTTGTAAAGTCTCGTTTCCAACCTCTTTCACACTAATTTGAAGAGCCTCATTTGAATGGGAGGCCATGGGCAAAGAGCGCGTCTGCGCTCAACGACGGTTGTAGACAGTTGACAACGGTTGCAATTCGCACCTCAGCAACGTGAACACAGCTCTACCTCAAGACCCCGAAGGACAGATCGTCACGATGAAATCATGCTTGCCTAATTATCTTTACCATGATACATGTGGATCCAATCTCACCCTCTCTTTGTCTCTAGCCGTCAAACATGGATGGAGGTCTACCCTAAAGTAAGCCAAATGATGGAGGGAACGACACAGGAGGTACCCCCGATGGGATTCGATCAGAAGGATCGGCTTCTCGGGACTTCCGGGACTTCGTCCATCCCGAGGGACGCCCTCCGCAGTGAACATGTTGTGCGACAAATGGATCTCCTGTTGCGGGTTGGTGAGGGCAGGCGCGTTTTTGGCGTTGCTACTGCGTTTTTCGGCCATGTAGGAAGGGTCCTAAAGCAATATGTTCATCTGGTTTGAAGTTCTTTCCTATAAATGGCATAAACACCGAAAATGACTTTCAAATGGGGGGTCCATCCATACAAGCATACACCAATCAGACTCGGGGATTTAGACTTGCTGGACTTCAGCAGTCAAGTTTCACTGGCCAACTTTCTCCTAGGCTTTGCATGGCTTTGCCGCATGCGAGCAGCCATCGCATTCTGGACTTTGCCGCTCCGCCCTTCCCAAAACTAACATGGAACCTGAGAAGAGAAATCCGTGACTTCGACCATTTCCGGAATTTCCAACCCGACGTGGTTCCATGATGTTCCGTGATGTTCCGAATTGCAGGGGATTACTGGTCACACTCGTTTTTTCAACACCCTAGGTTTCGAGACCCCATCTCCCACATGGAACCTGGGTCTATCAACCACACCCGGTTGTGGTCTTCGGAACCTCATCTTCAGGCCGGTTCCATGTTGTTCGACCTTTCCCGGCTTTGAACGAGTCCATGCGTCGATGGTGTAACTGCCACTGAAAAAATGGGATGTGTCCTATGTCACTGTCCTATAGTGTATATATATATATATATGGGTTTGTGGTGTTGACAGGCCAAGTGGACCATTACGTTGGAGAGGAACCTCTACGTTTGATTTTTTTTGCCGTCACTGGAGAGAGCTTATATATACCCCTGCGGGTCCGCGGACCCGCATGCTCGTTCGGATCCGCCGATGCATCGGATCTCCATAGAAACATCAGAAACCCGTCCAAACTCTTGGCTCTACGTCGAAACTCTTGGATCTCCCTTGGCTTCCTGCTTGACAGGTGACATTTGCCGTAGACACGTGTAGAAACGCCGGGCCCGCAATGTTGCTCACAAAAGGCCAGTTGGGGAAATGCCGCTTTTTCAGCACCAAAGCCGGTGTTGGAAATGTTTTGAGATGATGTGGTTTTGGAGAAGCACCAAATAGAACGCACCCAAGTAAGGATTGATAGGGTTTGTAACAAAGCGGCAAATGCTTTGACCAACATATTCTGTATACCATGACGAGCTAGAGAATGATCCAAAACACATGTTGGGGACATCTCCGCGGAGCGAAAAGCTCCGTCTGCCCCGCATCTGCCCCTGCATCCAGCCTCGATCTTGGGGCTCTGCCGACAAAGTTCGGCCAGGCCCTCCGCGCCACTGTCGTCGATGCTGTTCTTGAAGAGTTTCCTGTGGCGAGGTCGCCCTGCTGTGGCATGGCTGTGCTGCGAGGTGCTAGCGCACATTTTAGGTGGGCTGGTAGGTGTAGGACTGTGTGAGGTAGAGTAACTTATGTGTTGCTAGTGCGGGATGGGACTGACTTATATACTATATACATGAAGGAGATGTTCCGTTTCAGAAGCGAATAACACGAAAGGGAATCCTTTGTCTCCGTGTCCTGTTTCTTTAGGGGCAAGACCACTGTGCACCCAAATTTGGAGAAGTCATCTCAGCCTTTTGCGTTTCCAGCCGGCCCTGGCAGGAGGCCCTCCTTCCAAAGTTCCATATGCCGACCCCCCAACGACCCCCTCGCGCCAAAGAGCAAAACACGAAGCTTGGGGCAGCGGCTGCAAACTTCCAAGACCTGTGGTGGGTGGCCGCAACAGCGGCAGTGCCATGGTGGTGCCGAATCACTGAGGTTGGTGCAATGTTTCCTAAACAACTCATTTTAACTTGATTGAGTGGTACCCATCACCACCCTTAAACCCTCCGGTCTACTCCTCAAACACATTTGCTGCTTCCATGTGCTTCTCGTTCCGTCCGACGGGTCTACTGGTCTGGTTTCGACCCGGTCCAAGTGGCTCGGTCGAGCTCGGCCGAGGTGATCCCATTGTAGGAGAAGTCGATCTCCTGCTCCGCCGAGTGCTCGTTCTAGTAGTCGAGTCCGCTTGGTCCGCTTGGTCCGGAAAAGACACTGCGGTCTCCAAGTGGTCTCCATCGTAGGTCGGTGAGGTCGAATTGAGGGTCACGTCCACCTACTTCAGGCTCTGGTCTTTTTGTTGCACGGATGTTTACAGTACTATACAGTACTATTGAATTTCAAAGGCTGGCCTCGCTTCTGCATCTCGTTCGAAGCGACTTCCGGACTGGGATGCCCTGACCAGCCTCATAAGGCAGGACACCTTCTGGCACCTCCGACCAGTCGAACGTGCTCGCGTCACCGTTGCTAGCACGGTACCTCAAGCTTGCGGGTCCCTTGACGCTGTCCCTTGCCGCTGTCCCTTGCGGGTCCCACGCGACGACGTCGGTCAGATCCAAAAGTGCAAAGCTCTTCACTCCGCAGCTCTCGATGGATTTGGGGGATGAGTGTCCTCCTCTGGGTGACTGCGTCTGAGAAACATGGAAGCCTATGAAGTGTGGTGCCCGAGCCGCCTTGGGGGACGAGGACATGAACCAAACATCAACAGCTTGGAGCTTGGGCACTGTCGAGCCTTTTGGGGGTGTCTCTCCTCCATCGTGGTCTAAACAGCAGCCTCTTGAAGCTTCTTGAATCCACTTGGGGCTTCAAGCATGCAGGGACAATATCATCAAGCGAAGCATTCCAGCTCCTTGCATCTCCTGGCCAAACACCCCTTCTAAGATCATCGAATCAAGGCCGTGTTTCTCCTCCTTTCATGATGTTCACTCTCCTGATTGGGTATGGCTGCGTATGGCTCATCATCATCGTCTCATCTCCATGCTTGTCTCGGTGTTCTTTCTTGCAACCACGCCGGCACACGGCCCCTGCACCACAGCCCACAGCCCACACAGCCCACAGCCATGTCCCACTCCTGAATCCTGATCTGAGGTCCAGGGACAATGAGACACAATGTCAGGAAAGTCGACTAATGAGACCTACTAGCTGGAGGCCTTCGCCATTAGCTTGGAGTCCATTGCGTCAGTAGCAAGGCCTGCTACGTCCGTAACAGGTTCACAAAGGCCTCCCGTTCCGCTCGGGTCCGACCCAAACACCAGACCCAGGCAGGTGGCGACAGGTCAAGCTTGACAGGAAGCTTCGGCTTCATGGCCTCAAGCGGAGCGAAAGGCTCGATCCAAAGCGGATCGGAGAGGTTCACCTGCGCTGACCATCCCTCAGCTTTTGGTCTTGGATCCTAGAGCCTGATTGACCCCTGTTTTGGAGCCAAAACATGTTTTTTTTCCTATCAAAACAGAGGTCAAATGGGTTCTAAGGATCTTATATAAGGATCTTATATGTCTGACAATCCCTCAGGCTCCAATTCGATGTTGGCCATATCCAGAACTGCAGCGCTCGCCGCTGGCTTGGGTATCAGATGGATTCAAAAGGTATCAGTTTCAGTGTTACGATCGTTCGTTCATTTGGGGGGCAGCAAAACGGGCAACCGCTAGGCCACTGATCAGTAGCAACAGTCTCGACAGCGACGAAGTGGATGATCTATGCTAATGTAATCCGCTGAGATGATTCATAGGCTGCAATGAGCTTCGCAGCAGTCCGCGTTAGATAGCTCTTGCTCAATGGCTCCTGAGGAGTCTGGGGAGTAGTATGAGCCAATCAGCAGTTCCCCAGGCAGCTGGTTTCTGCCAAGGAGCGCCTGTGATCTGCTTACACCGCCTCCAGCGGGGGGGCCGATGGATGGGTATAGCTGCCGATCGAATAGGCCACTGGCCATCCATCGGAGTTCGGTATCTTCCACTTGTGTACTCCAACATGTATATTCATCTTTATTCATCCACAATGCTGGGCAGCTGAGTGTGGCAGAACGAGGTTCCAATGCAAAACTATACATGTCAGCTTGAAAGCTGCAGTTGATAAGATATGACATGATCATAAAAATCTTGTTCTAAGCATCCTAAACATTCTTCTGCACCCTCAAAAACTGCCAGAAAACCCACTGGCATCCCCCAGCCTGAACTGAACTCATGCTGTTTCATGCATGATGAAGAGTTGGATTTAGGGCGAGCCAACGGGTGGAGAGTGGTGAACCTTGCTCTTGCTGCTCTGGCGTTTCATGCGGGCACGCCATTCATTTGCCCAAACATGGCGTCGTGGCCTTAGTATCGAAGTATATATAATATCTAAGTACATATACAGTAATTGTAAGTAATTATATATAGATATATAGCCCCCTAGCATCCCTAGCCTTGTTTCCAAAGAGGTTGGAGGCCACCGCTACTAGGTTGGAAGCTTGAAGACCATGGTGAACATCGCTTGGAGGCAGGCCATGAGTTCGCCGCATGTCATTCGCCCACGACCGGCGCGGACGGCGCCGAGTCCTCACCGAGTTGCCTTCACCATCCAAGGCGCGACGGTGGATGTCGCTTTGAGCCGCTGGGGGCGGAGGCGGAGGCGGAGGGAGACGATCGGAGCCAACCAGCAACGAATATATGTAGAGAGGGGATGTGAATGGAGGATTTGTATGGAATCAACGCCGTTTTTCTTCAAACGTCTTCACCTAAAAAATGTGGAGTAAAGATGCCAAGAACCACATATGGAAGTCAAAGAGCAATTTGTGAAAAATTGTGGGGATACTTCCAGGACAATCTGGCATCAGTTTTGCATGTTCTAGGGTTTGCTACAAGATTGCCACAGCCTCCGCCTGCGGAATCAAGGCTTTTTTCCGCGTGAATCAAGGCGAGAACTTTGCCCACCATCCAGCCATCGACACCACCAGTAGCCTCAGCATGGGGCCCACCAATCCACCACTCAGAAATTCTCTCCCAGCTTCGTCGACAGCATCATCGGTACCCAAAAGGGCCGATTGCTGTTCGCAAATCTCCCGGATGATCGCATCTGTTTAGATCCAGGGGCGAGAAATGGGAGTGCTCTGAACTGGACGGTGTGGGTCCCAGTAAAGTCACACGTGCTTTACTGCTTCAAAAATGGACTGGATATGGATTCCACAGGGGCAAGCCGATCGGCAAACAACAAACGGGACAACAGCTGGCAACAAGCCTGTAAAACACGACCTGCAAAACCCTTTCCCCTTAGACGTCCTACAGGGGATCAGAATGGAATTCTGGCGGAAAGGCGCATATCTCACTAGATTCTGGAGAGAAACTGTTACCAAACTTTCATCCTCCTGAAACATGTTCAGACTCATTTTGGCCGGAAAACGCAGCTAGGGCACATATGAAGCAATTGTAGGATGCCACCAAACTTCACGAAGTCTCCCCAAACATATCCACCTGAGAGAAGAACTCGACCAAGTGAACCGGCCAAGGTTGTGCTCAAAAGCGACGAAAAAGCTTGGAAATTGATAGCACCCGAGTGCACAACGGACCCCAAAAACTTTAACGTATTGGCCATGGTATCCATGGTCAAGACCCTGAGGAAAAAAAATAACATCACGAAATGGGAAACTGTTCTTGCAATATGTTTCTTGCAGCACTTCTCTGCACGTGAACTCTGTTCTTTCCTCTGCCCCCTGCAATGCAATAATGCTCTGATCTGATAGATAGGTGAACAAATCCTGTCGACCCGCATGGTATGTACCAAGAAAACTGCCCGAACATGGCACATCACCCAGCACCTGCTCGTAGGACCAGTGTGTTGGTCCTCACAGCGAGGAGTAAGAAGCAATGGCATCTGAAGGTTCGATTCAGTTCCCGCTTTTGGCCACCAGGTTACCCGGGTTGACCACCGAGGGTTTGAACAAACTCTACACCTCCAGTCGTACCTGCGAAGGTACGACTGATTCTTAGACCCTGGCCGTCCGAACCTCAGCTTCGGTACGACTGGAGGCCAAACGGGAAACTTCACATGGTCAACCTTCCAGCTTTGCACAGCCAAATCCCTGGTGAACTGCTGCGGCACCGGCACCGCAAACGCCGCAGCGGACGGCAGGGGAAGGCTGCCCTGAACAACCGATCAATCCAAGTGCTTAACAAAGGACATACCAGGTGCCCCAAGGCATAGAATTTCCAACTCACCAAACTAACATCTACTATTACCTATATATAATATTATGATCATACCTAATCCATCTCATCCAACTGGCCAAGGCTCTGATAACCATAGGGTGCGGTGTAACAAGCGGAGGCCGCGTAGGTCACCACCAGCGCCATCTCCCCCACGGCGATCTCCATGCTGTGGGCGATGGGGATGGCAATCCTGGACGTTCGACCCACGCCACGCCGCCCTTCTTCCACTCTACCGGCGCTTCTTGCTGGCCTCGCGTCCTTGTTGTAATGGCCTCCAACCTAATAGCCATGGCCTCCACCTATAGTAGCTTCCTCTTCCAAGCCTGAAAATGGACTAAGATCCACTGTAAGGTGTCCAAAGGTGGTGCTTCCTGAAAATCGGATTTCTGGAACCCTTTCAATCCGTTTTTCACCTATTAATTACTATTAATGATTATTGTTATTGTTACTATTGTTATCTATTGTTATTGTTATTATTATACGTCCTCTACCCAGCCGGGCCAGCAGCGGGCTGCCACGTTTAATGCAGCACATGAGTTGGCGGTTCAGTAGGCCCGTTTAACGCACCGACGACTGCCATCAAGGCTCTTCCCCATGATGGCCACATTCGCTGCAGAGTTCAGAAATTGCCCCAAGCCCACCGTCGCCAAATAGATCCCTGTGACGGTCGGATCTGCGAGGAAAAGCGTCCGCGTGGGGACCCTCAAGATGCTGGGCCCACAAAAGAAGTGTGAATGGACACCCCTTAACCTCTAAGGTGAGCAAATGGCACGCCAGGCACCCCGTAAGATGTCTTTGACAGATGGGAGTCCATATAACGCACCACCGTCCAGTTGGGATTTGCCTTGTGCCATCAAACCTTTGAAACCACTGTGGGTGATGGTGCTAGTGCTGGTGTGGTGTGCTGGTAAGTGGTTTCACTGACATGGACATCCATGGATGACCTCATGGAATGGCTTGCAGTTTGTAGCTGGGCAGAGAACCGCAGCTGGTTTTTGGAAGGAGTGTCCCAAACGGGTAGTCCTGCAGGAGGTCATGCAGTATAGAGCCGATGGCGGCCGATGCCAGTATGTTCTGATTCAACAGATGTGCGGTGACACCGGCTTCGTGGCGACGGGCAGGACGATGATGGGATGTTCTCACTCTGTTGCCATCAGCGTTCACACCCAAATACTGATACTGTCAGATGTGAGCCCAGCGGCCCAGCCCAGCGGCCCCAAACCGCGTAGCCGGAACACATGTACCAGGACCCACCGTTAAGGCGGGGTCCTTGACAGCACCTGTCAACAATTCTTTTGTGGGCCTCTACGGGGCGCCCGTGCCATCCCCATCACCGCCCGTGTGGCCCGTGGAGCACGCGCTCATCGCCCAGTAGCCTAGCTTCACGGCTCCGGCGCCTAAGGGGCGCGTGAGAGCGACCAGGGCGGTGGCCAGGCAGTTGGCCAAGCCACTGAGCTCCATGGCGCGGCCCAAGGCCAAGGCGCCGACGATGGTCAGGAGGACCTGCGGAAGTGGAAGGAGCCGGAGAGGTGGTAGGTGGTCGCGCTAGGAGATTATTATAGAGATCATTTCCAGATTTCCAGTGGATTTTCACATTTCCATGATTTCCAGATTTCCAAAAAATGGGTGAGAGTGGATGAAGAGGGGTGGTACAGCTGCATGGTGGGTAGGTATTGTTAGGTAGAGTAGATCACGGGGACCTGGTGGAGTGCAGGTGAGAGCCTATATATAGCAAAGTTCTTTCCCCTTTTCATTTGTACCCGAAGTCACCTCGAATTCTTAAAAGAACTGGAAGTAAAGATACAATAAGTTGAAACCTTGTCATTCATAAGGGCCTCAATCTGGTAGGTGAAAAGGAAAGAATGAACAATCCTCTCTTATTCATTTTGTTCTATAAAGAAATCCCTTAACAAGTAGAACAAACAGTATTAGGTTTAGTCTGACTGTATTCATTATCAATGATGGGATGTGTCATCCATGTTCTATCTCTTTGCATTATGATGACACATTCCTTGAAAACACACACATAACTAACCCTCCAATTTCATCAAGTGCTTTAGTAAAATTGGTGAAGGTGGTGTAGCATCTAAGGCCTGATTAGCTAAGTGGGTGAAAGCCGCCAAGTACAAACGTCAACAACTCAGCCAAGGAACTGGGCCATTGACCTCTTGGTACGCCTAGCGAGCAGCATCTTTCGATAGAATCAAGGGCTGTTTGGGCGTCTTAGTATACAAAACTCAGAAAGGCACGCGGAAATATCCAGTACTGATTTAGTTTCCAAAGCAGGTTTCTACACTTTCAAATCTTCACAACAAAAAGGAATTCCGCTGTCCTGCATTCAGTTTAATCTGCAAGATTCCCTGTCAACACCTTAGCTGGGGGTGCAACCATATGGCTCACTTCACCAGGAGTTGTTCAAACTCACAATCGGCTCGGTTTTCTGGGGTGATGAAACTGCAAACTACGTTCAATATCTGGAATAAGAATGCATCCTTTTCACACCGCGCTGGGACAAACAAATCTGCGGCCTGTGGGTTTCTGTGCGAATTGCTTGAGGTAAAAAGAGCAAAGGATCAAACAACACCTCGAACATCATTAAGACTAGAAATGCCGGACGAATCAGCGCCTTTGTAATCTTTGAAGTCTCTTCGGGCAGTGAAAGAGTCCAATTGGTGATCCAACTCTTAAACTGACCAAAATGAGTTTGGTTGACACATCAGTTGAACATCGCTGGACCACAAAAACAAAGGTATGCGGGATGGACAGTACAGGAGTCCAGGCAGCCGAGTGTGTATGATTAATGCAATTATATATGTCTAATAATCACCCTCCTTATTGCCCTAAGCCACTCCTCTGGCGGCAAACAGGCCCCTCGTGGTTGACCAGTAGGCATACCTAGAACCCATTTGACCTTTGTCTTGCTAGGAAAAGACCATGTGTTGGCTCCAAAACATGGGTCAATCAGGTTCTAGGTACATGATGTCCTTCGTCCTTCAATTGCCAATGTCTGCTCATTTATTGCAATGGCTGCAATTCTCCGACCGGGGGACCTCCGGCAGGCTGAGGCCCTTCACCGCGATGATGCCGCCTAGGGGCTAGGCAGGTGGAAGATAGTGCGAAATCACTAAGGGTTTTTGGCGCCAAATCTGGGTTGGATTCATTCAACTCAATTCTGAACAGAAGTCGTGGCTCACCTCCTTTTCCATGACGGTGCCCTTTCAGTCTGTGCTTGCCACCCTTTTGGAATCCCACATGGCACCACTGGAAGGGGCCTTTTGAGGGGCGTGAAAGCGTGCCCATAATAAATAATAGTTTGCAAACCAACACCCTTGTGGGGGTAAGTGATGTGAACATCTGCATCATTAGTAGTGGTTCGTTGCGCCGCCTCTCATGAGATTTCTGCATCAACTTCCACACCAAACGAACAAAGCACGACTCCTCATTGGTAGGGGAAGTGCTCATCTTTCCAACCCACGCTTTTCATCGCGTGAACAGCTTCATCGGGGTGAAACAATCCAATACTCAGGGAAGCTTAGAAAGGTGCACGGCGCGATACCGTCGGTATCTAGACAAGGCTCAATTCTCCATTCGGTGTGGCCGAGGCACAAAGGAAAATCACTGCCATCAATGGAAGGCTCGGCGCCCGTTTCTCGGTTCACCCAGAGCTCAAGCTGGAAGGGTGGAGTGCAGTGTAGTGTTCAATACAATGCCACTACCGGGCCACTACCACTGTCATTGTTAGGAAAGTTGATTGACGACTAATGTTTGTGCTATTTTGTGCCTCTAAGGCTTATGACCTGCTTTTAAATACAACTCCGGATTTCGTCGGCATATGCGTGACCACATCAAATCGAGAACAAGTTAAACTTATTAGGTTAATATGCTAAACCTCAAACCCAGAAATTTTGGGGGCAACCTGAAGAAAGATTGTTTTGGGGGATGTGTCATAAGAATTTTTAGGGCGCCAGTGAAATATGCGTTCGAACCCGTTCAAGAAGCCAAAAGCGTAATTTGATGGGAATCTGGGTTTGAGTTTTAGCAGGTCATGTGGAAGGGACAACTGTGGGTTCATTGATCGAGTTTCCTGCCTCGTTCGCTGTCAGGCTGCTGCTTCATCAAACAAGCATGGAGATTAGGGACGGCCATTCAAGTGGCACACAGGGTGTGCAAAGTCAACCCCACTTTGGGTGCACAAAATCTTGAATGATAGGTTTTGTAAACATGTTCATGGCCTTCATTGGGGCAGACTACAATGCATATGATTTGAACAAGCTTCCAAGAAGGCATCTCAAGTACCTGCTTTTCTCAGCGAGCGCAGCCACGGGGATTGCACCTTTGTGGTGAAGGTGCTACCGCGTTGTTGCCGGTTGGAGTGCAGTTTTCTTGTGTGCAGCACTGTGGCAGTTTGTTGCATGCAACATAAAGACCATGAAGTGTTGCTCATCGATCTAATCAAGTCTTCAAGTTCCATCCTTTTGATTCTGCAAATCCATGTTCCTCTCAGAGCTTTGCAGCAATGATCACTGCCTGCAAAGCACTTGGCTGACAGCAACTGATCGAGTTTTGGGAGGGGGTTCCTGGGTCCCATGGCAGACCCGTCGGCAAGTGGTGCAGTAGTGCAAGGGGATGGGTTGCCAATGGACTCCCTGCAGGACAAGGGCTTTGAATCTTTGGGGAAACCCATGAGTTTATGCTTGAAGTGGGACAATGATCCCTTAGTCCGGCAAAGGTTGAGGGAAGGGTGGAACCTCGTCGTCAACTATGACACCAAACTCAAGCGGGCTTCAAACAATTTTGTTCAGCATACTGTCCACAACGTGAAGTACAATGCTTGCGTGTTGCGACCGGTATGCCAAGAAATGTCAAAGCTTCGCCTGGTGAACATAGAGAATTTAGAGGATGAAGTGAGGCAGGTGCACTCTCTATACAACAGCCTCGTTTCTGACCAAACGATGACTGAACAAGCATGGGCTATCCGGCACTTGGTGTCTGTCCTGAAGTCAACGATTAGGGTGGACAAGCGTGACTCTTCTCGCACAAAGCGCTGCCCAAAGGACATCCATGTCAGTGTTGCACATGAAAATTAAAAGCGCAACTCAACCCATCAACTAAACTGTTATAATATGTTGTAATTTTTTTTGCTCTTTAGGATGCATGTGTGGCTGTTCTCCCATCCTGCCTACCCCAAAACGGTCTGGCCTTTCCAGGACCCAAAGCTTCAAGATCTTCTTGTTCAGTTGGGTGTCCTGCAGGTTGAGGACTGACTGCACACATTCAAAGGAAAACGCTTGCAGGGGGTGACAAAGTTGCGAAGGTCTTTTGAATTCTTTTGATGACCCAGCCACTGTAATTCACCCTGGTGTTGCATATACAGTCTTTTCAGGAGGATGGATCTGTGGGTTTGGTGCCCAAGAAGCACATGGCGGATCAGGACTGTCAAGAGTTCAATTCGCACTTTGGTGGTACCCTGTTCCTTCTGTCCAAACTGTACCTTTTGGTATGTGCCCAAACCCTGTTGACCTTCTATATGCATGCATGTGGGCTTGCTTGGGAGAATGCATGTTCTCCAGGAGTCCGAGCCAAACGAAGCACTGCAGGCTGAACAAGCATTGACAGCACCTCAACCCCAAGCTTTGCAGCCTATGGCACTAGACCCTGGGCACGCAGAATCCCAACAAGCCAGTCCAGCTGTGATCTCCGAGGCCCAGCCGCTTCCAGTTGAAGTTGTCACTGCAAGCGTTCAACTGCAGGCAAGTGAAGAAGCATTGCAGCCAGCAGCTTTTGCTGCCCCTTGCCCAGTCCCTAGTCACCCTAGTCCTTCTTTGAACGGAGAGCAGCCTGTGCCCGAAACTTCACTGCACAGCCCATCTTCGAACATGCAACCCAGCCCTTCTTTGAGCAAAGAGCAGCCTACACAGCAGCCCAACCAATCTGCGAGCAAGCAGCCTTTGCAAGAGCCAGGGCCAAAGCCTTCTTTGCCCAACGAGACCATGAATGGAGGGCTGCCAGCACTCCCCACTTCACAGCCACATGCCAATCCTAGCCCACAGCTTGCATTGCAGGCCAGCCCTTCTGAGCGGCCTGCAGAATCTGCAGAAGAGCCCAACCAATCCATGAGTGACCAGCCTGAGCCCAAGCCTTCTTTGCCTGGGCCTGATCCAACCATGCCCGCAGGGTCCGTTCGACCTCACGATGAGCAGCCTAACCAATCCGTGAGTGACCAGCCTGGGCAAGGACTTAAGTCTTTGGTGAACGGAGAGCAGCAAACTGCACAACAGCCCAACACTGCGAATGAGAAGTGCGCGCAAGAGAGCAATCCAGCTGCGAATGGGCAGCCTGTGCCCAACGTTTTGCAGCCCAGCCAGCAGCCTGCGCCAGAGCAACAACAAAAGCAAGAACGAGTGGCCAGTGAACTGCAGTGCGGAGCAGGTACCAACCTACCCGAACCCAAAGCATCCGAAACGAACAAGGATGAATTCCTCGCATTTGTTGATGCACTGCCAAGTGTGCCTCCATTTTCATCACCAGAAGTGTTCAGCAGCACGCATGGCAATCTTGGTTGCATTGATCTCGATGTTGAGGACTGCTGACTGAACCACAGGGGTCACTTGTGAGGATACCAAAAGAGGTCAAGATGACATAACAGTTGAAACTTACCTCTTTACCTCTTGACCTCTCTTGGTAGGTCCATAGCCAGTGTTTTCAGTTTCCCTTTGAACATGTCTGGGAACATATGGACAAAAGGGTTGCGTTGTAGCGTTGTAGGCATGGTGGCTTTTCCATTAAAACCTGTCCTGGTGGAATCCATTGCCTCAGTGCGTGACTGTTGCAGGACTCGCAGGCACCTGCTGGCCCTGGTTCTACAACCTCCAAGGACTTGTTGGGTCAAGTCTGATGGGTTTGCGGTTTGCATATACGTTGATCCATGCAAAAGTGTCTTTTGTGTAGAAGGGTGGAAGGTGCTATATGGTAATGGCTGTCATATATTATAGTTCACCTTTGCATCATTGAAACAAAGTAGTAAACAAGGTGTTTACAGCTCATGAATGCCTGCAGGATGTGCAGTGCCTATCCTCAGATGATGAGGCTCCTGCCAACCAGGACAAGGAGAAATTGGTGGAAAACTTGAGGGAGCTGATGGCTAAAGTGAATTTGTGCCCTGCCTAAATAGATCTGGTGGGGCTATGCGTGAAAGCACACAAGTATATCTTTTGACACTGGAGTGGGTTACGTGACGAAGCTGGAATATGACTTAATCTTAAAATTGATATGTTCCTATTTTTTCAATTCTTCTCTCTTGACCGTTCGTCCAAGGAGCGGTCCTGCTTTGCCAGCTTTGGCCTCCTGCCCGCAACTTCACAAATTGATCCGGCCACCAGCTACACCTTCTGGAGACTTGGCTTGTGAACCGAACGAAACAAATCAACTCTGAGCTCAAGGAAGTTACACCATAAGTATTGGTGGAACTATTGGTGGATAAGACATTTAAGTTTCTGGCATGGCTGCATGTGACCAATAAGGAGGGTGCCCAATTTTCATCATGGACTCGCTTCCATTTGGCGGAGACAATGATGGAACCCAAGTGTATGGTAATCCTGACGACTGGGTCCTCACCCCAGCTATGCAGACTCTCCTTGCCCACGAAGGACGTGCGCCAGATCCATCACTGGCTACAGCTCCAGGCGCATCTTCAGCGACAGCAGCTGCTGCGAACCTTCGTCAACCAAGCGAGGAGTGGTTGCTCTGCATGGGTCTTTTGTGACAGTGTTGTGTCTTTTTGCATCAGCGTACCAAAGTCTTAATGCGATTAAAGCAGGTGTTCAGCAAAAATGTTTGGTAGCCACTGCTAGGAGCCTTCCAAAGTTGCTCGAGGAAATGCACAGGTGTTTGAAGAAATCGACTCTGCAGAGTATGTGGCGCGAAGGGAACAAATTGCTTTGAAGAAAACCAACAAAAGGGAGCCAAAAGCAGCTGCCAAAAAAAGCGCTGCAAAACCGAAAGTGAAGGGAAAGAAGGGCTCCAGGCCAGTGAATGATGATGACGATGATGATGATGACAAGGCTGATGGAGGCGAGAATGGTGAGCAAGCTGAGGAGGAAGCCTCAGCTGCCAAAGGCTCTTTCCAGGCTAAAGGACCTGAGGAAGCTGGTGAGGAGCCAAAAGGAAGGAAGAGGAAGGGAAAAGCAGACATTGTGGAAGATGGGAATGACATGGAAAGTGCTCCCAAGAAGCCTCGAAAGACTCCAAAGACAAAGGATGAAAAGACTGGGACTGGCGAGACTAAATCAGGGAACAAGAGAAAGAAGGTGGAGGAAGAGAAGTCGAATGCAGGAGATGATGATGATAAGCAGAAGAGAGGACAGGCAAAGGCTAAGGCCAAGGCCTCAGCGAAGGCCAAAGCGAAGGCAAAGGCCTCACCGAAGGCCAAAGCGAAGGCAAAGGCCTCACCGAAGGCAAAGGCCTCACCGAAGGCAAAGGCCTCACCGAAGGCCAAAGCGAAGGCGAAGGCCTCAGTGAAAGCCAAAGCAAAGGCTAAAGCAGCGAATCCGGCCGCTGACGGCAATGATACTGCTCCTGTCACACCACCGAGAAGAGGGAGGAGGAATGTTCTGCCGGGAGGGCCGGGGGAGCCACAAGAGCCAGGACATCCTGGAGATGATTTGGAAGACTCAGAGAACTTCCGGCAGTTGGCGCAGGAGGAGGTCCTTCGTCGCTTGCGGCTCTGCTTGAATGCAGGGACCATCGACAACAAGGGCAAGCATGACCATGAGCATGTCGAGATTGACACGCAGGGCACACTCCAACTTTCCGTCTACTGGTCGCGTGGGTGCGCTGGGCTCAAGCAGAAAGATGGAAAAGGAGCAAGCCAGATTGCTTACTTCAGCCGAACAACAGGCTGTTGCGATACCAACCTCGTCTTGGCCAAGATTTGGGTCAGGGTCTTAGTGCAGTGAACAGTCAAAAACCGCAGGTGTCAACAATGGGAACACAAGAATTTGAGTATAAATTTTAAGATTATACATATTCTGGGACGAGCTCAGGCGGAGCAGTACCTGAAGCATCCTGAGCCTCGCGACCCTGAGTCCCAGTATCTTCAACGCCTGAAACTGATCTTGGGTTCTGCTCACTCTGCTGCAGAGGCACTTTTTCAACGAGAGCGATGAACAGCAGTGCAAGTCTCACCCTGCTGATCAGCTGTTTTGACATGTCTTGCAACCTCGCTTCCTGACCCACCCTGTTGTAATTCTGTAATTCACAAGTCTAATTCAATGGGTTTCTTGATCTACGAAGGTTCCTTTGTTCCACCATGTTCCATCCATGGGCAGGGAGGGGTTGCGAAAGTCGTTGCTATATTGTTTTGACAGTGTGAATGCACACTGTCGCATTGGGGGAATGTTGTCGCTGTCCACGTAGTGTGCCCAACAATTGCGCAAGGTGCGGCAGTACAACGTACGGTTTAGATTTAGCAGCTATATACTTAGCATCAGACTGGTTGAGGCATAGGATGACCAAGCCCTGACAAAAAGAGCCGGCAAAGGTGCTTTGGACATGTTATATAATTTGAAAATATTTGAAACCTTGTTGCAAAGTGCACACGCACACCCATGCATCCGCATATGTGCATGACATGTGCGTGACTATAGTGGTCACCTGCATACTCACCTTCGCCTGGCAGGTGCATGCCATGGTGAAAAGAAAACATGGACGTTCCGGAGCCGCGCCTCTGGATGTGATGGACCGCCTCCCTGGCATAGTTGAAAGCCGAAAGCCTTGGGTGGGGAGCGCATGCTTGCAGAATGGCTATCACTGTTCCCACTGCACTTGCATGTCCAACCTGTTCTCCCTCCATGTGTTTGGGATGAGGCGCAGTTGTTTTCCGATGCCATTTCAACAGGCCCGGTGCTTCAAACATAGGATATAGAGTTTTGCCAAGCAACATGGCTGTTGACCTGGACAAGCTGGTCGCCAATTTGGAAGCCTTAGATGCTCCAAAAGCATCTGGCATGCATATGGGGTTTGTTTCGTGTCAATCCAGATCACTCTAACTGCACGTGAGCATGCGTGTTTGTGAAAGACATTGGTAGTTTTTCCACTTGGATTTTGCCATTATAATTGCCAAAAGACATGGACTTTGGCTCGTTCAGGAAGCCTTATTCTTTTGTTCCGTCTTTCTGCTACCCCATATATGTTGATCAACTTAATTTGGGGGGCCCAGGCATTTGTGGCCGCGGTCATCCTGGTTTACTTCACCACTAACTTTGGAACTTTTCCGGAGGAGAGGCCATGCATGCTTGGTCTCACATTGGCTTCAACCAAGATATGGCAAATGAAATTCCCAAGGTTTGCAGTTTTCCCAATTGAAGTATACTCCACCTCATTAAATTAGGCTTGGGTGTCAACGCACGCGCATTCTGTGCCGCAGGAGCTTCGCTTTGTTGAGATGTTCGCTGGAGTGGGAAATGTTTGGAGGGCTGTTTCTCAAAGCTACCCGGCAGCACGAGTTGACTTAACATATTATCAGCCGGACTCTAGCGATTTCAAGCAGAACCCGATGGACTTTTTGAGCAGCGCTGGCTTTGCGAGCCTCAGCCCAAACATGGAAACAGACTTGGGGTTACCAAAGGTCGGGTTCTGTCATTTGGTCTTCTTCTGCTGTTTGAACATGTTTGAACAAATGTATATAAGGACATGCATTTGGTTGTTGCTTTCTTGCCGCGTCAACGACTTTTGCCTCCTTATGGCAGTTGTTTGCTCAACCTGGAGCTCAGCCAATCTTGGTACGAGCAAGAGATCCATTGCCTATGCGACAGGAGACTGTCGCCATGCATGCGTCGCTGATGGAAACTCAATGTGTGCAAGGCACTGTGTCTGCAAAGGTCAAGGGTTGGGGGGTAAGCGCACGCAAATGGCAACTCCATGCAACTCCCATAAACCCATGAGTTCCATTCCTTGCATTTTATCCCACCATGAATCCAAGGGCTGTGCTATTAGCAATTCTTTGTGTGGCTTTGGGGGGAACATTTATGCTGGAGCAGCCTGGAAGCTCCATGATGGAGTACTACGACAAAATGGAATGGCTCTACAAACGTGTGCCTGCTTTCTAGTTGCAAGAATGAAGCAAGTGCAGTCATGTTTGAAGCAGCAAGTCAATCCGATCCCTGTTTTTTGGGATCCCAGGTCTACAAAGTCTCTTGGTGGATGGGTCACTACGGCTCAGCTTCTCCGAAACGTCATAAACTCTTTACCAACAACAAGTGGGCTGGAAAGTACAACAGGGGCAGGCTCAACATCAAAAAGTTTCGGAAGGCTAACCCTCAAGCCCTCCCAACATCAGAGCGTTACAAGGATGCTTCAGGAAAATGCTGTTGGAAAGGGACAGCTGCACTCAAGCAAACTCAGACACTTTCCTGGTAGCAAAATGTTTTTTCATGAGGTGTTTTGTTGAGGACTCTGTATGCTGGATGCCATTCAGGCTTTGCTCTGAAATCTATTCTTTTCAATGCCGGTTCCACCTTATCACCTCCCTCGGTCAAGACTTGCCCAAGCCCAGGACCTATCCAGGGCCCTTTGGGATTGCAACTTTGGATATGATGCCAAGGCTCACTGTGCACGGAGAGGGCCGGCCACATGTAGTGGATGAGCCAAATGGACCTGCAATCTTCAATTCGATGTCATGGAATTCTGACCAAACTTGGGAGGAAGCACGTTTGAAAGCTCTGGTAGTGTATCTGAGGGGCAACCGGCATTTGAACATGCCACCCCTGTGGAAGCGCATGTTCCCCAAACACTTTTAAAGTTTCTAAACGCTAACCCTTCATACATGTAGGGAGCGTGCAGGTAGGGTTTCAGCATGAACCAAAAATAGCAATCGAACACACTCAATTGATCAATACTATATGTTTCGATCTATATAGGTTTGGTTTCTCTGTGGTTTTGTGGTATTGTATTGATTCCAGTCTATGGCGGTGACCCTTCAATCATCCCAGGCGGTGAGTTCACAATATTTCACAATGGGCAAGAGGTTTAGTTGAGAAGTTCATTGGGTTCAGTGGGTAGGATGCACCTGTGTCATCAAACCATGCAAAAGGATGGGGTAGCATGGGGGTTCAACATGCATCCACGGCGCTGTGAGGTCATAGATTGACCATACTGTATAGTTCAATCTCTTGTTCCAATTCAGCCTTGGCCCGGTATGTCGGGAAGCCTGGGGTTGTGAACTGGATTGAAAACAAAAGGGTTTGGGGAGCCCACAGATGCCCAGTGATCACGTTTTATAGATATTCCCATGTCCCAAATGCTAATTCTTAGTGGGGCCCCTTGTTCATCCCAAAAACTTTCTCAAGCGAGAGCACAAGGTCACCACCAAAAGACTATCCTTTTGGAGTTCTTTGGGTGCATGATTGAAGGGGCCTTTAGTGACCACGAATGGGAACCTCTCCACAAACATTGATTGTTCTGGTTGGAAGGTCCTGGGGAGATGGGGCCACTTGAGACTATCCCTACTCTTCTCAATTCCCTTTTGGGGGGGGGCCCTGAACATTGTTCTGTCTTGGCGGCTTGGCGGCGCTGGGATAGACCCAACACTGCTTCCAAAGAGGAACCAACAAAGGCTAAGAGGACACAAAAGGGAAATTGAAGAGAACCCTATAGAGAACTCATACCAATGCGTACGAATGCGTACCAATGCGTGCAAACCCGTACCACCCCTGTTCAAACACGTATCCAAAAGCAACATTTTTTGCGTATGCGTACGCGTTCAGATGCGTACCCGTTCAGAATGCATTCACAATGCGTTCACAATGCATTCAAAAGCCGTTCGCGACCCGTTCGGGAATGCGCAAAAATGTTGCATTTGGGTGGTCCCCCATATTCCCCCATGACTCGCAAAACGGAGGTCATTTTGGGGTGGTCAGGTATGATTGGGTGGCCCTGTTGACAGAATGCGGTGGACTCCGGGCTTCTGGCTCTGGGCTTGAGCGTTGCACAGTGGTGAAAAAAAGACATTCAATAATTGACTGTTGAATAGGAATGGGACCTGAAAACAATCGTTGGAAGTATGATTCACAGTATGATGTTTTCTGTTGGAATGTGGCCAATGCAGCCATTGATTTTTGCTAGAGCAATTTGCGACCTGCGCGCAAGAATGGAACCTCTTTCATGCATACCCCTGCTCCAAACTGTTCTCGAACCGCAGCCCAGTGTCAAAAGGCGAGGTCTGACAGGAACTGGCAGGTGTAAAGGTGGTGTCGATGGCCACATCCTTGAGAAGCGGCCAATGGAGTTGCTCAGAGTTAGCGAAGGGGGCACAGGTTTGTGCTGACATGGCTGGGATGGACCTGATTGTTGACCCTTCCACTTTGACAAGGGAAGAACTTTTGCAGTCGATTCAGGACCTTCCCCTTCAATCGTTGAACATATAAACAATTTATGGCAGTGGTCAGTTTACATGCTTATACACGCATATCCATGATAACAATCCATGGAGCCTCTCGCAGGAGGCAAAATCTGTGCTCAATGGATGTAGCACTTCGACCCATGCAACCTGGAACCAACAAAGATATGGCAGCATTGCAACAATGATCGATTTCTTGTCAGTAAATCAAATTGTTTTGGTGTTGGTGCGTGCGCTTAATATCGAGAGGGCTGCAAGAATGTTCATGCAGGTGTCTGGGGGACCACGTTTCTTGAAGCCGAAGCAAGAAATCAAGACTGAAGTCGTTGACCCTGATATTTGGTCTGCGCAAACTTTGCCTGCAGTGGTTCGCCTGAATTGTAGAAAATGACCTGCAGTGTTATTCTCTCTACGCCCAACTCCTGTGACCAGCTGTGCCGAACGATCGGTGGCGCCTTGTATCCCAGGAGCCAAATGAGCTGCTTGCACACATGGCGCCTCCAGTGGATACTCCGCAGGATGCCTGGGATGCATGCATTGCCCTTATACAGGGCCTTGTTTGTGTGTGGTTCTGGTATGCTCCAGTTCGCTGTGGGTTATGAAAAACTCATTGGGTTGATAGGCTGGTGGAGTATTAGCGATCAATGTGCTTAGCTTTTGCAGGAGCCTCAAGAGCCTCAGGCGCCTGAAGCTCCTTCTGCCACACAAACCATGGAGCAAACATCCACGCAGCACAAGCGATCCACACCGGTATCATTAGAAAAGCTCTCACCAGAAAAGAAGACCCAAAAGACAGTACCCCCTGAAAGCTCTGATGTTCCGATGGAACCCCTGAATGAAAGCAAAGGAGCGGAAGGTGGCAACGTGACACCCAAGAAATTGAATTTTGATACTGCAAGTCCAACGACTGCTGCACCCACCCCTGTAGCTCAAGTTGGACAAGCAATCCAGCCCCAAGAGCCTGTCAAACCCAGTGAGCAACTGAAGAAAGTTAGCGCTACATCTCCAGCAGTTCTGAGGCCGGCTGAACCCTCACCACCTGACTCAACCAAGACTGTGGAACCTGCGCAGCAAGTTCTTTTGGACATGGCGCTTCGCAAGATTGCGGAGTTGGAGAACAAGCTTGAGCAGGAGAAGGGGAAGCATGATGTCAAACCAGATGCTAAAGCAAAGCCTAAACCACAGCCAACACCCTGTCGCTCAGCACTTGCAGCAACGCAAGCCACTCCCCCACCTTCTGATCGGGAATGTGGGGAACCGGAGGAAGAGGATGAGGAAGAGGAGGGTGATGGGGATGGGGAAGGCAAAGCTGATGTGGAGATGATCATAATGCCATCTGGCAACAAAGTGTTTTGATTGCATTCAAAGGCTATTTGCGCAGCGCATGGCAGACTAACTTAGCTGTCTAACCTATAGCACACTTCGCTCCGCCATCATTTTTTCAACCATAAGGTCATATCCCAAGATGCATTGAGGATGAGGCTACGCCGCATGTGTGAGATCAAACCTCGTAGCAAACGGTGTCATGTGGACACTGCTACCCACGAGCAATGGAAGGCAGGAGGCGAGGGCCGGGAATGGCTTGAGCTGGCCCTCGCAGAGAGCTTGGAGAGAGTGGGTGCTCATGGTAAAAAGCAACACAAAAAGCTTCGAGTAGCTTGCCAAGGGAGTTGTGATGACCCAATGCAGTTTTTCCAAAACGTTGGCGCTACCAAGCAAGCACTTTCTGCACTGTAGTTCAAATGCGATGGTTTTCGACTACTGAAACTTCAAGAAGAGCCCCCCTTCGCTCGCAAACATTGAGGTAGAGTTCTGTGCTCGTGTTGTGCTTGTGCGCGAGCGCATGCAGCAGAAGGAAAAGGAAATATCTGGATCTTGGATGACAGAGGAACGCATGAAAAAGAGTGGTGACTTTAGCCAGTATCCTGGCATGTTCTTTTGTTGATGCGTGTGCGAATGCAAAGCAAACGCCAACCGGACTGCGCACCTTTCTTGTATAGCCAAGGGAGAGCATTCGCAGCATCATCCAATACTGTGAAAAGTTTCCCTCTGCCCTAATCAGGCCCGGTGAATGGCCTAATGACATGTCGAGTGATACCAGCATACTTGGTGCTGCATGGGCACAGCGCAAATCAGGCCGTGGAAATATGACAACACAATCCGTGAATACTTTGTCGAGACAGAGACCAAGCAAACAATCAAAGAGAGTGAAATGATCAAGCGCACTGAGACTGCCGATTTGGGTGAGTCTTTCCTGCACTGGCCATGCTGTCTTACCCAACCTTGCAGTCTGTGTCAAACATTCAACACTAGGTTTACGAACGCAACGATGGTGATTGTCACAGGAGCAAGCTGTGGATGGACCACTTGATCAAGGTTTGGGCAGGTTCCAAGAGACTACTGAAGAGGGGGTGGCTCCACAACCAGAGAAAATGGGTACCAAGGCTGGATCTTTTTGTGATTTCTACTTTAAGCTGTTCCAACAAGAAGTATAGTACTCATGCTGGTCCTTGAACGGACAGGTCCTACCGGATTTGAACAAGTTCATGGACTCCATCCACAACAAAATGATGCAAGTCCACAGAATGACCAGTCAGGTTGAGGCAGAGGAGGTTGACATGCCTGCTGCAAAGGAGATACTTAGCCTAACAATGGGGGGCATGCTCTAGAATGTTTATGGGCTGCATGTAAACGGTAGAGTATACTAGAATGGTCTTGGTTGGTTACGTTGCACCTTCGCAGCTCAACGAGGCTTTGCTTATCTTTGAACGCGATCCATGACCGCCTGTCCAACAGCTTCAGGGCCCTAGCTTCTCTCAAGGCAGAGCTGATTTTGATGGACGATGACACTACCGTTTCTGATGAGACCCTTGGCTAGCCTAGGGGCTGTGGAGCTGTGTGGGCCGGTGTGGGTGGCCTGTTTGGGAGTTCTGTTGAATGCGCCTATCCACTTGTTTGGATCAATGAGTTGCAGAGGTGGTTCAAGGATTTTGTGGGCTATGGCTTTCAGTGATTCAACCAAGCCTCACAACCCGCTAATACAAAACAAATGCAATTCAATATTTTGTTGACCGTCCTGCCTCTCAGTATAACCCATGTTGCGGACCCACAAGTCTGAACAGGTAAAGGATTTGTTTGGGGAGCTTTCCAAAGTATTTCCACCCACTGCTTGTCTGTCATGATGGCCCGAATGGACGTGGATGCTGGCGATGATGACGAAAGTCAATGGTTGCATGAGCTCATCCACTACAACCGTTATGTGGCATGGCTGCATGACCATGCATTCAATGTCACATTCCCAAAGGGCCAAGATGCCTTTCCATCTGTCAAGCTCCATGCTCGGCTGAAGGCTGCCAGCAGTGATGCCCAACGTCGGCAGGAGCTTTTGCCTCAGGACTCTGATCCATTTGGGGATTGAACCATGTGATCTATGGATATATTTTCTCAATGTTGGAACACGGATCCCAATACCCCAAGTGTCATTTCACCCTGAGGACAATCCCACGTGCCCCTTCGTAAACTACCTGGATGCGAAAATTCTCAGCTTGGAGAGAACTTTCCATTGCTTCACCCTAATTGAAGAAGACTCCATGTTGGAATGCCAGCTACCAAAGAAAGGCTCCATGTCAGGCATGATTGTCAAGCATGCCTTTGCCACCCTTGACAAGACTTTGGCCCAGCATGGGCCTATGGTCTTCAAGATTGGATTCACTCATTGCCCGCACTCTAGACTTCGGAACCCTGTATTTGGATATTTGGGCGAGCTTCAAAAGTGGGAACGTATGGTCATAGTCTTTGCATCTAGCGAAGCTGTTGGGCCAGCGTTCCTTGAAGCAGCGTTGATCCAAAAGTACAAAGGTTGCTTGCATTACAACAAGGGAAGTTTGCTGTCGGTTTCTTTACGTTTAGTAGGAAAACAACTTTCGGAATTTATCGTGCTTTGACGTGTTTCACGCCAAGGAACTCCAGGGTGCAGGAACGAGCGGGATGGTGGTGAGACTGTGAAGGAGTCTGAGGGGCCATACTTTACATACTTTGTATACCAATCATTCAAAAGACCCAGTAACGCGCACCTAATTCGTTCACAGGCTAGACCTTTGCTGCGATAGATGTATAGAGCATAATCAATTTAGATGTGAATTCAGGAGTTGCAACCCCAGGAACACTTGGATAAAAAAGAGGGTATTCTCATGGGAGAGCCTGGGAAAACTTGCAGCTCCCCCCACACTTTTGGTGGCCAACACTGCCCTGCAGCCCGGCAACCCAAGGATCAAAGCAAAGATCAACCTTGGCAAGGACTCTGCCAAGCAACCGTTGCTTGGAGCATTATCCTCATGCGCCCATAGAAGGTTTTCATTACAGGTGCCCTCAATATCTTCACACTTGACCAATTGAGGTGTGCAGATATGATTGCCATCGAGCCCAAGCAAAAGCTCCTTGGATATATATTAAAGTTGTCATCTTAAGACTGCCATTGTAGCGCCATTCTGGGTGGGTGCATGGGTGTATGTTGGTGGAAAGGCGAACGCAGCACCACCCTTCCTCCTGGCTAGCCGAGGCTCATCCTTGCTGACATCAAGCGGATCAAGGGCGGTAAAGCTGAGAAGAATGAGAAGCCTGGTGCCGGCGAGACTGAGGAATCTGAAAAAAAAGATTCCAAAAACCCCTGCCCCGAAACCCAAAGGGAAAGGGAAGGCCAAGTCCAAGCCAAAGAAGTGATTGCCGTGGGCATTGGTAGTCTGGGTGATGTTAGACAATATGTTTGTGGGTTTGTTCTTAATTTGTTGTCCTGCGGCAATCGTTGATCAAACGTGTGCTGATTTTTTTTTCCAGCGAACCTGTGCAGTCAAAGCCGGTTCTGGGGGAGTCAATCTGGTGGCCCATACATATCCGAAACAAAAAATCAAATCATTAATCAAAAGCTTCAGAAATTATGCAGCTATAGTTGGATCTACAGTGTCTATACAGGGTTGCCAGGTTGATAATGCAGTGGAACCTTGCAAGTTAAGCTGACGGTAGTCTTGCAGGGACATCACTGACAATGGGTTCAATAGACCTGACTTGACGTGAAGCCATGAGACCAGCGTGACAAACGTCGCCAAACAAAGCTGCGAGGTGTCACGTGTTGGTGGGGGCCATCCCTATTAGGTTGGAGGCCGTTGCTAGTAGGTGGTCGGAGGCCATCGCTACTAGGTTCGAGGCCATCGCTCTTAGGTTGGAGGCCATTGCCAATTGCTATTAGGTTGGAGGCCATGGCTCCACTGCGGGTAAACAATGATGAAGCCGTCAACACCCAATCTTGCCAGGTCCGTCTGGTGCTGCCAGGGATCTGGCTTGGAGCTACTCTCACGGCGCTACTCGACCAGTCATTTGGGCCATGGGAGCGGTTGCACGCGTGTCTTTGAAAAGAACAGTTCTGTGCATGCTCAAGTTATTGAAAGGCTTGTCTGACCCTGAGCCTGGTGTCACTGTTTTTTTTGGCCCCAGGCTCCATGCACTGAGATCATTCAGAGAGCAACCTCCATCCTAGACTATGACACGCGGGATGGGAACAAGACGGCTGCAGTGTGCCCGGTGATGCGTGACCTCTATCGAGGTTCTGAAGGCCACTCAGTGTTTTGGTTGTGCCTTAGAACTTAGGACCCATCTATCTTTCTACATTTTCCCCCTGATATATTTGCTCGAGGGCCTTCATCCACCTCCATTGTCAGTTGGTTAGTGTTTGAGGTTTGAGGCCTAAAATTGGCTCAGGAAGATCTCGTGGCAAAAGTGTTCAGCAAGTATGGGATGCGTCTAGATGTGGAGTTTTCCTACGCACAAGTTGGAAAAGACCCAGCATACCCTTACATCAAGGTGGAGTCAATGATCAAAGCCTTGGACAACGCTGGCAAGCTATGGAAGTTTTTTGGTATGGGGCCAGAATACGACACTCTGGACACATGCAGGGCTACTCTAGAAGACTTTTGGGGAAAGTACAGGCTGATGCATGGGAGCCATCAGGTGTTCCAGCTAGCAGCGGAATCACACCTTCAGTTAAAGAATGCCTGGCCTGTGTACCTTCATGGCGATGAAGGTACAACCTACAAAAAGGATGGATGTTTAGTCCTGAACATCCAGTCCGCCATAGGTTGTGGCACTCGCAGCAATAAGTTGGGGCCTCTCCAGGATTCACCTGCCGTTCCTCATGTCAACTTTGTGGGGCACGCGTTTGATACTAGATTCATGCTTGGTGCTCTCCTGAGGGTTTCTTGGGCTTAAAGATTTCTGATGTTATGGTTTTGTTTGTTAACTCCTTAAATTCTTAGAGTAACATCCTGTTAGACCTTTCGCTGTGAAATTTCAATGGCATGTGCTGAAAACAATGTATTAGTTTTTTTAATGTTTGTTCATTCATCATGAGCTTCTTTGTTCAGGGCTTGGGGTTGAAACCTTGAGGAAGATTATCGTGAGAACAGCCAGCCCTACAAGACACTTTTGGAGTTGGTTGTGAGATCTTTGGATGAAGCCTCTCGCAAGGGGATCCGGTTGCGTAGCGGCGCATTGTTCCACCCCATCCCACTCGGTAGTAAAGGAGACTGGCCCTATCTGGTTTCAAGACTATGATTCAATGATTTTTTTTATGTGTTGTATTTGGAACAACCTTTCTAGGATGATTTGCAGTTAGAGTTTTGGGCCTGATTTGGCCCTTGTTGAAGGCTACTTCAGCCAACATGACACGTTCCTACCGGAATGTTCCCAAAGCAGCAAGTTCAACCACTGCCTGCACTGGAATTTGTCACTTGTGTCTAGCTGGAAGACCGAACCTTGACTATGAAAACATGTGACTGTGTTGCAATGCAATAACTTTTTCAGGTGTTAGTTGCTTAATCTGCTAAGATTGGGGAACAAATGTAGCAAAACTGGGTTGTTCGATGGTTTGACTGAGGTCAGATGATCCTCCATATGCCCAAACCTTTGAAGTAGAACCGGCTTGGGAGGAAGAGGCGGTCTTCACAAGATTGCTGATGCATGAGCCAGCGCGCAAGGGTTTCTTCCACAAGATTGATCTTTTTCACACCATCACCCTTGGTGTAGGGAAGTCCTATGCTGCATCGAGCTTGACGTTGTTGCAAGAGTTGTGCCGTGGAAGGAGCATTGAGGAACGGATGAGGGAGATCTCTGCCCAGTTCATTGAGTACTGCGAAGATTCTTGTTCTACGCGCCAGTGTATCTTATCTTCCATACCTGCTCAACATCAAGCCCAGTAAATGTTGATTCTTAGGTTTTTGACTTTCAATGTTTGTTGTTGCTGTTGTTGAAGGACTTTCAAAACCGGCAATTATGAGAAACATTGACAGGAACACTCCAAGACGAATTACGTGCAGAAGATTGACCGTTCCCTCTTGGGATGGATTGGTTCAAGTGAACCCACTGGCGGTTGGAGTAAAGGAGCCTTGACAACTACACTTTGTCAGTTCATTCAGCACTTCACTGAGCTCCGCAGTTTGCAAACATCCAGCAACGAATGCCACCGTCTTATTGCAATCCAGCTATATTTGGTGTTTATTTGTTTTGTTTTTACAGGCTTGTAGTACTTTGGAAAAACACAGTGGTAGCGTTGTTCGGGGTCAATCTATAGATTTAAGTGAGGCGACTACGTGCAAAGCAGTGAACTTCTTTATGTCCAGCTTGTATAAGAGGAATTCTTTCATCCCTTCTGACGAAGCCCGCGCTATTGTTGCTGCTGGTCGACATTTTCTCAAAGGTTACTCGAGGTTGGCCCTTCTTTGCCATCGAAGCAGCCTCTCGCGGTTCCCTGCCATGCCCAAGAGCCATATGTTATGGCATGTTTTGCACTGGATGTCAGTGCAATGCGAGGCAGTTCCATGGGTCATGAACCCTGCTTCAGAGTCAACGGCTTCTGATGAAGACTTTATTGGAAAGTTCTGTTTGCTGACACGTTGCGTTTCGCCACGGCAACGCATCAAGCGCTCTTATGAACGTTATTTTTGTCAGTTGATGATGATGTGGTTGAGAGACAAATGAACAAACCGTCTCGCTGAGGGGCAGCGATGTGTGACAAAACAGGGGGTTGCATCGTTGCCCGAGCTTGGTGAAATCATGTGTTCTTCAGATCAGTTGAAATGTTGCATTTTGGAGCTTGCCGCTAAAATAAGCGTTCAGTACCGTAATGTAGCGTTCAGCCCTTGAAAAATACGTTTGATGATCCAAAAAAACATTGTTTTCAGCAGATGCCATTGAAATTACCAGGTTTTAGGTTTACCAGGTATATATATGTGTGTGTGTATGTGTATATAGATATATGTAAATCTGACTCACTATGTAAATATATATATATTGCACTACTTCGAGTGATCCACCCAACGAAGCGACTGGGAAGAAGGCATGGCACATACACTGTCGAACTAGGATACTGACAACGCTGCCTGACATGTGCAGCAACACGAACACATATCATAGAACAGTTGTCGGAAAGAAATGCCAAACACAAAGTGACATGAACACATATCTGAACAAATGCCAGAAGAAACGTCAGACACAAGACACAAGGTGGCAGAACACATTAAATGCCGGAGCATATGCCCGAACATGTGCAAGAATTGATGGGAGAACACATGTCACACCTGACATCAGAACACATGTGCCAGAGAGGGCGTCAGCACACATTCCAGAACATGTCCCAGCATTTACCCTACACCTCCAAGTACCTGCTCAGAATGTACTTGGAGGCCTAGGGTTATGGTATATAAATGATGTCAAAACATATGCCAAACTTGATGCTGGCGAGAATTGACCGTCAGGTCCAGGGCCCCCACGGACTGACTGTCAGGTCCAAACCACAAATGCCCCAGCGACGGGGGGCGGAAGCGGATAAGGAGGCGGAGCAGGAGGAAAGGAAGCAGGAGCAGGAACTTCTTGACATATTATAGTATATACCAAACATGTCCGTACATATCGACTATCCAGACCAACATATGGTCAATTCTACACTTTTTGACATATTGTATCATCATATCCATACAGTCCATACATAACTAACATGGACCCTGAAAACCACAGGTTCAGCTAGAGGAAAGCAGTCTTTCTGGGTCTTCGGGAGTGTAAGTTTGCCAACTGATTTCTGTCCACATCTTGCTTCCACTAAGTGTCCACCCCCGAAAACTTGAATTCAATCATGGAAACCAACCAACCCTAAACTTGCCACATCAGAAAACCGTCCAAAATTCACAAAGCAACCAGGATACTTTATTGGCTATTGATTTCCAGCAACTGGTGGCCTAAGATCAGTTTATCCTGCCGTCGTTTTTGGAGCAACTGGGATCCACTTCAGGCCAAAGCCCGCTTGAAATCAACTGGGATGCGTGGCTCATCCCGCCATATGCCCCTCATCCGAATCCATCCATGGCTCGCCACCAGAGGCGATGATGATCATGATCAGCAGGCCCACGACGATGAAGATGGCGCGCAAGTCGTCCTCGGCACATCGTGAAGCACATCTCGGCAGGCTGGAACAGCACTACAGTAACCGTTTTGGCCATGATCTGACAACAAGATGACCAGAACGAATGGGGATGAGTCAAAAATCGCTGAACTCTGTTGATACAACTTCACTCAGTTCATCCAGTTTGCTCTGCAAACATACGGGTCGTCATACCCTAGGGGTTTCCAAGTACCTTCTCAGGTTCGGTGGGACTGGGGTGGGTGCCATTGTCAGGTCCAGGTGCTGTACCTGAGGTTCGCTACGACTGGACCGACTGGATCCCTAGGGATACACTGTTTCTACTAGCTTCTTGTTCCTAGTAGTAAGGCACTTGTTACTAGAAGCGATGCACTTGTTCCTAGTAGCTTCTTGTTACTCAACAAAACATCCCGACCGCATCCTGCCAAGTCTCCGCCTTAGTGCCCCTTCGCGGCGGCTCGGAATCGGGCACCCGGCGCGTGACGCTGAAGTGCTTCAGCCAGGGCTCCGAACCAAACATCTCCTGCGGAGACGGAGAGGACGCGTGGGAAAGCATGGTGGGTTGGGAGTAGAGGCTTTTTCAAGGTGGAAAACGGGATGAACGTTCTTTTTTTTCATGGGATGCCATAGGAAGCTTGGCTGAGTGCCTTCCACTCCTCAAGTGCGTCACTTTTAGGACAATGACAAGCGGCGCGACATGCTTCTCCTGAAAAGCTTCAATCAAAAGGACATCTCCATATTGAATCCTTAGCACATGCAAACAGCTTGCGACGAAGGGGGCCCAAACACATCGTGCATCTTCCAGATGAAATGATAAGTTGCACTTGGCAATTCAGGGAACGCTTGTAGAAGTGCTGAGTTGTCTTTTCAAGGGAGCTGCATTCTTTGATTGACCTGTTTCATTCACATATATAAATGATTGAACATGAATATGCTTTGGATGAACTGACTATCTACATCACCAATTCAATCACAGCCTCCGATTCAAAGTTCTCTCAGACTGAACGGATCACGAGAAAGACCCTCAGGTCGCTGTCTCGAAGAAAGAAGGAGAAGCAACCCAACGTAGGCAAACCTCTATGATTTTGCCCTATAGACACTAGATGACTATATTATTGCACGTGCAAATGAATTGCACCATTTCCGTACAGCACGAATCAAACATGATTTAAATAAATCGGCTAATATGAATGTTTATACAAATCAATCAATATATAGTTAAATATGAATATTAATATAACTCTATATATATATATATGTACACATATATATTATATAATAAAATCACATTCATTCCACCCAACGGCCGTGTCCCAGTGTCTCATAGCCCTCAAAGCCCTCGCGCCACTCCGACTCGACGCTCTCGGCGCCACTGCGCACGGCGACCACAGCGCAGCGGAGCTTGCGCTTGAAGCGCCGCAAGCTCACCCGCTGACCGTGGAGCGTCTCCTGGAAGCGATGATGTGGATGCTGTGGAGTGTTTTGTGGACACGGATGCTGTGAATGCCGTGTGGATGGAAGTTTTCGTGATCCGCTTGAAAAAAGAGAGTGGCATGGTTTCCAAGATATTTTGAGTCGGGAGGTACTTTTCCATCTATTTGGGGGTGGTCTATACTATATAGGGCCAATTTCAGAATTCGCACCTTGGTTGATAGGCGCGGCACATCAATACCCAAACCATCCATGGGACTGGAATAGTTACTTACATATTCATAAGTGGGGTAAATGTAACTATTCCAGTCCCATGGATAGCCTGGTCCCATTCACACAGTTGTTCCGACATGTTCCGACCTTCAAAAGAGACCATTTCTCTATCCCTCAAGCACCCTCACAGCAAGCTTCGCACAGCCTCCATTTCTCTGGTCAGCCACAATCGGAGAGTTCATTACACGGGTCGGACACACACCCTCTTTGAACCCCTGCAAAGCTTTCTTGTCCTGAGGGCCTGGCTTAGAGGGTCTCCAAGCTTCACAAATGTTCACAACAAGTAACAAAGGGATCAGAATCTGAGGAAAACACTCAATAATAAGCAACATATAATCAGATCATCAAACTGAGAAATATATAGAAATATCTTCAGCTCTCTCCCTCTCACCATCTCAAATCCAAGCGCCCCAAGCTACGGTGCCACACAACTAACGCGAAGAAAAATCACACGACGCGCCTTGACAGCAGCTTCACAAAGGCAGCGCTGGCGACGTTTGGAACCCAACAAGTTCAACTCATCATCGTTGCAAAGCTCCAAGCCCCTGCGGTCGAAGCGCGAGCGCTCGCTCCGCAGCCGCGAAGCGAAGAGACGCACCGTCCGGTTTTCCGAGAAGCACCGGCAGCGAGCTTAGCCGAATAGCATCATCATCACATATAAAATTCCAAGATATTCCAAGCACAAATCTTACTTGGAGTGCAACGCCGTCCCAGACTGGCTGGATGGTTTTAAAGTCCTCTTGGATGGTCTTGGAGTGTTTGAGTTCTGCATTCAGCTTAGTTTTATGGGAGCAGGAACACCCTCTCCGAAGAGAGGGTCAAGGAGAAGAAGAAGGGGAGAATTGGACCCATTGAAATTGCTGCCAACTCATGGTTCTCTCTCAGCAAACTGCGTCCAGTACAAAAATTGTGCATGTAATGATTAAATGCCCCTACATGCCCTAAGGGAATCATCCACTCTCACTATCACATACTATATCTTAGGCCATGATTCTGACCCTGTGCGTCACGCATTCGCCTCACGCGTCGCAGCTGCGCCACACCCTCGGCGCTGCATCGAGCATAGAGCGAGTCCTGGCCGAGCAGGGCGGAGGGGCATGGCTTTGACACGGACGTCTTGACGGCAGGAAGTGCCTGGGGCAGCTATGCCTAGAAATGATCGACATCAATGTTAAACACGCCGGATAAGAACACCTCAAAATACTGCAACGTGGTGTTCTAAGTGTGTTGAATGTGAACAGCAGTCGTTGCTTAGAATGTAGCACGTTGAAACCTATTCATAGGGTCCGTGTCACCCTCTTCATTTTCTCTCCATTGTCCCCCTCAAAAAGCTTAAAAACCACACAACTTCGGCAATCAATCCTAACAGGACATCAACGCATTGCGCCCCTGCTGTTTCGTTAGAAGTTCCAGTTCCCCAAAAGGCCAGCACTTGTAATTCACTTGTAAGCATCACCCGATCAAGATCTAAGCCAAGCCACATCTGCCAGCATAATTACATGCTAGTGAACAATACTTTCCCATGAAATCTTTAGAAGGGGAACCCTCCACTCCCTTTTGGGAAACAGGGTCCTCCCCTCTTTTTCGTCCTCCAGCTGCAAGCTCTGCGCCGTGGCGTTGCTGTCAACGACGCCAGCTTCCACCAGTTCCACGTCGTGCCAGCGATGCAGGGTGATCCTTAGGAGGGGCAGATCCAGCAGACAAACCAGGTTGGTCCAGCTCTTCGTTGCAGGTTGGTCAGGAGGTTTTTCGTTTCTGGAGCCTGGAGCCTGGAAGGTTCACCGAAACACCCTTACAAAAAGGACACAGCTCTTGGCAGTTCTACCCGTGCTAGTCTGCTGGCAGTTCTACAGCTGTAGTTGCTAGCCTGTTTCACAATAAAACATGTCAGAATTGTAGCAGAATCTAGCATAAGACTACCCAAAAAACATGTTCTGGAGTTGCTATCTACCGACTTGTTCTCGATACTTGGAGACTCCCAATAATTGATACAATGCCCAAATCTTGCACAGAATGAAGATTGATTGCAACTCAGCTACCCAGTTATATAATGTTATATATATAGATAAGCTTGGGGTAAAAAGGCCACTGGGAAAACACACGGCTTAAGAACAGTGCACAAAAGAAGTGCAACGGCTTGTACCTGAACTATACATCTGCTTAAGCAGCGATCTTAAGCAGCGGTCTCCATGTTTTACCCAGCGGCTCCTCGACGCCAGGGATGCGGTGGAGGCCCAAGTCTTCCTGAAGAACACTGTAAAAACGAAGACCGGCTGACATCGAAAACCGTCAGACTGAGACTCGATTCAGACTCTTGATTTAAAAACCGGCTGACTAGGGACAAGGTCACAAGCATGATCCGGGCCAACGTTTTCCTAAAACCTTGTAACGTACACTATATCATGAATAATGTATCTTGATGAATCAACCCCCCCTTCCTGTTACAAATGGTTGTCAACCTCTTCCTATGGGGACGGGGGGTTATTTTTGGTCAGTCTGAAGCTGCTGGAGCACGAGTGGCGCTGTGGCGACCAGTCACGAGGAGCTGCTGGAGATCCAGAGAGATCCCGGCAAAAACGGGCTGTCTTTTGGGAGGAACTGAGAAAGCTGTCTTTGGTCCCTGACGTCGGGGATCCTTCAAAAAACCCACATACGGCCGAACGCTTGGAACGCTTGGAACGCTTGATGAAGCGATCGGATCGCGCTTTGCGTCACAACGGTGCTGCGGATCGCAAAGTCGAGCCGAGCAGCCAGGCTTTGACCCACCAAGGGTCCGTCCTCACTGGGGCAAAAGGCCACCTGAAGTGGCGTTTTGGAAGCAAAAGCTGCGGGTTTTGGACGTGGAGATGGTTTGGACTGTGGGGGCCAATAGTTTTAGTGGGAACCTTTCATGGGAGCGGACAAAGCACCGGTTGATTGTCATTCCCTCATCACATCAACTCCTGAGCCCAAAGACTGGATCCCTTCCTAGCTCCTCACCCGCCACCCACTCTTCTCAGCCCCTCTCCTCAGCCCCACCTTAAAAAGGTTTGTCCCACCCCTTGACGCAGAAGACTCCACGGCATCCGACACCGGCATGAGGACTTTTGGTCCCATCATCGCGCAGTACGCGCCCTGAGGGCGGTGCCAGGAATCCCTTGTTTGGTATCAGAATAACAACCAAACACCGGCTTCAATAGAGACCGGAAGGCGTAAAGCGTTCAAGGACATGTGGAGTAGCCAAAGGTGTTATTGTGTAAACTGTAAACATATATTATATATGTCAAGTGCGCGTGTTCTTCAGTATGCAACTGACAAATGCTGCCTACAGCAACATAGTGACACACTGTAGTAGGGCCTAGGAGGCAGACTCACAAAAGGACTGAGCCTAGTTTGTTGGGTGTACTTTCAGCTGGAGGTTGTGTTACGTTGCTTCTCTCGAAGCCGTTCCTCATGCTTGTGTTCGGGTTTATATACGTACCTAGAGCCTGATTGACCCCTATTTTGGAGACAAAACGTGGTGGTCTTTTCCTATCACAACAACTGTCAAATGGGTTCCAGATAAACCTTAGAAATATGTTTTTTAAAGTTTGCCAATCCGTAACTACGGAGCTGTGGGTCATGCCAATCTCAGAGCTGTTCAACCTGGAAGCTAGTTGACTCCTTCCAAGTCGAAGGTCCCAACCTGTCATTCTACCAGTGAACTACGGCGCTCCTTCTTCGGGGCATCCAAATCGCACGACTTATGCGCAGTCAAGCTGCACCAAGGAGACATATGAAGATGCAGCCTTGGATGTGCTCAACACCATCCATCCATCCATCCATCCATCCATCCATCCATCCATCCATCCATCCATCACGGTTTAGTTTTCCACCCGTTTTGCGCGGTTCTTCTCGAAAATCATGCACAAGGAAACCTGGATCAATCTTCTCTGAATGGACGCGATCTCCATGATTCACTTGAAAAATGTCGTTGATGGCCTTCACCGCGAAAATATTCCACGCTTGCGTCCAATGACAATGGCTTGAACAAACATGTATGCCGTTCTCACCGTTCCCACAACATCCCACCAGCCAAGCCCATGTAACGAAACGGTTTTCTGATTTTTGAGCTGTTCAGTGAAGGACTCATCTGACAATGATTATATGATTAGATGAAAACAATGACACTCATGACTGCAAAGAACTATCTGACAAAAAAACAAGGACCATTATATCATTCACCTCCTTGCGATTGGTTCGGACACACAACAAAACGGCTACGGCGGAGCCGTGCTGTCGCGGAGCCCAGGGTCAAGGTAAAGAAGCCAATGCCGTAGCCGTTGGCCCGAAAGACCTGGCCCCAAAGACCGGCGAGACATGAAAGAATCAGTCCGAGAAGAGGTTCCAGGGGTGATGTTTCACAGGAAATCCTTGGTGTTTGGAGTGTGCTTTCAAGGGTGTCCTGTAGATGTTCCCCTTTAAAACAATTAAAAACAATTCATTGAATCATGACCTGTTCTCAAACCTCCGACATCAGTGAACCCGCAAACTTGATTTTGTTGCCCTGATATGATATCCTATTGCTACTGTTCTCACTTGCGCTGCAAAGTGCTATTGAATCATATTATGTGGTTATCGTTCTTCTTTCTGATGCTGCCGCTATTGGTTCTCGTGCCTGCCTGCTCCTTGTTTTTTTGATCTATGTCAAGCAACCTATTTGTTCTGCTCCCGCGAGTGGAACCCACAAGATATAGGTCACTCGTTTTCGCTCCCGCGAGTGGAACCCATCCCCGGCCCAGCACCTCATCAGCCACGAAGTTAATCGAAGAACCCATCTTGGTCAAGCTCCCACCCGCCTGGCGGCATTGCTGGAGGCAATCCGAATACATTGGGTATATCCGATATATCCTATTCCCTGCCACAGTGGATGTTGATGGTTTAGTCAAGGCCTTCCTATATTTTAGAGTGATAATTGTTTACTGACTGTTGCAGGTAATAGGACAAACCAAAGGAATACCCGCATGGTTCATTTCTTATTCCACTCGACGATTAGAGAGGTGGATGTGAAAGGAATCTTGCGCTCTGGAATTGACAAACAAAAAGTATGTTCAGCCACTTAAAGAGTCCCTAGAATTAAGATGCTACAGTTTTTCATGTTGCCGTCCCCCAGCCGTCCCCCTGATCAGCCATAACCCCCGCCTATCAGCCACATACAGTCTTCCGGCGTTGACCAAACACTCTGCCCTTTTGGTCAGTCGGCCGGCCACGTGACCGGGCTCGTCCAAGTCTTGGACCTCTTTGAAGCCCAAAAAAACACGTCACAGGTGACCTTTTGGTGACCTTTCGCGGGGTTTGGTGTCAACAGGTTGGTGGGATCAGACTCTCAGTCCTCGAAGACGGCCAGGGCCGTCTTAGGAGACAGTCACAGGGTTTCATCATGTGTCATGGGGTCCTTGGTGGCTGGTGGCTCTAACATGAACAGGTGTGATGGTTGTCAAGGAATTGTGACCTTCTCAAAGTTTGCAGCATACTAGTTAGGCGCTTCCTGAGTCTCTTCACAGCCTGACTGTGGGGACTTCTCGCACCGCCTGAGCAGCAAAGGAGAGGGGCATCAGCACCGCCGGGCTGGGCACACCCTGTCGGAGGCCTTGGCAGTCCGTCAGTCCCGGCCTCCCAGTTCAGCGCGCGCGACTGCCTGCAAAGCGTTTGGCCACATCGGTCGATACTGGAAGCCTCTGTCCTTGCCTTTCTGCCCTTCTTGACACGTAACTCATACGTACATTAAGTACATTGTGGATGTACGCTGGTCCAGTATCATGTCGATCTACTAGTATAGTAAGGACGTTTAACTACGGCCAACAAGGGTGACCTTCTTGAGGGCCCCAAGCATGCTGCCCAGCCCACACCCCCGCCCTGCAGCTGAGGTGCACAAGGACTGCAGCAGGGGGATCATCATCACCACAATCGGAGTGTTGTTGAACACACCCGAGAGAATGGCCACAGAGAAGAACATGCCTTGAATCAACAAACCGTGGGGTGATCAACTACCTGTCTATTCAATCATCAGTGGATGGCATGACCCCAAACGGACAACGGGTCTCCCTCTCACCAAACCGTGCTAAAGACTAGTGTGTAGTTGTGGACTTCGACTTTCATGGTTGTTGGATGGAAGGTAATTTTTGACGGCAAGGAATTGAATAGTATGTACCAGGCTTCTGCCAACGTATTTGCCCCAGTTTACGCCAGGTGTCTAACGCATGGTTTCCCGTCAAACGCAGAACCGGGAGGTTGGATGAACTTGGGCATGGATTACATTTTCATGGGCTGTGGAGTGACCAAATGCATGATCCAATACCCAGCTGCAACAGTAACCTCAAATAGGATCTTTTGAAAGGTCTTTTGAGGATTGATTGGAGTGCCAATGGGTGGGCAAGAGCCCTACAATGATACTAGGAGGTGACCAGTCCAAACGAGTGTGTGGCACAAGGCCTCACTTTGAAATCCGTATATCCTTGTCTAGCCATTGATCTGTTTGGATGTGGTGCTCAGAGGCATGCCCCTTTCTGAGGATTAACCACTGGATCTTGAGTTCCTGCCTGGAAATTCGTATGCTAAAATAATGAAGACTCTCTCTCTATATATATATGTTATACAGCATGTCTGGGACGTCGTCCGAGCGACGTATGATCAACGAGTAGGGGCCCTTGGCTGAGCCCAGCATGCAGCCGATGAAGCGTTCTGGAACGCCCGTGTCCCCTGAGCCAAGCAGTGGAGGAGGTGACGAGGTGGACTTCGTGGGTATCCGGGGTACACCACGTTCCAATTCGAAAGAGCACAACGAGTTCCAAAAAAACATAACACCCAGCTTGCTGGCACACTCCTTCTCACTCCATCTTTGTCTGCAACAAGCACTTCAGTGGGAAAATGGAGATTGGAGAGATTGGGCTACGAGCAAAGCAACATGAGAAGCACATGCTAGCAAGCCATGCTCCGCCAAGGCGCCCATAGCTTTCATGATCGGAAACAGCAGTGCCAAGGTGACGACCTTGGCAGATTTCAGCTCCAAATGAGACACGACCCGTCTGGGACTGGCTTAGGACTACCGATCAGGCCAGGGGTGGTGCCAGGGGGTCGGCAGTCAGGTTTCAGGTCGTGTCAATGATTCAACGACCAAATCGGCCATGGGACTTTCGAGGGCGAACGTGGCGACGCTTCGAACGTGCGACACGAGCAGACAGACGCACTTGGCGCACTTGGCCTCTACGGACGCTGCGAAAGGCCAAGGTAAACACTGCTTCACCTGGAGAAGGCTTGCACTGGAAAAGGCCCCTGCTGAAAGGGTGTAGTAGCTACAGCGTTAGAAGTTCCAAAACATGCAAAATACGGCAACATCGTGTTTTGCCACAGAACTTCACACGGAAGTTCACGCCCCCAACCAGCGGCATTGCAGGCAAGAAACTGCATCTGATGCACATCCCTGGAAAAGTTCCTGGCTTGTTCTCAGCATTGGCGTCGAAAACTGCACCCTCCCAAAAAAGCATGCCACAAACAAGAAGATGACAGCGCGGCCCGAAAGCACAGTATGAGTAAGATATATTATAATAGGGGATGTTTAACGATATTTAACGATAAAACACCGCATTCAAAAACCAATCCTAAAAACATGTGATGACGACGTTTGTGATGATGATGATGATGATGATGATGATGATGATGATGATGTATGATGAAGAGATGAAGTTAGTAGCTGTTCTTCAAAGAGAACCCTTCAGAACGGGGGGTTAAAGCCATAAACTGCTGCCGTCCGCCGCGCTGAAACACGCGCATGCTGTCCAGTTCCCCGTTCGGGCACAGCGCCGAGGCCACACACGCCACGGACCCCGCAACCAGCGGCGACACGCGACCCAGGCGCGTCGCATTTGGCACACGCGCAAGTGAGTTGATTCTGGACTTGCAACATGCTTCTGGTTTGACACCCAAAGACTACCTCTTCCAACAGCTGCAGCGCTGCTTGGAGTTTGACAGGACTGTGAACAGTTTGCAGGGAGTGGAAGAGGCACACTGCCTACAGCATCATGTAACAGCATGGCACGGCGACATCATGATATTTCCTAGGCACCACTTTCCGTACTAGATTTGTACTGCAAAGTTGCCAGCTCATCTGCGCACCCTAGAGTACATCTGTTAACTGACATGCACACACACACACACAATATCTTCAAACACACATTGCACAGTGTCACAATACTTAAGGATGAACGCCCTCGTGGTGGTGTTAATGACGGCTCAATCACGACATGATGATGATGATGATGATGATGATGATGATGATGATGGAGATGATGAAGTGGGTAACTCTTCTCTGAGGAGTACTCTTCGCCCTGTGCAAATGCTTTGGGGGAAGGATGTCAGTGTGCCTTCATGATTGCAAGGTTTCAATCGAAGACCACAATGGTTCACCCAAATGCCGTGTCCGACCAGAATCAGCACTGGAATAACAAAACAGTGCTCAAAACACTATATATATATACACTTCAAATTGAGGCGTGGTGTGACATGCTGACACGGTTTTTCTTACTGTGGTTCTCCAGAGCCTTGCTGGTCAGGATGCCCGCAAGACTGCAAACAGCACCAATGAACAGCAGCATGAGTTCAGCTGGAATACCCTGCGGCACCAGCCTTAGCAGGTGATCAATCATATGCCTGAATATTGCTTATCAAAGTTTCTCAATGGCTGCCCTTTCATAGCCACAACCTTCGTCTATTCTTTAAGCCTTCAGGTCATTAGGTCTATTCTCAGGCGTTCAACCTGTGCTTTCCACTCTCACCATCCAATCACAGACTTCTGCAAAAAGGGCCAGGTGACAAAATGAAAGTCATCAGCAGGTTCGCCACCAAAAGCATTCGCCCCGGAGCACCTCTTCACGGTGCGATGCGACGAGGTTGTGTTGCCGCACGCCGAAAGCCAAGGCACCAGAACTCGTAGTGAACACAGAGCTCCTCTTGCCGTCCCATGTCCTTCCCCAGACATGGGACTGGAATAGTTACATTACCATTTACCCCACTTACGACCCTATAATGTAAGTATTCAAGACCCATTCGTCTGGTCTGGGTTCCATCACCTCCTTGGCAAGGCTTGCGCTTGCAGGTCTTTCTAAAGATCCTATCCACCAAACCAGTCGCCTGTGGTGAGACATGCAGGGCACCAGCCGGAGCATCGCAAAATCACGCTTGCCACCATCAGCAGTGCTAGGACAGCAATCGACTTCCATGGAAGTCCTGCAAAAAGAAACTGTCGGTGGTGCTCGCTGATGAATGTGTCGATGTGCCGGTGAACTCTCAGGGCCATGAAACATATGCCAATGCTGACGGGAATGCAAGTGAGGCACACAATTCATGCTAGATGCTACCAGGACCCTCCTGTCGGGATGTCTATTTGAGTGTCCATTGACCACCGGTGCTATAGACTGCCCAACAACTGAGAATGATAGAACACCAACTTCAAGGCGCTCCATGAGCACCTTGACTCTCAACACCACGAGCCTACTGAGTAGGCACAAGAATAAGATTACTCTGGGAGTCCAGGACTGACCATTTTTTCAAAACCGGTCTGACTGGGCGATCCGAAGTTCGGAATCGCATAATCATTTACTTGTGACATTTACCTTCCTAGGGAAGTAGAAGGCCTACTCCCGTCCCAACATTCGCGGGTACTCGCCAACGCTCGCTACAGGGTGGGCCCTGCAATCCCACAAGCCAACCATTGCATCAGCCAAGAATGCTCACATAGAGTAAGCAGGGTTGAGTTGCGGGTCTGACATACCTGGATCTTCCAACTGTGCAAAAATGGGCGCCTTTTGATCTCAAAAGCCAGCCAACGTGCGCCAAACATGTTGCATAGTTGGAAGGTCCAGGTGTTCTTTACCAGGGCCCCCAAGTGACGGAAACCGCACTGCACCGAAGCCGCGCTCCCGCCGAGTTACGCGCGGTGCGGAACCGCTCCGCAACCCGGTCCTTCTCTCAGCTGCTGCTTGATGCCCACGAAGGGCACCAGGAATGAGACCCGGGTCGCCCGGGGCCCACGTGTATTCGCCATCGGTTCTTCGTCTCCGCTCCGCTGTTGGCCGAGCGAGGTCAAAGGCACCACTCCGGGTGGGCGGAGGAGACCGAGCGAGGTCTCTAGGTGAGTGGAATCTGAAGCAGTCTGCAGTTTAGTTAGGGGTGCTATTGATGGAGGTTATAGTTAGGGGTGCTATTTGTGTCACATCCACTGCCACATCGTGGCTGGGACGAAGCAATCAAACCACCCAAGGAGACCGACTCCTGGAGGAGATCTCCCAGGAGAAGTAGCATGTGGTAGCCAGAAGACAAATCAAACGGCTTAATGATATTCAACGCATTGATATTCTTCGAGATGTGGATGCACTTTCCAATCAATCCTGTCGTGATCTATGCTTTGAAATTCGACTGACCCATGTGGGTTGCTCGAAAGTCGCTACCAACTACTCTGCAATGGCTGTGCCAATTGGCTGCGAAGAGCGTCTCCCGGTAGCAGGCTGAAATATTCTTTTAAGCGAGGCATGACAGGAATTTCGGAGTGACATATCATATGTTGATTAATTCTTAATGTATTTACTTCTTCCAGCTGCCCCGAAAAGCCCTCGCATACCCCCCAACGCCCTATATAATTATATGTGTGGCCGCTCAAACCAACTGCTGGGGCCCACGCTTTCCCTTGGAGCCCACAGGGTGTGAAGGAGTGCTCGAGGAACAAGCGTTCCAGGGGTCACCTGCCGCCAGGATCTTCTGCTCCACGCCTAGGCGGCCCAAGGGCCACAGCAACTGGTGCTGAATGCGGAGGGAATGGTCAAAGGTTCGAGAATGGTGATCCACTGTACGTACTGGAATCACAGATTCGAGGTCGCATGCAATCAAAAAGAACGCTTACCAAACACACTATTCACATGAAAAGGGCAAACAAAGCAACCAATCAACATGGCTGAGCAAATTTGAGCCGTGACTCCAAAACAAACCCAAAGCCCACGGCAACGCCTGTAAAAAAAAAGTCCACAAAACGAGTCTCCCTGATGGACATGCAGTTCCACCATGCGAAACAATGCCACCAGCCAGTACTTCTGCGAAAAACATCGATGTCATGATGCTCACTACACAAATCCCAAACACTCAATATGCCTACATTGACCCCGACTTCAACCACCCCTGCCTGTAATGGATTCATATGCCCGTCCCACTGCCATTTTTTGGGAATGATGTGACAAGGTCTGCAGATGTCTGCAGCTTGTCTCCCTGCGGTCCCGCGCTCGCAGCGGGCTCGCCGTTCACCAGCACGATCTCATCGCCCTCGAAGACGCCCGCCACCTGGATGGGTGGCGCCAGGTGGACGAACGTGAGCTCAACAGATTGGCATGACTTACGGAGCTGAATGAGGCGAAGGAGCAACGAAAAAAGGCCGAATGTAATGATGGCATCAAAGGCATGAGTCATGCGTTTGATGCAATAGAACTTAGAACAGTAATTGACAACGGTAACGTGGACTGTTTTATTAGTACAGTTGCGAGTTGCTCATGATGATCAGCATGGTGCTGCCTACTTTGTTTGCAGCATTGATGATTGCTATCCAAATGGTGTTCCGTTGTTGTATTGAGATGTTTGCTGGATGCAAGGGCGAAAACAGTTACGACTTCGTTTTCCGTAGGCGGCCTGCTTGGCCTGAGAACTTCACTTGTTGCTTGATATTCTTCGGCGTTTAGGGCGCTGAGCCGCCCTCAACCTTCATGTGCTCCAACTGAGCACTCACCCCCCTCACCAGGCGTCCTTCACCGCCCTCCACCCGAAGGATATGGGAGGCACCTGGCCCAGGCAGCACCTGGTGGAGAGCCAGAGCTCAGCTCGGCGCAGAAGCCTTCTGTGCTCCGCCCAGGGCAGGTCCGACCGCTAGGGCGTCGTACAGGGCAGGTCCGACTTCAGGGACGAGGTGTGACACCTGCACTCTCGAGCTTGGACCTATCTCAGAGGGATTGCTGTGGTGCATGTTGTCTCGTAAGCAGCACTCTCCAGAATTCTTTACATCTTTACACCAAATGGAGCTCTTCGCGCAAGAAGAGGCCTCGTGCCAGCTTGGGTGTGCATTGATTGGATGTGCAACGTCGCCCGCATGCGGCCAGTTCGGCGGCCAGGGCGATGCTTCATGTGATGGACGCTCGGCTGCGAGGCTTCTTGGAGCACTGCTTCTTGCAGAATTCGCCAGCCAAACAACAGGTCACAATCGCAGCTATAGCCTATAGCAGCTATGGATTTATCTGGTTTGGAGCTGGAGCTTGCATTTGGGCTCGTGCTTTGTGCAGCTGGATGTTGGTTGCGGGCATTGAAGGTGTTCTTCTTAGCTTGCATATGTGCGCCCATGTTTGTCTGGACTTCTTGTTCAGGGTCTCTGTTTCACTTGGGTTTTTGTGCTTGTTTGCGCCGAGTTCGCCGAGGAAATATCTACAAACACCATTTCCCGATTCCGGCGCGGCAGCGGGGGCACCTTCGATCAAACACCAACCCAAACCCGTTGCAATTGACTTTCGAGACGGAATTGTTAGTTGGCCATTAGCTCTCAAAAGCCGTGTAAATTGATTGAGGTTCATAGTGCCTTGCACGACTTTGTGAATCATTGCTGCAGGGAAAGGAGAACAACGGAGTAAAACGTCTTTGATTGCTTTTCGTTGATTGTTTGTTTGGCTGTTTTTTGTATACTTCTTCTGTTACTTCTTAAACTATTGTTTGGTAGAACATGTGCTGGAGTGGGTACCGTGGCTTTGTCCGGAAAACCTCCTTAGGAAGGACGCCTTTTGCAGTTTTCATTGTTTTGAGGACGCCTTTGTTTCCCGCAACAAGCCTAAACCCCCGACCCAAATCAACAATTTACAAGTGATTGAATAGTGCATGCAACTGGACGTGGTGTTTAAAAAGTTCGGTGCTGCACTGCTGCACTGCCGATCGAAGCCGATCAAACCAACTCACCCCTCATACTGCTCAATCGCCTGTGAGTGATAGCGGCAAAAGGACAAATACACAGGAGTTAGCTACGCTACAGTAACTTTTTTGGCGCCATGCAAGTAAAGGAACAACAAACACAAAGAGGAACCCGCAAACTTGACCAACACGCGCTCCAAAAACAAGCGCCCAGAGTTTAAAAAACATTGAGAACCCTTCGCGACGCCTTCGGGCCTTCGGGAAAAAGAACGAAACAACATGAAACAACCAAACAGCTGAGTGCCTGCGGCTGGGCACCAGAGCTTTCGAAGTTTTTAGAAGAGAAGCAGGCCTCGCTGGATGCATCGGTCGGCCAGTGAGCCCTGTGGATCAGGGGCTCTCTCTCTCTCTCTCTCTCCGTTCCGGTCGTGGCAAGCAAAACCACGGCACCTCCATGACATCCATGTGTCTTCGTTTGGGGGGCGTGGCGTTGAAGGGTTGTCCATCTTGGTTCTTTCGGGCCACTTCACTATAGCCATACCTAGATGCACCCGGGGCAGAAATGTCTGCCTCAGTCCGATTTGCCCGGGAGGATTCGCGGATTTAGGGGAAATCCGCGCCAGGTAGGAATTTCCGCGGGCAGCAGGGAATTTTTGCCTCAAGCAACATCCAACATAGCAACTCAAAAACCATTACAACCTACCAGGTTGTCTCTTCCATGATTGCAGGCCACATATCGTTCTGCATAGCTTCACATCTCAAGATCTGACACCCTACGATTTTGACACTTCTAAATTCATGACATTCACAAAGAGGCTGCGACATATGTTCAAGCCCTTCAAAGGCATCAAAGGCACTGTTCTTGAATCCCGCCTTCTACCAGGAAATTTCCGCCGGTTTCCCGGGTGTTTCCGCCGTTTTCCCGGGTATTTCCGCCTCTTTCCCGGGTATTTCTGCCCTTTTCCCGGGCATTTTCGCGCCAGGTGTTTTCAACTTTGGACGGATTTTAGCCCTTTTGTGATCATTCCGCACAAGAAACCTTCAAAAACAAAGACACATAATATATGATATGATGGTAGCCAGATTTGCAGGTGGAGGTGGAAACTTAAGCGCTGCAAATTGTTTTTTCTCATTGCGGTGACCGTTCCAGGCAGAGATGCCTAATGTAAACCACAAAAATATTCAACTCCTCTAGAATATGTAGTCTTTGTCTCACTGGATTCCTGAAAGGGAATATTCGCGGCAACAAAAGCATTTCCGCGGCAAACAGCTGATTTCCGCCCCAGGACGGGAAGAGCCGCTCTTCCCGAAAAAGGCAAGAATTTCTGCCCAAAGGATCTTCTAGGTATTCTCATGATTTGGCGGCCTGGACCCCCTCTGCCCCAAACAGCAAAAACACATAAAAACACTACATGCCGCATGAATGATCAAATCGCGCAAAAGTGTACAGCCATCTCTAGCAAAGGCAGCTTCCACGTAGTGCTGCTTCTGGGAGGCTCAAAGGAGCAAATTCAGACTAAACCAGCTACGCCCGGGAGGATCAACATGGAACCCCATCACCGATTGTAAAGGAACATCCTCTTCCAGTCCGGTCCATGCCCACCCCACGCCCGGTTCCGGTCTCGGAACCAGCACATCGGTGTACCGTGCGCGATCTCCGCCGTTGACGGGTTGCGAGGCGATGTACCGACCTTCGGCACTTCTGAGACCAGCAATCGTCCCTCATGGCTCTTCAATGAGAGGCCTGGTGTCGAACGGAGCTGAGGTCCCAGGGGTGAAGAAAGACAGGAGAACGATGACGTGACGTTGTGGCATGTTTGGAGCGGCAACGCAGGTTCCTGCACAGCTTTTGGGGCCGGTCTGATACCGATACCGGTTGTGTTTCGACACATCTTCTACGGTTCGTGGATGGAGACGTCAACCTTTTGGGCTTGCCAATCTTCGACACGCCTTGTCAAGGTGTGGTCCAAGACACAGTGGCCCCCACCCTCTCTGTCTCACTCGCACTCCACACGTTCGCAGTTCTCGCCTTCCCAGCCAACAGGGAGCTTGACCTCACAGCGAAGGAAAGAGGATGGCCGGTTCTCCAAAGGGCTTCTGTTCGGGGAAGCTGCGACCACAGAAAGTGAGAAAGTGACGCATCCTGCAAGAAATGGCTTTGCAAAAACCTTTGAGTGGCAATAGTCTTCCAGCGATCCTTCTTGGAGTCCATGGAAAAGTCGGTGCCTTTCCAAGATTCCGCTCCAAAATGTTGCTGCCTACGACCTGACATATCCCGGCGACACAGGTTTGGAGCGCAGTATGCAGGGCTCCCAAATGTCTGCACATCCCTTGGCGGGTATTCATGCACTTGCCCATCCCCGTTTCCCCTGCCAAAACCGAAGGAATGGATCACACATCTGAATCTGGCAATGCATTTGGTCTATTTCGCCACATCTTCCAAGGTTTCTGCGTGGAGTGACGACGGCATTTCGGTGCTGCTTTCCACGAAGCGCACCCCGCAGCCCCTGGATGCCCCTGGGAACCTGCGAATGCCCTGCACCGGCCCTGCGTCCAAGGCACTTGACGTATTTCACCGTTGACCTTGGAGGCCTGGTGGTTTCGGAGTGAGGGACACTGTGAGTTCTGCCGCTGGCGGCGTGGCCATCCGGGTTCTGCCGCCACTCGACACAGTCCAAAGCAAAAAACAAAGAACCTTACAATCTCTCTCGAGGAGGATTCTTTGTGGTGTCAAGCTCCCACATGTAAGACATTGTTTCAACAAATTGCAAAGACCTTCGACAAGCTCTTTGCTACGCGGCATGAGGAAGCGCTAGTATCGTTAGTGAGTTGTGGCTCTACACGAGTACCGGAGGTGGCTAGCACTGGACTGAGGTGAGCGACACACCACGACGGTTTGGGCACCGCTCTAAAAGCAATGTGTTCCAAAACATGTCAAAATATAATTGGGAGTTAGCATCTTCCTGGAACAGGTATCGCGTTTTTGAGGGTTCCCTATCACCAAAACAAACAGTGATTGCAAAGTTTTACAACGTCAATGGCGGTTCACCTCCAACGCTCTTGCTGGATCTAGTATGTTCCAGTTGCTGCATGATCACTCAGTTCTGGGACCACGGCCAATACACCGATCAACACGATCGTTGCGGTTAGCGGTCAGCTATCTCTTGCCAAGGTGGTATATCTCAAGTTGTTCAATTGCAAGAGCGCAACCAATCTTCGCAAAACTGGTGCTTGAATCAAACAAAGCTGACCAAATTACTCCATTGATATATTTGATGATATTGGTATATCATGAAACCATGTTTGCTTCAGCAGAGTTCTTGGACATGAATAATTTCTTGGGTTCTCAGCACCTCCTCTCCCTTCTTGCCCTCCTCTCCCATGGCAGTTCTTGCAGAGGCGCCAAGCGAGAAGACTCGATTGTGTATGTGGTACTCTGGGGCTTTGGATGGAAGATTTGAGATTTGTGGACCCCACATTCGGTGCTATGGGCAAAGTCCTGATGGACATGTCCAAAGTGAAAAACACTGTCTGGGAGAATCACAAACGCACGCATAAACCTTTTTCGCTGAACTGTGTAACTACCTCAAGCTATCATGGATGAACGCGTAGAGGGTCCTCTGCCACCACTGCCCCTAGCATTCTCAGCTGTAAAGTATGTTTGACCTCTCATTGTTTGAGGGCAGCTGCGAGCCACAAAAACCTCTGAGACTAATTCACCTACACACTTAGTTGCCAGCTTCATCGTTGCCTTGCAGTTTATATAAGGACCTCAAAACCTGTAGCACTAGAAGCAACTATGGAGATCCCGGTGCTATGGCATCAATTTTTGCACACATGTAGATTCGCGCTATCCCGACTGGCTCCTAAGTGCCTGTAACCGCATGTTGCGTCCTATGTTGGATCCACTGGCGTCCTATGCTGTCCTCATATGGATCGCAGTCCTTCAGATGGAGCGGCGGAAATGATCCTCATCAGCTCCATTTGCATTGGGAATTCATGGGAGATACAGTACATACAAATATCATTGGCAATTCCGGAAGCTTGATGCCGTTCATTTTTTGGACTACAGTATGCACATGTATGGACCATGTTCCGTGTTTTTCATGTTTCTTTCTCTTTAGACCTTGTATATTCCTTCTCCTATTTCCTGTTTGTTCTCACGGGAGGAGTGCCGGCAACCGTTGGATGTTTTCTTGAGAGGTGCGTTTTTGGGAGGAGCATCATATTGCATCTGAAGCCTCAGCTCGGATGACAAGCTACAAATCCAGCAGCTTGCTTTTTCAGGAACAACGTTTTCAATTCTTCACTCCTCAATATCTCAGCGTTCCATCTTCTCACACAGTTTTGGCCCAGCATGGGCACCAGTACTGTATGTCCCACCAGGCCAAAACACAAACACAGTACCATGAATCCATGTGCTTACCGACAAGTACACTTGTGGCCACTGATGTTGCGAGTAGATGGCACAATCCCCAAAAGGTGGTTTATATGAAGCCCTATATAACAAACATCTTGGGGTACCAGTGCCATCTACTCTCAATCCACTGTAACTTGAATCATTTGAGAAGGTCAACATGTAGCCAACTGTCATCTTCAGTTGCCCTTGCTCACTGGCCCAGCATATTGCAACAACAGAAGATATACTGTACCGATATATATATATATATATATATATAAACTAACAACATCCTTTGAAAAAAAAACTAAAACTAATTATTACATAAAAATAATATACTTCAGGACGGCCAAAGACGAAAGTGAGGAGTAGGTGGAGGGAACGGCTCAAACTGGGATGGTGGGATGGTGGGTTTGGTAGTGCGCTCTTCAACTCAGCAACTACCGCAGTCTTTCAACTGCACGACTGTAGCAGGCTCATGGAGGGAAACAAATTTGCTTCTAACTGCTCCAACATTCCCTGAACTTCTTTGCTTCTGCAGGCCCATAGACAATGTTTGGCAACTTTCTAAAGCCCAAAGCTTAGTGTGTTGGCGTTGTGGACCGATTGCCCGGGCTTATTGAAGTCAGGGTAAGACTCTCAGGGCTTTGAATTTCCCTTGTGTGCTTGAGCAATCGTAAGTGCCCGGAGCCCAGTGCACCAAATGCCAGAAGCGTAGTATCATCCATAAGTGTTTAGAACGGCGTTTGATGGGACCTTAGCGCTCAGTTTACGGATTCAACGCCATACAAGTTGATTTGCATACCCGAAACCCTGACCTCAAGCAACCCACTGTGAATGACCAACAGGAAGTTGTGTGAACCTGACCTACAAAGTTTAAATCTGACAATGCTTTAAACGGTGAATACCAGGATCATCCGTTCTGGGTGTCCAATAGCCTACCCTACCCTACTTACAGGTCTCCAGACAGGGCACCCGTTGGAAGTGCTAGGTATGTTAATACTTGAGAGGAGGGAGACACGGACGTCCCAACACTTGCTTCGCAAGACAAACTCAAGGTAGTCCTTACCAGGCTACCTTTCGTGATATGAATGAAAAAATATCCTTTTCTTGCAATGCCTGGTGTACCGCATCTATGTCCAGCGTCGATGCTCTGACGCTACTAGGAGCTGTTGTCCTCCTTGATGAGCTGTTGTCTTTTTGCAATGTTGGCCCCCAAAAAAAAGGAAAAAACATATGAAAACAAACTAACTATACGTAAATACACCGGTGTTTCACATGGCACAAGTTACCCAAGTTTTGGTGGTTGAAAAACGGACCTTATCATATAAGAAAAAACATATTTGATAATCTTTGTGCGCCAGTGCCATCCACTCTCTTCAACCACTGTAGATGATATGACGTCGGATCATTCATTGCTGGCCGCACTCTCTACACTCGGCAGCAAATCGGTCCAAGTTAGCTTGTCCAGCCTGACCCGATCGATAGGTGTTTCAGCCTTTTCAACCGCCGATGGAGGTCCCAGAGTTTCTGGAGCCACTGAGAGACTCTCAAGTGCCCTTGTACTTGGAATCCTCGGCCAATTCACACCCCAACCCCTCAAGCTGGACATTTAAACGAGCCGCCGGGCAGAAGCACAATCAACGACCCGGTTGACTAGTCCAGGCTGAGATTTGACTTGGTGGACTAGTGGACCTGCAAGGAAAACTGTAAAAGGGCCTGGATTCCTGGATGGAATTGCGGGCCAATCAACCACATCTAATATGGTCTAATGGTAAATGGATGTAAATGGTAAAGTGCATCGTGCTCTGTACAGCTTCGAGAACATTGAAACAACCAGCCAACCAGTTCAGCAGGAAAGTTGTAGAACATCCTAAATCATTGCCGCTTGAAAGAAACGCACCAAACATATCCAACTCTCTTTGCCACCATAAGCCCATATCAAATCCAATATGCTGACCCAAGCATCTCCCATGTACTGCTGCAAGGCCAGCAACTCACCTGGGCTGTGGCAGATCGAGTACGAAGAGTATGTGTTTGGGTCTATCCTATTACCAGGTTTCAGTGGATGATGGGGCCTGGTTGCAGGTCTGGTGAATCCCTGACGGACCAAAAAATATGGGTTTGCTGGCGCCAGACCCAAACTACAACTAAGCTCCAGGTTCCGTGTCAGCTGGAGGATCAAACAAACATTTGCGGGGGGGGGTCGCAGCTTTTGGGGGTCGAAGTCACGCAAACCCAACGTAGCCGAAGGAGCTGAATGTCACACTGCTCACAAAACGTATCTGCTCTTTCTTCATCCCCTTGTGCACGCTCCCAAAACACACACACACACCAAACAAAAACACAGTGGTTTACCATGGTGTATCATTAGACCCCCCATCACTAATAGCCTATCTTGCTTTTGGTCGCTTCCCACTCCTTCCCAGCCCATCCCACTCCTTCCTCAGTACCCACCTATGACTGCTGTCTGCCGTCTGCGCCCAGTGGCGGTCCTCCTCCAAATGGCCATCCGCGATGACCATGCCACGATCGTCCTTTAGCGACTTGGAGCCCCCCACCATGCCTCGGCGAACATGACCAGCTCCAAAGCTCGATCCAGGCCGCACCGCACCGAAACGAAACGAGAGGGTACCTCCGAGACCCTCCTGGCACCCAGGCCCACCCCAGTCAACCTCAGGCACGACTGGTGGAGCCTATAGGGTTTGTGAATGTTCCCTAGGGCTCCAACCACCTCCTGAGGTTCGGTGGTTGGGGTGTGTTTTGGGGGTCTAACCACCTTCTGAGGAGATGGTTGGAGCCCTAGGGGTTTGTCCTTCTGTGGTGGGTGGCGTGGCGTAGGTGTGCTCATCCACAAGACGGTCAGCTCATCCGTCGAGGTGTCGGTGCTGGTACGACGTGCTGGTGACTGGTGATGTGGAGTGAATGCGTGGAGCTTCGGTGTGAGGTCCTTCGTCCTTCGCCCTCTGCCAGGACACAAAGGATCAAGCCCGAAACAACACCTGCGCACAAGATCCAAATGAAGGCAAGCTTTGAAGAGTGAGCTTGGGGATTTTATGATTGACTCCGTAAATCCCGTAATTATGAATGAAGTGCCAGCTCTCAAGTGGGCACAGGCCATTGCAATCACCACAGGCGTTTGGGCCCGTTAACGGCTGTTTTAGGTGTTGCATGCGCAAAGAAAAATCCGTCCCACGTGCTCCATGCACCGGATCGAACACCGAACATCGAACACCGAACGACTGCAAGGAGTTACCAGCATTCGACGGAGCGGGCCCCGCATCTCCCCGCATCCTGCCTATGGAGTGGCCGGTCCAGTAACCCCAGTCGCGCGCCATGGTGTCGCCCACTGAGGAGGCAACAAGGTTGGCCTCCGGCAAAACTCCGAGGTTCTCGAAGGAAGTAGGTTTTCCAGGGGATTTGTGTCACACCATAGCAGCCTCAGCACATCCTACAAGATCTTGGGTAGCTACTTCACCCAGTCAAAGAAGGATTCTCATATACCTAGACCCTCCCGAGGCAATAATTGTTGCCGTAGGCTGTTGAGGCAATTATTTTTGCAGTAACTCATTCCCTGGAAAGTGAAAACGCCGTCAGAGAAGTGCAAACGCTGTCACAAAAGAAGAATCACCGTTTTGTTTATTAATCACATGTTGATCACGCAATGGCTGAAACAATCGATTGTGACACGTCTTTCTGCCACCTGGAGTCTCCTTCAGAGAGGGTGCGGAGAACAACGCCATATGTAGGGGGAAAACGCCGCAAGTACGGGGAAAAACACCGCAAGTACGGGCAAGAACGCCGTTGCATTAAACGCTAAATCTTCTGCAATGCCGCGCAAGAGGTCGAGTTACTCATGAAAACCGACGAGAACCCAGCATGTGACACTTCCATCAGCTGCCCTGTCCACTTCACACGACTATGCAAATTTGCTGATATAATTGGATATTAGATGCCTTTTACGTTCACCCTCCAAGTCCAAGTGCTGGAAGCAGCAGGTCTGAGGATGAAGCAAACACTGAGACAATCCAAATCTCAAGGAAACCCGTTGTGGCTGAGGCAACCCAAAAAAAGAAAAACACACACACACACACACCTCCTACTCCTACCAAGATCACACATTGCTGGACAGTTTGTGGTTCCGCATATGGCATATGGTGAAAAATGGCAAACATATATATAGTAAATCGCGTTGACTTCGGGCCAAAGTACACCAGGAAAAGGAAAGCTTGCGAATATATACTTCTCAGGACAACATGTCCTCAGTTCGACCAAAATGGAAAAGCGAACCTCCACAGTCGGACAAGTCATGAGCGAGCAAACACCAGCATGCGACAGGGCGACAGGAATCCAATCTATTTGTTTCCATTGCACTGGTCAATGTTCCCCTGCAATCATGATGCATCTTTCAAGTCATCCTCCACCTGGTTCACCTCCACCTGCTTCGCTGCCTTCTCCCCTTCTCACCTTCTCATCCCTCGGCGTACCTGCTCGGCGCCCTGTTGCCGAGCAAAGTCCAGTATCACCTCGACACATGCGGCGAGGCGATCGCGGCACGGCCATCGCTGCGGCCACGGATCCGCTTCCGGCGGAACACGGACCCCACGACCACTCCCTACAATGAAGTCGAACACGGTCGAAGTTCCGTGTCTGAGGAAAACCATGCGAAAACCATGTGAAAGCCCTAGAACTAGAAGTGCAATGAGGCCAAGCAAAGTTTGTTTCAATCCCTCAGGCAAAGAAGTAAGGGGGCAAACAAAAGTTCTAGCTGATTAGAGTATCAAATTTCGCAGGTAATTTGGCATGTGCTGCTTCGAGTTTCACTCCCTTGCATCTCTGGTCTGTTCTGCCAGCGTTTGCTGATAGAAGGTTCATATTAAGTGTTTCGAAAGGCCTCAACGGAGGCTCAACGAAGCCTCAGAACAGTTACAACGCTGACCCAAAGCTCAAGGATTACCTATACCTACTTTCAGCCGGTCGCCGCCTGCGGCACATCCTCCAAATCCCAGGTCTCGAAGCGGGGCCTGGACAGAGACAGAGCAACCATCAACCCACCCCCAACATAGAATCAATAAAAAACATGTTGATTGCAGGCTGCCTGACTTTTACATTCAGTGATCATTGAGTGCTAGGTTGGCACACATTGACAAAGCCCGGCGAGACCGTGAAAGTAGATAGCCTCCAGTCATTCAACCCATGATACAGTCAGTCTCTCTCTCTCTCTCTACTTGATGTGCCACATCCAAAATCCTTTGATAGGGGGGCACCCAAATTGCCACGCCATGCGAATCCTGGGAAAAGCTTTAAAACCAAAACATCACCCAGGGCTTCATCCCTCTCCAAACCCTTGCCCTTTAAGGGGTCTCATCTCCCCAAACGGAACCGCGGAAAACACGAGGGAAGAAACCATGCCTCTCCACATGGCCCCATTAGACTCTCATGACTCATAGAATGCACCCACTTCGGGTCCGCCAACACCCCCTCCGCTTTCCCCTCTTTGTATCGAATTCCTTCACTGCCACGGAGGAACCAAAACCACCACATTGCAGCATTTCACTTGGCGACCGGGGATGGTGCCGAGGAGCACCACATGCACCGAGAAAGCTGTGGAAGACTCCAACCCGCCCATCCGCCGTAGTCTCGGTGCCTCACACCGATTTCCCCACCGGCTTAGGGTCCTGGATCAGTCTCGTTAAAGCGGAGACCCTCCGACGCATCATGGAAATGCAATGGAAGATTGCCTTTGGGAACGCTACTAGCTAGTTTCCTCTACAAACCGGGTGGTTTCCACTTCCATGTTAGTGAGTCGGAGTGTATCTCCAACCAACCTCCAACCTCCGCACCGTTTTTCGTCTCTTCCACTTCGTTTCTGCTCTTCGACTCGTTCAACCGCAAACGGGCAGGGTACGTGGCCCACGTTCGCTCGCCTCACGTATCGTCTTCTCAATCCCGATCGAAAGCCCTTCCTGGGACGTCGCCGGCGACAGTGCAGAAAAACGTCGCCGGACATGGTCGGGGCTCCCCTGGGCGCTGTCCCACCCACAGCATGAAGCAGTGCACTTAAGCAGTGGAATTAGTTGGAGGTTTTAAACCATCATACACAGACCCCCTGAACAAGTTTAGAATGTTCGGGGGAGTCATGATGTCAAGACTTACCACGAACTGTCTAGCTGCCTTAACTGCAAGGCAGCTAGAAGCCCCCATCCTTTCTTCCCTACCCTCTATACCCTCTACCCTCTACCCTCGCTGGTCTCACCAAAGCGTCCACCACTTGGTCATGAAGCCACGGCCGACGCCACTGGCCAAGGGCAAGCCAATCTCCGGGACCCACTTCGAGGGCAACAACCGCAGTACCTGGGGGTCATTCTGATCCTCGGCAACCGATGGCTGGAAGGCTGAGCCCCAAGGAACACAGCCAAGGAACACAGTACACATGTGGTTAGTAGGTGGATGGAAAATGGTGTTTTGAAAGGAAGACGGTCCCTTTCCTTTATGAGCAGTTGTGTGTTTTCCACTTTGCATGTGATGTGTTCGTCAGAGCTCGTGCATATAACCATGTAGTGTGTGGGGTGCGTGGAAGGTGCAAACAAAAAAAACACGTGTACTGGCTGGGCTGCGTGAGGTATGGAACCTACAGTGCCAAAGTAAAGGAATATGGTTTGGGTCTATCCTATTACCAGGTTTCAGTGGATGATGATATATGATGATGGTTCAGTTGCAGGCCTTGTTCCAAAATAGTGATAATTGTTTACTGGCTGTTACAGGTAATGGGACAAACCCTAAATATGGTGTAGTTATGGGGATGGCCCCAAGCTATTGAGCTGGCAAGCAAATGTGACTATGCGGTTCTTAGACCTCAGAAACATAATACATGACATCCCCAAACCCACTGGTTTGCGGAGGAAATTTCTTAATTTTTTATAACTTATTCATGTCATTGAGTCATTCCAGTTTTCCAATGGTCCAATTCTCTAGTTCAATGTCTCGCAACCGGGAGCAACTATCGGATCGCCCAGGCACATACTTGGTGGGCAGGCGGCCAAACTTGGTCAGGACCAAATTCCTCGGATGCGAGGCTGGCACTTCGGACTGCATGATGTTTGTTTCTTTTGTCCGGGTACAAGGGCTCAAAGCTCGCCTATAGGAGGCTTATAGGAATTCTCTGAGCCCCAGGTGTCTGAAGGACACGACACGTCATCCGCGATCCCCCACTCGCCATAGAGCTGCTAGACCCTCTAACCTCATCGGTGGACTTGGTAGGGTCGCCAGTTTCCCGACCCTCCGAATGGTCACCGGTGTCATCCATGCCAAGGCACCAATGCTTGAAAATTCCACCTGAAAATTACTTCGTATCCAAACGGTTCAAACGTACCTGGTGAGAAAAAAAAACGTTGCTCTTCTACCAAACACCGACCTGGCCGAAAAAAACAAGAAGTAGTGCAGAACCTCCAGGTCGATCCTACAAGTGTTTCTTGAACCACGCATTCAAACAACCCTGGGAGTGAAAAAGAACTGTCTTGATTCTACCTGATTTCGGGCATTTCCTTTACTTCACTAGGAAAACCTCTGGTCTTTGGACTTCGGACTTCGGGACTAGGCACCCGACTCATCGACCCACTGAGTGTGAGTGTCTCAGGTGGGTCGACCGATCCGAGGTGTCCCGCGTGGAACTGGAGACGAAACTCTCCAACAGAAACCTGAAAAACTGGTAACCGCTGGTTTTTGTTGGGCCGGATCCTTGGAGTAATAGATGGTAATAGATAAGAAAATTACAAAGAACATTTTATGAAACACAAACATATGTTATAAAACATAATAATATTAATGGTTGAACAATTCTACAGTCAACAAATCCGTGCGGCGAGTTGCGCGCATTTTGCATCAAGTTTCAGGCTTTTTCACGAGCTTGCACTTTGAGCCCGAAACAGGTTAAACGCATTTGGATGTGGGCGGGGGGAGTGGGAAGGCTATAATCAAAGGGGCCATCTGCTCAGGACCTGACGAGCGAAACCCATGGTTCACACGCATGGTTACTCTTAGTGTGCGCTCACACGCTCAACACTTTTTCTAAAACACTATTGCTTGACTGACTCTTATGGGACACTCGGATCCTTGACGCTCTAGAAAGCGACACCTTTGCACTCTTGTGGGGCACTCTTGGAGTATGACACTCTTGACTGACACATCTTGTGCGACAAGAGTGTACTTTTTCTGTGGCACACTCTTGCTTGGCACACTTTTGTGCGAGCAAGTCCCAAAACATACCTTCACAAAACGCCGCGCGTTAGCGCAGCAAAATCCTGGCCCTGACTTCCTCACTTTTCCGAAGCTAAAGAAGCGAAAGAAGCTTCACCTTTTCTAGCATCTGTTCCTATTGTTGTGGGTATCCTGGATCCTACCTTTCAGTTCTTCCATGAAGGTGGATATATATATATATATAAAAACTCACACCGACAGCATTTTGATGCGCTCCGCAGTTTGGTCA